GTTTCTTGTCTCTTGTTTCTTGTCTCTTGTTTCTTGTCTCTTGTTTCTTGTCTCTTGTTTCTTGTCTCTTGTTTCTTGTCTCTTGTTTCTTTTTACATACATCTATTCTGAGGTCTGACAACCGTTCGGAATAGGCTGGTCTGGTTCTCAATGTGGATATCGCTCACTGCGTGTTCTTTTCCCGCATCACCTTGATGGGATACATGGTGAGCGCAAACGGATTTTCCGACAAGAACATGCTGGTGAACAGGCTTCTGCCGGAGCGTGACCAGTATGGAGTACCAAAGGAGAGCAGGTGGTTTGCTCAAGTCAACAGGAAAATTCAGGGCCTTCGGGTGGCACCAACTTATCACGGCTGTCCATTCAAGATGAAGAGCTTCATTGTCAAAGGAATGATGCTGGCGCGGCCTAGTGAATACAAGATTGACTACTTTGACAAAGCCGAAGGAAAATCTACTCGCATGAGCCTGGAGGAATACTTCAGAATGCGGTACAACGTTCGGTTGGAGTTCCCCAACATGCTTCTGGTCGAGACGACAAAGGAAAATGTCATCTACCCGGCCGAGTTTCTGATCATCAAGGGTCTTCAGCGATACCGTTACAAGCTCAGTGAGCTAGAAGCGGCGCAGATGATTCAATGGTGTGCCACCCGACCCCCAAAGCGACTTGAAAATGCTCGTCAGGCCAAAGAATTGCTTCAACACAAGAACGATCCAGTCCTGAAAGCCTACGGCATGAAGATCAGTGAGACGATGATCAAGACCAAGGCACGACTACTTCCAAGCCCAGAGATTCAGTTCGGTGGCAATCGAAAGCATAACCCTGGCCACCTGGGCACTTGGGATCTGCGAGGCAAGAAGTTCTACAAGGGCAATGACAAAGCACTTGCACGCTGGGGTGTAGGCTTCTATGCTGGACATCGCAAGTCAATTAGCATGGAGCAAACCATCATGTGGGCTGAACAGTTTGTCAAAACCTACAAGCTCATGGGGGGCGACATCGCCGAACGACCGGTGATCAAGGCTTTGAATGAAGATATCGGAAGCAGCGTCAAGAAGCTGTACGATGGAATCGCCGAACGCTTCAAGGGTGAGCCCCAACTTTTGATTTTCATTGTCCCTGACAAGGATTCCTGGGTTTATCTCCGCATTAAGCGATCGGCCGACTGTCGCTATGGAACCCCTTCGCAAGTTCTTCAATCTGCTCATTGTGTTGCGAACAAACCCCAGTACCATGCGAATGTTCTCATGAAAGTGAACGCCAAGCTCGGTGGAGTCACTGCTCGAGCTGTGCCCAAGACTAAAACATCCGGTGTGCGCCCGGGTACAATGATCATTGGAGCAGACGTTACCCATCCCATGATGGGAGTGTGGACGCCCTCATTGGCCGCGATGTCGGTGTCTGCTAACGCCTCTGCCACCCGATACATGGGAGGATGTGAGACGAACGGTGACAGGGTGGAGATCATCCGTGACAAGGTTGCCGAATACATCTTGCACCCTATGGTTGCCGAGTGGAAAGCCACCGTCGGAGAGGGCAAGGCTCCACAGTTTGTCTACTACTTCCGGGATGGTGTATCTGCTTCGGAGTATCGTCGGGTCCTTACAGAAGAAGTGCCCGCAATTCGCTATTCCATTGCACACGCATGCAGTGCGCCGGTCTGGAATGGCAAGATGTGCGTGGTGGTTGCGAACAAGCGCCACAACCTGCGGGCCTTCCCTGACCCCAAGAACCGACAGAGCTCGGATCCCAATGGCGCCCCTTTGCCCGGCACTCTGATTGACAGGGATGTCACCAGCCCTCATAATTGGGACTTCTTGCTGTACAGCCACATCGCTTTGCAGGGAACTCCCCGTCCCGTTCACTACCATGTCCTGATGGATGAAATTGGCCTCAAGCCCAATGACCTTGAGAACATGATCAACGATCATTGTTACCAGTACATCCGTTCGACAACCTCGGTGTCAATCCATCCCGCAATCTACTATGCCCACTTGATCTCGGTGCGTGCTCGTCACCATGAAGACGTTCCGATCACGTCTGGTCCTCAGAGCGGCCCAGAGGTAAAGACTACCAACCCCAAGCCAAAGGAGCCTCGAGCCCAGCGACTACTTCCCATGGAAGGTACCTCGAACCGACTGGCCTTGGGAATGTGGTACATTTAAACCCCCCTCAAGCCCTCAGGCTACTCTTGAAAGCCTGGCTCGGTGTCTCCCCCGAGAGACAATTATCTTAACAGTTTCAATATCCCTTTCATTTGCATTTGCTACACTCTGCAAGAAATTGACGTTCTGATCGGCTGCTGCCACCATATTTTTATGGCGTGAGACATTGAATCATGATGAGATCGGTGCTGAGAAACTGGGACACATCATGATTTCATGGATATGCGCAGCTGGTTTCAATGTCCCACTATTAATTTTCACGACGTTAAACCGGAAAAGTGCCAAAAAATTGGATCTTGATGAGATCGGTGTCGAGCAGCTCGGACACTTAGGAATCTATGGATGTGCCCAGGTGTTATTGTCCCTCCCTCCACCATGTTAACATAGAAAAGCTTACAAAAAGAAAAGGAGTATCAACCCGTTACCCAAATGTTTTTCGTTTCCTGCGTTCCTGCGTAGATCCAGTTTTATTCCGGTTGTATTATAGCCAAGTCATAAGAGACCTACAAATGGACCGCTACTGGGATATGTGGGTATCACGCCTTAGAATCCTGAATTTTCGAGAAACGAAGTAGATGTAAGATGATAGAGACATTATGGTACAAGAGGTCAAGGCCCCTTCACGAGGAGTACAAAGTTGCAGAGCCGTCCCATGTCTTCAAGCCCAGAGTGTGAGGGGTTGAAGTGGAATGAAGAACACTGCTAAAATACAATGACTTGATTATGTAGCACCGAGGCTCAAGAGTCTGCGTTCGGGATTGTCCTGGTCGTCAATGGTAGGAGTCATGGCAGAAGGCATGTTTATTGCCTGATTCGAGGCGTAGCCCTCAAGGCAAGAAAAGAGAAACTGCACGCCGGGGTATGCGAAAAAATGAAGCATGCAAAGAACATAAAGAAGGTGAAGGATTGTCATGGACGATGAAAACTAGACTTGGTGTCATTTTTTTTTTCAGTCGAAAGGTTTTCCTGATCTTCCATCACGCTTCGGTGGCTGTGGCGTCAGCACCACCGACAGGACCGTCGATTTGTGCATTGACGGTGCCGGATGGGTCTGTAATGCTTCTATCACCCTCACCATCGGGATTGAAGTTGGGCATTTCAGGGATTCCGCTGTTTTTCTTGATTTTCTTCTTGCTTGGTTCTGTAGTAGTGGTTTTGGAGGCAGCTGACGGGGCAGTGCGCTTCTGTGGGCTGGATGTTGGACCGGCGAGACCATGTTGGGGGATTTTGCCAGAGGGTGGAAGACGGGTTTTGGCAGCCATGGGCCTCTGCTTGGGTGGCAGCTCGAGATCCTCCACCAGGGGTTCATTACGACTGGTGTTCAACTTGCCCTTGAAGAACGAGTGCAAGAGCCCGATTTGGTCGGATACATTCTCGGATGAGATGCGGGCATAAGGTGGCGGCGGGGGGAACAGATCAACAGATTGCGAGACAGTGGTGCTTTGTGGATTGGCCGCGTTGAACATCCGGTTCTGGAGCAGATGCAATGGGACACTCAGAGTGGAGAGACCGAATTCTCGGTCCAAGCCCAACTCTTTGAATCCGAAGAAATCCTCGTCGATGTCTTCGGCAAAATCACCACCAACAAACTGTTCGCTGCCATCCTTGAATGCGTTTGAGCCGTCTTCGCCGCCTTCGAGGGCAGGTCGGAGAAGTTCGGTCAATAGTGACTTAAGGCGACTATGAGCTGCGGTGAGTTTAGTCCCCAAACGATCAATATCATCCTTGATATAGAGCTCTAACTCGTCAAGGTGTACGCCGACAGAGGACAAAGTGTGCAGGATAATCTCCGGCTCCGTATATGCAGGCTTCCACTCAGCCAATGGAGAATTAGGGTCCTGGTTCTCAGTGGCAGGCATTTTGGGTGTTTCCATGTAGGACTTTACAGTTGACCCAAGCTTCTGGAAGAAATCGGCAGCAATGTCTGTCACGGCCTCAAGCGCAGAAGGCTGGTATTCCTCGAATCCAGTGTGGTAAAAAATCTTGGCGACCGACCGTTGCAAGGCTGCTCTGCATGCCCAGGGAGCTATGACGGGGCCGTTGTCATTCATGACATGGGGCTCGGCGTCTTGCTCCACAAATGGTTCTGGTTGATATTTTTGAAATTGGTTTTGATACATCTAGATGGGGGTTAGCTGGAGGTGTCAAGATTAGGACAATAGTTCACTCACCTGGGATTGAAGCTGCATTTGCTTGACGATGCCAATCTTTGAACATATCTTCCGGGTCTCTTGCATTTGCCGTATATTCGCGTTCATCTTCTGCGTCAGCTTGCTATCCGGCTGTACGAAGGAGCCCTTGGGGAGAATTCGCAGGAATTCTTCCGAGGCATCAACCACGTTGCCCTGCCCGTCTTCTTTCCAGAGCAGCTGTTCGGGAAGATCAGGGACTCCAGACATAACGTCATAATAGAATGGAACCATTTGGTCTTCCTCAACCTCGATGCCTTCTGCAAGTGATTCGCTTGCAACCTCGGTTTCCATGGTGTGAGAGCCCGTATCGCGAGACCGATCGGCCTCAATGGTGGCTAGCTTCTGATGGCGAAGCCAACGACGCATTCCGGCCTTGGTTCTGAGCAGAGCCGGCTCTTCAGAGTTGAGTTTGTCTCCTCTAAGGAGACGATGCCGATCGGCCGCGATAAGCGCGCGGTCTTTTTTGGTCACTTGCTTCCACACTTTATATTCGGGATCTTCCAGCTCTACTCCACCTGGGACCGATAGCGCACTGTGAACAGGGGCGGATGTAGTGGGGCCATCGATGTCCATGTTTTCATCCTGACTTCCCATGGCAATCGCCCCAGGACCAGCAGGGTCAGAGGGCGTATGCGACCCGGGAGGTGGTGTAGAGAATCCATTCTGGGTGGCTTCCCCTATAGCGTCTGAGTCTGTCCGGGCGACAGGGGGCGGTTGGGTGCTAGAAGCCCCAGCAGGGCCTTCGGAGCCACTCGGGGTGTTGCGCGAGGGAGCGGTGCCCTTTTTCGAAGTTTTCTTCCCAGGAGCCTTCCTACCACGCGACGCCATGATAGGCTCTTCATCACTCTCCTCGGCGCCATCAAGTTCTGCAAGTTGAAGTCGGCGTTCTTCTGCCTCAACTTCAGCTCGGTCTCGGATGACAATGTCAGGAATGAGGGGGACGAGTTTCTCTGTCTCCTTGCGCATGTAGAGTGCATGTTTGCGAAGAGGATGGTCGGAGTTGGTGTTATATTTAAGACAATTGGCCCAAATTAAGGTGAGATCATCGACAAAGTCTTGTTTGGATCGGTATTGCAGTCCCTTCAACTTCTTCGTCATCGAGCCGAGATCCATCGGGTGCTTGATGACTAGCAAGGGTTAGGGAATGGCTGGTGCGACGGACATGAGCTTGTAACTTACCAGTATGATAATCAGGTGCATCGCGTTTGTTGACACGGGTCAAGAAGGCAGTCGAGTGCTCGGTCATGGCTTTGAGTTCACTGAGAACCTTCTCGCATGCTTCATACAGCTCCTCCTGGCCGACCTTATCTTCGTTTGCCCATTTGCTGCGGTTTTTACGAACCTCGCTCAGCAGACTGCGCAGCTCGGCATCCGATGCCTGTACCCTATCGCGCTTCTTGTCGATTCTGGCAATAAGGTTCTTCAATGTCAGGCTGGAAGCCCCCAGGTTGGTGTTGCTCAGGGAGCTATAGCCATTGGAGGCCCCTTGGGCATTGTTACCACCCATGTTCGCCTGCCCGGATATCTCCGCCTCGACTTGTCTTTCTGACTCTTCCAAACGCTGTTGATCCAGCATCGCATCTCGGTCATTCTCAAGGGTGTAGAAAATGGTATGGAAGCTTCTCCTAGCGGCCTCCTCGGTGGCCTTCTTGTCTTCTTCGAGTTTCTTCCGGAGATCCTCCATTGTCTCCTTCTTGATCTCTTTAGTCTCATCTGCGCCAGTGGATGAGGATATGCTAGGGTGGTGTGCGGACGACGCGGTGCCACTAGGATCATGTGGGGCGGCAGGCTTGGACTTTGGGGATTCGGCGGCGTCCTCCATGTCTTCGTCCTCGTCGTAATCATCATAGTCGTCGTCGTCAAGTTTGCGCGCCGACTTGCGCGGGGCGGTCGGAGGTGGGCCGTTTTCGACGCGTGCGTTGTGAGCCTCCGACTGCTCTCCTTCCCCGGAGGCCGGGGCCCCCACCGTATCCTCACCCAGATCTTGTCCCGAGAACAGCAGGCTAATTTTCGCCTCGCTTCGGCGATACAATTCCCGGAATTGGGCAATGCGCGGGTCTTCCTCGGTCGCGATATCAGCTTCCGATGTCGAGTTGGGGTTCTGCCCTTCAGCGCCGACAGAGCCGCGTATTTGAGGCGTCCGGGAGCCCGATAAAGTCTTTACCAAGCCATTGACGGGCCGAGGGGAATCCTGGAGGTCATCCGGAGGCCGAATATTGCCCGGGGGCCAGGCGTTGTGGCCGAGCGACATGCTCGCTCCGAAACCCCGGTTCTGGGGCGGGCGAGACTCGATTCTCCGCGATTAGGATTACGAGCCGATCGGACGCGACGCGGTGGTCGAAGGAGGAACAAAAGGCATAGAGGTGGGAAACACCGCTCGTAGAATATACTGGCGATGTCAGAAACGCGAAAAAGGATAGCGTGGGGGAGAGGTTTGATGAAGAAGGTCGGGGGGAGCTTCATAGGAAGTTTCTCTAGACGGGGATGAAGTACAGACATGAAGGCGGTGGCAGATCCCTTGGATGTCACTATTCAACTCTTGCGATCGTCTCTATTCACCATAGCAACTGTTTCAATTGATTTATTCCTGTCTGTGGGCTAGAATCACTGCCTCCTTGCGACAATCTGCACTCTGGTGTCTGTTCTCGAGCTTCATTGTCGCCAATCTTCCGTTGTTCGGCATATGACGCACAAGGCAGCAAGCTGGGGCCGAACTCCACGTCTGACAGCTACGAGGACTGATCCTCCCACTCTACCTCGTATTCAATGAAAGTGCCAGCAAAAGCTTCTTCTTGTCCATCTGCCACTTCTCCCGCTCCTCTTTCACCATGCGCATCCGCTATCCTTTCGCAGGTAAGCTATGGAGATTCCGGTACCTGCGATCCAACTAACATCCACTCAGGTGCCTTCATCTTCCTGCTCGTGCTAGCCGGCTACATCGGTCTCCTCCCACATAGCACATCTTCCACAATACCGACACAGCTCCAACCAAATGACAAATTCATTCATCTGGTCACCTTCTTCCTGCTTTCTCTGGCCTTTTACTGGATCCTGGATACCACACGTCGGCGCACGCTACACGTGACCCTTCTGGTCTGCACTTTGGGGCTCGGCATTGGCTCTGAGGTTGTTCAGGGCTTCCTTCCTAATGGCCGTGACTTTGATCTATACGATATTGTCGCCAATGTGGTCGGTAGTGTCGGCGCGATCGGTCTTTGTGGCTGGTACCACCGTCGCATGATGGAGCGACGTCGGCAAAGTCGATACGGTCTCATGGACGATGGTACAGAGGATGTCGAGCTTGGTGGTGTGGAGAGAGATGCCCACCGTGAGTCAGAGCCACTGGGTCCGCAAGAATCCGGTGTCATGTCGCTCGAGCAGGAAGTGGATAATTGGGATGAAAATGCAGTTGATAACTGGGACAATGAAGATGTTCCAGAGCATGAACGTGAAACTGCCCCTCCTAGCTACCATGAGTCTAGCTCTGCTGGGGGGCAAGCCGCTCATGTGCCTACCGGGGCTAAGCGGTCTGACTGAATTGGACTATCCAGCCTGATTCCCAGCTTTGCGCGGCACCATTCGTACCTTCGGTGCTGTTCCTACGATCTGTCATGATAATGGATTTTATGTGTTGTCTTATGTCGGTTTGATACCACTCTCATTTTTGCTGAGCAGCGCTCTGCCTTTGTCCTGGGTTATTGAGCCATTTGTTGTCTTAACCTGGGTAGGGGATGTTCCATAGTCTTTCAAAGTCATGCGACCCAATATGGCCAGGTTCGGGTTTTCTCTGGTGGATTGACGGAGGCCTATGTTGCTCCGCAATGTACAGTTGGGTTATGCTTTGTGCGGTTAATAGTTTTGTGAATTGTATGAAAGAAATATGATTGATATGCACGATGAAAACTAGAATCACAATGGCTACTGATTGAAAGTAGATGTCCTGGACCATTTTGCAAAGCAAATAAGATCACCAATTTGCTAATATACAAAAATTCTAAAGTGAGGCTGCGAAAGTCAGACAATAAACAGAAGAGCTGACCACACAGGACATGGGTGAAACCAAAGAGACACAACAAGGGGTATTTCGACGAGGGAAAGGGAACGAACAAGGGGAGGGGTTAGAACACGATGTAAATTGAAGACAAAGCCGCAGAAATGGGAAAATCAACTAAACACCGGATGCCATGTAATGCAACATAAACATAAACGACATAAAGGTCCGTCGAGGGTCAGGAGACGACCAAGCAGGCATTATTCATTATCAGAAACCTCCGGGGTGCCAGACCAACTTCTGTTTGGCGTGTGGAATTGATCAGATAGGGCTTCGAGCTCCGGCTTGGCTGTGGGCAAGTAGTCAGCCTGGTCATCCAGCCTGGGAACTTTAGACGAACGCTCCTCACTGTCATCAGGAGAGTTTGTGTTCCAGTTCGACATCTTGCCCAAATTGCGATCCGTTTGCTCGCGGAGGACTTCATAAATGAACTGCATCTGCATCTCATTATATACCATCATCATGCGCTGCTCGCGCATCTGATTGACTGTTTCAAAAACAGGGTCGATCTCGGGGTCCGCCATATCCAAGAAATGGCCGGACTCTAACTCGCACAGCAGATGGTCGAGGGCAATGAAAGTCCCCGTTCGGCCAACACCGGCGCTGCAGTGCACAATGCGCGGATTATCTGGGTGGGTTTTGGAGGCGGACAGCTTGATCAAGTCCAGAAGGGCTTGGCGATCGCTTCCTTCTGGTTTTGAATAATCCGCCCAGCCGGCGAATAAGAAATGCCAGACGATCTTGGACTCGGAGCCGATGGCCAGCTCGAGTTTGCGGATCTCAGATCTCGACCTCGCGTCGAACGTAAACTCTAGAAGTGTGACACGACCTAAGATTCCCGGTTCGGCTTGGTCGCTCTCGTCGAAAAACACATCCGACTCGTCCGTCGACAGGACCATCGAAGCCTGCTCCGTATCCAACGGGAAATACTGGGCGCACTTCTCTCGGCCGGCTTCGAAAGTCTGAGTCAGCATTACAATCACGCCGACCTCCTGGGATTCATGGAAGACCATATGCCAGAAGTCTGCTATATGTTCGGGTTTGGGACCCTATGTTCTGGTTAGTCGAGATACGGGCATCAAGTCCGTTCGGTTGTAACTCACCTGCGTGGCGATGTATCTCCTCCGCTCCCTGGTGACCGAGTCCTCCAGTCGAATCGGGGATGCGTTGATGAAATCGCACTCGCCCTCGGGCACCCGCAGGTGGACGCGACAATTTGCCCAGGCCTGCACGTTCACATATCGATTCCGCTCTTTAACTTTGGGGTCGAACTCCAGAGCCCAGGGATGCGACAGATCATTGGCTAACTGACCATCAGTTATTCGCGTGCGCTGCATCCATTCCAGGTCCTCGAACTTCTCATGGATGTCTGCATATAAGAAGCGGTCAGTCACCTTCCACGTGGGTTCTGGAATCCTCCGGGGGGTTTTTTGGGGAGGGTTTTCTCATTCTCATTCTTTCTTCTTGTATTCCCCTTCGTTTCTGCTCTCACTTACCCGCGACGGATTGACACAAGAATGGTGGCACATGTTCCGTATTCCCAGCTTCCAACCTGGGATTATCCTGATCCGCGACATCGAGACCGGCGTCGTCATTCTCGGGCAGTCCGCGTTTGGTGGAAGGCACGCTGGTGTCGATCTTGATGGAAGGATGCGCCATCTTTGCCGCAGCGATCCGTTGCAGTGCTCGAACTTTACCGATGACGCCACGGGCTTTTCTCGAGACGGAACGAGCCTTGGAGCGTCGCTTGTGCGGGGCAGCGTCGGGCGAGGGGGAGCGAGAGGTGTCAGTTCTGACGTCGAGGTCGGAATCTGCAGGAACCGAAGTTATCTGCAGCGACGACAGATCGGGACAGCTATAAAAGCTGTCCCGAGAAGACGTGTCCAGGGCCAGTTTTTTTGAGGATCGCGGGGGGGGGGGGGGGGGGGGAGCGTAGTAAAAATAGACCTCGTATATGAACTTTCCCGGCCCACAGTCTTTAGAATATTCACTTGTCCAATATCAAGTGAATCGAGAAGATCTGGAAGAGAAGAAGATCAAATTAAAAAAAATAAAATAGGACGGGCCAGAGAAAGTGGAGGCAAAAGAGACCAGTGAAAGCAGTAAATGACCCGAGGTGTCCGAGTATTTATAGTATAGACTATAAGAGGTATACTACAGACTCGACGGAATAGAGAAAGTCGCCAGACTCTGTTCTCTGAATATAACACTAAATACTCAATACTAAGTGCTAAATACTAAAAGATTTCGATGGAAACGGACCGACTGTATGACCCTTTTGTTTTCGTCCGCTTCCGTTTCAACTATGAAGTTGGTTACTTTCGTGATCTTTGTGACCTTTCTGGTTACTTAGACTACTTTGACTTTGGCAACTTTGGCAACTTTGACAACTTTGACTACCTTGACTACTTTGGTTTGCCCTTTGAATGAACGACCCCTTGCGCCCATAGGTGTCCATCACCTCACAATGGTTTCGCAAGCGCAAATCCTCGATCGCACTTCGCAAAGTACCGCGTCCTTGGTTTCGCGACCCTCACACTCCGGCCGACGACATCGCTCAGGTCGATCGCACCACGGAAGCTCTTCGCATGCCCCGTCCAACGATTTCCCCATCTTCACCTACACCGGCGACACCGAACTTGTGATTCGCGCGGGGTCGCAGGAGCGCCGCTATCTACTCCACCGATTGATTCTGGCACAATGCTCTGGCTTTTTTGAGGCGAGTACCAGCGAGGAATGGTCGCGTCAGACAACGCTGGGACCGTCCAAACCAGAGGGTACCTTGTCCCCCGTGAGCGAGGAAGATTACCTGTCCAACGGGTCGACCTTGGTCCCCTCCGATCATGGCGGATTGCCTACGCGGCCGGGCGAAAAGAGACGCTGGCGCTACGAGCTCGACTGGGAAAACTGCGCGGAGGATGAGGAGGTCATTCTGGTACAAAAGGTAACAGGCGCATCAGTCCCCTCGTCGCGTTGTGACGGGAAATGCTAACGTGCCCCTGCAGCCTCCAAGCCATGCTCCCGTGTTCAGTGGCGACCAGACGGCCGTTTCTCCCACGATGACCAAGCCCTCCAATTCACAGGCAGGGTTCTTTCGATCCATGGCGAATCTGACGGCCATTCAATCGGTAGCACACCTGCCTCAGCCTGGGATAGACCCGGGTACCACCGTCGACCCTTTAATACGTGACTACGACAACTTATTACGATTATTTTACAACCACCCACCCATAATAAACAGTGTCAACATTGCTTCTGCCTATACAGAATGCAAATCTCTTCTCGCATTGGCGGACATGTACGATGCTCTCCCAGTAACAGGGCCGCGTGTTGATCACCATCTCCTGGGTTTCGGGTCGCGACTCTTCAAGCAAATCGCCAAATACCCACCTAGCTATCTCAAGCTAGGTTATCTTTCCCGCAGCCGGGTGATCTTCTCTGAAGCCCTTATTCATGTTGTAGGACAATGGCCTGCTGCGCTACCGAGCATGCGGAACGGCTCATACGCGCCTCTCCCAGAGTCACTCCTCGACTTGATCGAAGAGAAAGTGGAAGATCTTGAAGATCTCAAAGGCCGCATTGAATCAAAACTCCTGCGGCTGTCTCTTACCACATCGCGCGGCGAGCGTGTCGGCCCCTCAAACGCATACCTGGATTGGCTCGCCGTGTCCCTCTTCCGTCAATGGCTTATCGAAAGCACCACCCCACCGCCAGCTCCAATTCTCAAGAACTCGGGAGCCGCCGACGGGCCCTCTCCTCCTGCGGGCTCGGCATCGCACCCAGCTAGCACTGGTCGACCTGCAACTCCCGAAGACCCATCTGCGCGCACCCTCAAATTGATCGGATCATCGTCCACGCAAGCATACCTCTCCCACGAGGACTTGAAGCGATTTCTTAAACTTCATCCTACCCCGTCCGCAGACCCACTCTATACACGTGAGACACTGAAACGTTTTGAGCGCAAAATGGACGAGATGAAGCGGCTCGCGAGGGAGATAGTCAAACCCCTGATGCGCAATTTCCTTGAACTTGAGCTTAAGTCTGGCCAACCCTCTGGTCCTGGTCCTCGTGAGGCTACTCCAATTGGATTGCCCTATCTGACATGTACACGTGTTGAAGAGATGGATTTGCCTTGGAACTAATTTTGTGTGCCATTCGGGGGGGGGGGGGATTTGGATCCCCCTTTTCTTTCCTGTGTCAGTTTTATCTTTTGGACTACCCGTGGCGTTTCTACTTACTGTTGGCTGCTCGTTTTTCTTCTCAGGCTGCTGGTCTTGTCTGACGGAGACCACATCGTATTTTGTTCTTTTCGATGTGATGCCTGCTCCTTGACTGTTTTCTGTTTGTTATGTGTCCACGATTTTATGAACAGATGTGCCATCCAGGCTTAACATTTGTGTACTTTTTAATGCCTCTGCCTCAGAGACATCAGTTAGGATTTTCACTATATCTTCATTCCCCGAAGTTCTCTAGCCGTTGTTACAATACAATGTCTACAGGTCTAGGCTAGGCAGTGAAAAGTCATGTCTAGATATGAACATGTAGAGGGTTCAACTTTCATAACACAGACATGCAATACATAACTTTAGAATCGACACATGTTCTATATTTTCGTTTCGTTTCTTTCCAATAAAATACATGATATACAGTGCTCTTGAGGGCAGAGAGAACTTTAGAAGGCCCTCGATTCTCTCATTTTCTCCCGATAGTCTCCATTCCATCCATCCAAGGCCGTAAAACCTCGGGAATAACAACAACGCCACGCTCTACATCCCACCCATTCTCCAAGATGGCGGCGAGTACGCGCGGGACAGCCATTGCAGTGCCATTGACAGTGTGTGGGAATCGAGATTCCTTGGCCGTGCCACGGACTCGAGCTCCCAGTCGCCTACTTTGATAATCGGTACAGATAGAAGCGGAGGTCACCTCACCCCAAGCAGACTCCAATTCATGGATGGAGGAGTCGATAGGGGTGACATCGGCATTGGAGGCATGTCGCAGACGCGAAGGGAACAGGGCTTCGATGTCGCGTTTGCGAGTTGCGCTGGCGCCCAAATCGCCCGTCGGCATTTCCAAGACGCGACATGGTAGTGAGAGGGAGGTCAGGATATCTGTCTGCATCTCTAGCAGCTCGTTGAACAAGTCATCGGAGGTTGGGGTTGATCGCACTTTTGCGTCTACATTATCTGTCCATCCGAAGAGCTCGACTTTGGTGAACTCGTGCACCCGGTAGAGACCCTTTGTATCTACCCCGCGGGATCCGGCCTCGGCTCTGTAGCACCTGCTCGCTCCGACGAGCTTGATGGGTAAATCGGCAGCATTGATGTCGCGACCGGCATACATGGCTGCGAGGGGGATCTCGGCAGTGCCCGTCAGCGAGCGCTGGGGCTTATTATGGCGATCACGGTCGTTCTGCTCGATTGACCAGATCTGCTGTTCATTGTGTTGATCGCGCGGCTGGAACCCGCACGCCTCAGCGATGTAGGAGTAGACGATTGAGGGGGGAGCAACGGTGCGCCATCCGCGGCGTCGTGCCACACTCAGCGCATACTGCACGAGAGCCTGCTCTAGCATGGCGCCCTCGTTGATCAAAAAGTACCAGCCCCATCCCGTTGTGGTCGCGGAGCTCGCAAAATCAATCAGGTTGAGCTCTGTGCCGATGGTGACGTGCGACCGTGCCTGGAGCTCGGCGGCGGACTGGCGGGTCCATGATGGGGGTTCTTGGGGGTTGAAATTGATATAGGAGACAAGATCGGGGTCGTGGCCGACGGGCGTGAATGGTGAGGAGAGGTTCGGAAGGGCGAGGGCCAGTCGGTTGATCTCTTCTGTGCAGGTGGCTTTGCGGTCGACCATCGCCTGGGAGTCGTCTTTCAGCTGCTGGGCTTCGGACTTTAATTCGGCCAATTGCTCATGGAGGTCGAGTCCCTTCTCATTTTTCTCGATTTGAGCCCCATCCTTCTTGTCCTGCCGTGTCGCACCGTATAGCTTTGCGATCGCTTGTTCCAACTGTTTGATGCGGGATCGGGGGGTTTTCAGATCGTGATCCAGCTGTTTCGCTTCATGTGATAACTGTTCGATCTTCGATGGATAGACTGCATGCGCCGCGTAGTTGCGATCTAAGCAGTTTTGCGCGTAGAGTTCGGCATTTTGGCGGATGTGTTTGACGTCCGGCGTGGACTTTGGGGCTGTCGCGGGTCGTAAGACGTCGCGAATACTCCGGGCGGCAGAGAAGTTGCGCAGGGGCACTCGGGTCAGTTTCGAAGAGAGTCTGCAATTGACGCAGACATATGAAGTGAGCGCCATCTGGGTAGTTGAAAAGAATTAAGGATTGGAGGTCAGGTGGATCCTTGTTGATCGGCGCTCGGGCACGTCTACGGAGTACTCGTACTGGATTTCACTGTTCTCCAACTCTCAGGCTATTCCAATCTCTTTCATTTACCACGCTAGACTACCAGTGTTTCAGAATCGTCATCTCCTGCTTGGGCCAATTTTCCATCTCACAGCCCCAGCTTATGCTTCTCAATCCTAGCTCCCACCCCGACGAGCACCAAGACGACCGACACCAACACTCCCCACAGCGGAATATGTATCGCAGCTAGGTTGTACGTGGTCTGGGTCGCCGCCACGACAGTCGCCATCTCCAGCAATAACAAAACATAGCCACTCCAGCGATGATACTTATAGATTCGCTTTCCTGCGTCAACACTTCCAAAGACGGTCACCGGCAGGAAAAACTGGAAGATTCCAACGAAAGCCTGGAGTACAATGATGATCACAGTGAGCAGGCCCAACACCCCATGTGGGGAGACAAAGTGTGGATGTGTGCCTTTGTTGATCTCGATGATGGTGAAGGCAGAAAGGAAAAAGACAACACTCAAGAGTTGGACTATATAGTGGATGCGAGTGCCAGTCAGCTTTTGTTGCGGGGTTGCAGTAGGTTGTAGAACAAGTGCTGCTTGGACTTGGAGGAGGACACCCGAGATGCCGAGAAGCTAAAAACGATATTAGTTCACTGTTTCAGACGTGGACACACTCTGGCTTACTGGATGTGGGGTAAACAACGAGAGCGGCTGATTGAGCACTCCCTGCCAGACTAGGGCTGCGAGCTGGAGAAGTTAGGACTCGATCTTTCATGATCTATGTGCTACTCACTATCCAAATGCCCGCCTGCGCAGCACTGGCTGTGCCTGTTTCAAAAGGTAATTAGTACGGAAATGGAGGATTTTGCTCTTGCAGAGGCTTTTCTCACCTGTGAAGATATTGCGATAGATACCCTCATCAGATCGCTGTGTAACTTCTACGCGACCTAGCAGTGGTTCATTGACCCGCGAGTCGAGCACGGGATCGGAGGAAATGTCTGTCATTCTGATCTGGGTTGGTGACAAGGACAGAAAACTCGAGTTGCTGGAAAAGAGAACACACCGTAGGCTGCAAGGAGTCGGTGTTTGGTCGTGATCTTCGGTGGCTATGACGATTGGATGCACATCTCCCGAACCTACCAATCCGAAGTATTGATTTCCAAGCTGCATTAAAAAGCAAACATTCTGATTTGTATTTCAATTCCCTGATTCTCAGATTCCCAGATTCTCAAGTTCTCTTAACTTGTTCGTTTCTTTGTCTTGTGCCGAGCCCGATACTTCCCAATTACCCGATTTACCCTATTCACGCGAATGTGTCCCTTGTTTGGAATAGGAAGCAGAACATGGATGTTTCCCACGATGTACAGTTTGTAAACCGTACTCCGTAAATCTCAAGTCCTTTTCCTCTCAGGAGAGGTGGAAGCCAGGATACCCAGGCTCCTGTTGTCAGCACAGAGACCACAATGCTCAATATTGACAGGAAACTGTGCAACTAGACATCCTGATTGGTGTCAAAACCAGTAAATGGATCTCACCCATCTCAGCGTGCTTTATTGTCCATGAATCATTGTTCCATGAGGTCATATCGGTGAGAGACGAAGCTGAGCCCTGGGGCACTTGGATGGGGACACCCAGATCTCCCAGGGGCCCTATAGGCAAGTGAGTTATAGATAATCCGAATAGATTCCCCAAAAGAAATTGCAAAGCACATTTGTCAGACATCTGGACCTATAGCCTGGGTCAAGAGCTCGGAATCAAACCCCAACCCTTGCAATGTTCCCCTGCCAACTTCTGCTGGGGTATGTAAGCCGAGTATGTAGCCCTCCCGAGGTCCAGGGCTCCAGGGCTGAAGTCCCACTGGGATGCAGGTGGACGTGACAGAGCTGGAATTTGAATGCCCCTGCTTAAGCCCCGGATTCCACCCCAATCCCAAAGTGTCAGTTACCCCAACTTCGTCCTACCCCATGGGTACAGGAGATCGCACCCGATGGCGCAAATCGCCACCCTGCTTCCAGTCAGGAAATGTGCCCCTTCGCCCCATACATCACACAGACGCCAGGTGGCTTGGAGGACAATAAATGGCTCATTGGCATCGGGTATTGATGATTTCATGAAGACCACTAAAGCGTATGCACCAATTTTAGCGCAGAGGCACTGACGGGTGACGGGTCAATAGCCTTCAGGGCAGGATTAGGTTGTCTGGTTCGGTATCCCTGACCAACGACGGGTTCGAGATGACGCCCATTATATATCAAAACTAAAGACGGGGAAATAAGGCCCGTGGAATCTGGGGTCCCCAGCCAGTTAGGCGCTTCCGCGCCGAAGGATTTGAGGGGTATGCGGGAAGACACGGGGGCCCTGAAGTAGGCTTCCAAGCCCGAGGAGCAGATCTATCCCGAGACCGAAGCTTTCTATTACGAGACATTTTGTATGGATTTGAAAGGCCTAGGTGAGATATTTGGTCCTGGCTGAACCTAGAAGTTCTGAAGTTGAACCCGTGGACTGGGATTAAAGTGGCAATGAGCACGGAGTACTAAAGTACTTCGTAGGATAATCTCCATGTATACTAGTTTCAACTTCGTCGTAATCAGCTGTGTAATATAGTGAAGTTATCTCCAGATTAACACCTGGGCATATAGGCGAATCCAACAACCTTTAAAAGGTTTAGGTAAAAGCCACACCAATCACGCGCCTGGCATTTTTGCTATCTCCGAACGTGCGCCGTACCGCGGACTGTTTGGATGCCAAGAGATGCCAAGATCCCGTCAGCCTCCGGGTTGAACCAATCAACGGTTAGTTATGGCTACATTCGGCCTTGGCCGTTCTTATCGCGTGGGTAATAAAACCCCGGGTCTCGGTATTTGAAAAAAATTGGTTTTTTAATTTTGCGGAGAATCAAGATTTACGGGGGCCAACCATATCAATTACTGTTAGTCACTGCGTGGAGAAAAATCCCCATATCTCCCCTCTATGTAGTATACCGCTGTAGTAATATCTGCCCCGGTGTCAACATCTCTTTATCACCCTATCACTTATCTCATCATACCATACCTACGGTACCTAGGTAGTATTACCAAGGGGGAAAAGACAAGCAATTTTTAGAAAGATGATCATCCAGTGCTTTGCGCCTCACCCGGTGCAGATAAGGGAGTAGGGCTCACTAGGTTCACCGGTCAGCCACCAAGTAGGTCCGAGGGCTAAAAACGTGGTAAGCCCGTATGGAAGTCTTGGCTGCGAGGCCAGCCATCTACTAGAGTCTTGGCCTGTACACTTCTCCGCGATGGGCTCCACTCCCGCGGAGGCAAAAGAGGCAAAGGAGATTGCAGCGTACCCCGGGATTCGCTAACGGACTGTGCGTTCTGTCCGTGCCTTTAAGTCTGCTGTGTCCCCCGAATCACTGGCGGCGAATTCTCTCTCCCATCTTAGTCTCTGTCGATACTACAACGAGATGGGTCACCCCGATGAGATCAATGCCCTCGAGGCACAACCCAGCTACTATGATGACTCCAAGGTCGAGGAGACCAACGAGCCCACCCAACTGAAGAGGGAGCTCAAGGCGCGCCACATTTCCATGATTGCCATCGGTGGTGCAATTGGAACTGGCTTGATTGTGGGAACTGGTAGTGCATTGACGTGAGTCTATCCCCCGCTGGAATGATTGGAATATCGCTAACCTGAAATCACAGAGCCGGAGTATGTGAAACTGACCTGACCCGACCCTCGATGAATTGAATACTAATGTAACATTTTAGCCCGGCGCTCTCTTGATTGCGTACTGTTTCATGGGTCTCGTGGTGTGGACTGTTATGTGTGGATTGGGTGAGATGGCCGCCTGGCTGCCCCTGCCCTCTGGTTTCACTGGTTACGCTGGCCGTTTCTGTGATCCCGCTCTCGGATTTACTCTCGGATGGTGGTGAGTATACCTGGATGCACACCGACAGAAAAGCAAAACTGACCCTCTATTAGCTACTATCTGAAATATATCATTCTTCCGCCCACACAACTGACTGCTGCCGCCCTGGTCATCACGTATTGGCCACGAGTATCTGCCGACAATGTGAACCCAGGTGTATGGATAGCCATCTTCATGGTGGCAATCATCGTGATCAACTACTTCGGTGTGAAAGTTTTCGGCGAATTGGAATTCTGGCTATCGGCTTTCAAGATCGTTACCATCCTGGGAATCATCTTGACCTCTCTCATTTTCGCCCTCGGTGGCGGACCTGATCACGACAGACGCGGTTTCAGATACTGGAAATCCCCCGGTGCTTTCAATCACAAGTATGTTGAAGGAGATCTTGGAAAGTTCCTTGCTTTCTGGTCTGTCATGGTGCAGGCCACCTTCGCCTTCCTCGGTAAGAGCACTCTCAATGCAAATTGCGTGGTGTATATCTAACTCTCTTCAGGTACCGAGCTCATTGGTGTCACCGTCGGAGAAGCCCAAAACCCCCGAAAGACCATCCCCAAAGCCATCAAGCTTACCTTCTGGAGAATCATTGTGTTCTACATTCTCAGTGTTCTCTTCGTCGGCATGTTGGTTCCCTATGATTCCCAGGATTTGGCATTTGCCACCAAGGCCAAGAGCTCCGCAGCGGCTTCGCCATTCGTGGTCGCCATGAAACAAGTCGCTGCTCTCCCACACATCATCAATGGTTGCATTCTTGTATTTGTCCTGTCTGCCGCCAACTCCGATCTCTACATCGCCACTCGAACCCTATATGGTCTTGCACGTGAGAAGAAGGCACCAGCAATCTTTGCTCGCACCAATGCCGCTGGTGTTCCCGTCTACTCCCTGGCCCTATCTGCTTCTTTCTGTCTCCTTGCTTTCATGAGCGTCTCCAAGGGCTCCAAGGAAGTCTTCGGATACTTTACTGACATGGTCTCGATCTTCGGATGTAAGTTATAGCTAATCCTGCCGTACCAATCGTTCGATCAGTCACTAACTTCCTATCTCAGTGTTAACCTGGATCTCCCTCCTGATCACTCACATTTTCTTCATCCGTGCCCGACGTGCACAGGGCGTAGATGAGAAGACTCTACCATACAAGGCCCCTCTTGGAATCATTGGTTCCTGCGTCGCCCTGTTCTTCTGCGTGCTAGTTGCCTTCACTCGCAGCTTCGGTGTGTTCATTCACAACTCTGCAACATACGGCAACTTTGACTACAAGACTTTCATCACTTCCTACATCGGAATTCCTCTCTATGTCATGGCATTCACCGGATGGAAGTTCTGGAAGAAAACAGAGCTGATCAAGCCTCACAACGCCGACATCTGGACCGGAAAGGCCGAGATTGATCGCGAAGAGGCTGAATTCGAAGCCATGGCTATAATTGAGGACCAAAACATGACGATGCCTAAGAAGATCTACAAGATGTGCTTCTCATGGCTCTTCTAAATTATTGAGATTAGTTCTTACGGCCTTTTATTTCTTAGATATTTGATGACGAATACGGATACATGATTTCCATTCTTATAATCATTAAACGACCAAGTTCTATATCGGAATATTGCTTTGTAATTCGTGGTACTTGCCCAGGTGCGAGGCTCCAAGGCCCGAGGTCACAGTCTGTGTAATCGTCGCTATCCACAGGTCAGACTTGACATTCTAGGTACGCTGGGACCAACTACCTCCTGTGGTTCGAGCTAGAGCCAGAGACAGATGCATTTCTGTGTTTACGGTTGCGCTGCTTCGGCACAGGCTCTGGAGATGGGGCACCACTCCGATCACCTCGGCGCTGGTCATCTGACTCCTCCCACAACTTAGTATAGTAATCAACGTTTGTAGGCAAAGCATGAGCTACGAACATCATCGACGATGAGATCTCCGCGGCTACGCGGGGGCCAGAACTCGGGGTGTTGGTCAGTTCATCGCGCCAGCGTGTGATATTCAGCAGAAGCATGTTGCATTTTTCAGTCCAGGCGGTGGAATGCTTGAAGTGAACTTGACCGGCTAGTCTGAGGGGCGTGATGTGGTTGAGGAGGTTGCCTAGCGAATTAATTGCGACCTCGCGGCCTGGTCCCTCATTCACTTCGAGGATGTGAACCAGGGACCTCAGGGTGTTCTTGACGAACCTTGACTCTGCGGCATATGCTCCATGGGGGACTCGGGAAGACATTTTTTCGAAGGGAATACTTAGACTTGATATCTGAGATGGAGGTGAAGGTCGATGTTTCAATGCTTTCTCGATTATTGAGTAGTGTAACTGGTTGACTGAGAGCTTGCTTCGGATATACTGTCTGTAAGGTGGGATCCGGGAGTCTTTATAGACCTGTTGTCTTAAAAGGACTACATTGTTCAGCCCTCGAAGTTTGGTATGTGTCAGAGATGAACAAAGCCGTTATTTTTATTGTTGAACGCTTTGTCTCCAGGGCTCTACAATGGATTGTGGATATGATTCCACTCGATCTGAGATACGATTAGAACACAAAGAACAGATCTCATTGGAACGGGCTTCTTCCAAGGCTCTTGATGATCTTTTTATAGTTGTCCAATCAAAAGAAAACAAAATGATAAAGAAACAAGAGATCCTGCCATCAGGTGATAGAGTCTTGTAAAGCATCTGGCTGTGATATTTCCATTATTGTTTCCTCTACAGTCTCGTAAACCGGAACAAATTTTGGCGAGACATTGAAGATCACGATATCTATCCAGGAGCTCAGGATGAATCATTGCCAGATTGGTTTTTGATACCTCACCAAGCTCACCATTCCTCCATCCGCAAGCAGATACTCTGTCATTCCAAGGTTGGAAACTACGTCCTATGGAAATGCAGTGGTATTGAGTCGTTACCCTGAGCGAAGATCCTAGAATAGAAGAAAATGTAACCCCTGGTTGTGTTCACCACGGCATTGTGAGTACAGATCCCTCTTCCCCAGATCCCACTCGACCAAAGACTACCTCTGCCCCTAGACTTTTTGGGTCCAAGTTCATGACAATGTTGAACAAAGTACTGCTTCTGGTACCCTTAGGACGCAAAGGGTCTTCCTGTTCGCATATCGCCTGAGGTAGATTGAAAGTATCAGAGAATATGGATTCTCTCAGCAAATCGGCAGTGATATCATCGCCGGTAACACCAACATCAAGAAGCTCCTTCGTCAGGTCCCCTAATCGCCTCAATCGAATTGGAGATCCGGATAGCCAGGGTGGCTCATCCACGTATTGATTCTCAAGGAAATGATTGGTATGACCAATGAGACCATTTGCATCTTCAGCAATGTGTTTGTCTCCGACGGGGGACAACTCAAGGCCCAGCGCGGTTGTGTAATCTGCACAGAGGATATGCTGTGCCGACGCAACTCCGCCTAGAGACTCGATAGTCTTGACAGCGTCATGAACGGATTTACTCTCCAAGCACAATCGGAGTGCAACATGAATGGGCACCTTGGAACTCAGCATTGGCTTTGCCCGAATGGCATTCAGACAGGTTCCCACGCCGTTCAGGTTGAATCCAATCTTGCCGACGATCCCTGCCTAATGGGGGTTTAGCCACACAATGTGGTAGATACGAGAATTCCTAATTAACTGACCTCTGTAACCATATAGAGAACAGGCTTTCCCTCCTGTTCTATTGAGATCATGGCAAGATTTTTCTTGACTGTTGCTCTCCAGTCCCAATTCTGCGATAGGACTCGGGCCCCACCGCTTTTCTTCCAGCAGAGCGTCGTGCAGCCATCGGAGAAGCTTCCGAGGGCGATTTCGCTTCGACAGTTGAGGGCGATGATATCGAGCACATCAAGACCAGCACCTTCGGCGATGCCTTCCATTTCCGTCAGCAGATGTGGTGTCAAGACCTTCAACGTTGACTGAAACTCCTTTGCGACCTCGCGCACTTCTCCCCAGGATAAATTTGACTTCTGCTGGAACATAGAATCATAGATAGAAACTTGACTATGAATCTGTTCTCGCAAGGCCCGACCATGTTGAAGTCCAATCTTATTCCACGTCAGCATTCAAATCCCGATCCTAAGGTATGTCGACATACTTCTCGAGGAGAGCCCCTGAGTGTGAGCTTGATTGGGTCATTTTCGGATACCATCTTTGCACAGCTGGACGAAATGCCCAGGTTTACAACCTTAGAAATTATAATTTAAGAGAGTTGAAAGAAAGGGAACAATCTCCCCCTCACATTGTTATCTACGGCTTACCGGTTGGCGATTCCGCAAACGGAATCGCTGGATGCCTCGGTACCCCAACTGACTCCAACATCTACACACCGTATATCTATTGCATTTATCTGATATTCGATTTCAGTACTACCTAAAGCACCTATATTTCTCAATTTAGGCATCTGAAACCAGATGCTTGAATAGTTTATCCAGGTAATACGCGGACTGTTTGGGATAACGCGTCTTCTCTGCAGCATCAAAGTCGATAAATGTGCAACCGAAGCGGTCGGCATATCCAGCAGCCCATTCTAGAACGAGTTAGTTTAACATGCTCACACAGTGTCAATAGGCCGACTTACCCCAGTTATCTGTGAATGTCCACGCGAAGTATGAACGAACATCGACACCATCCTCTTTCACGGCGCGTGCCAGGGCATTACCAACATATCCCTCGAAGAATTTGATACGAAATTGGTCGTCAAGAACATCGGGAGTGGGTGCGACCTCGCCCTTGGCCGTGGTTCCGTTTTCCGTAACATAAATTGGCATCTGGTATCGTTTATAGATCCAGTTCAACAATTTTCGGAACCCTCCGGGCGCAGCTCGCAGCCACGGGGTATCGCTCTCCTCGCCACGAGATACGCCCTGCTTGTTCTCATCATGAATCTCCACATTGCCTTTGTGGTCGTTGATATCCGGTGGTGTCGTCGTATGCTTCACGAAAAAGGTGGTGTAGCTGTTCATCCCATAGAACTCCGAGCTACCCAGCACAAGTTGAGACTCCTCGGCTGTGAACGTGGGCAAGCGATCGCCGAGCTGTGCACGCATTGATGCCGGATAATCACCAGTCTTATACAAAGGATCCGCGAACCAGGCGATCTCAAACTCGCGTGCTCGTTCTGCAGCTTCTTGGTCCCGCGCATCTGCTTCGTCCCACGCCTCCGACCAGTTTCCATGCAGGGTGATTCCAATGGTTCCATTCTGTTGAGGCTGAAACTCCTCGCGATACAGACGCGACACATGGCCGTGCGACACAAGCTCAGTGTGAGCGACAGTAAAGGGCTCGGTGGATGAATCGCCTTCCGCGTTGCGCTCCCGGAAAGATGATCTTCCAGGTGCATGCACACCAGCTGCATACCCAGCAAGAGTGTACACACCAGGCTCGTTGTAAGTAATCCAATGCTTGACCCGGTCACCGAAGCGCTCAAAGCAGACGCGAGCATAGCGGACAAAGTCCGGTGTATATGCCTCTTGATTAAGCATGCCTCCATATCGGTCCTCTAAAGCTTGAGGGATATCCCAATGGAAGAGAGTGACAAAAGGGGTGATTCCATTGCGAAGAAGCTCATCAATGAGATTGGAATAGAACTGGATGCCTTGTTCGTTGACAGGGTCGTTGCGACCCCCCAGTGGGATGATTCGTGACCATGCTAGGGAGAAGCGGTATGCGTTGACCCCGTAGCTCTTCATGAGGGCGACATCTTCACGATAGAAATCATATGCCCGGACGGCGTCGTCCGCTGTGCTCCCATCGGCCACCTTGCCTGGCGTGTGTCCGAATGTATCCCAGATGGATTGTCCTTTGCCATCTTTATCCCAAGCACCTTCTATTTGAGCGGCCGCTGTCGCATAACCGTGAAAGAAGTCATTCCTCAGAACGCCCTTAAGATCTTGTACTGATCTCAGATCCATGCTCAAATATTGGTATTATAATATTGAAAATCCGAGAATCAATTGGGCTGGAGACCTTTGACCGAGAAAAACAATAAAAATGAGCCCGAAGGATCGCATTTAACCGGCGACTGGGATATGCGGACTGGGCTCCGTGATGAATTGGGAAGAGCGGGGGAGGACGCAGCCATCTAGTCGATGATATTCTGATGTCTTTGAATTCCACAATTCCACACAAGTACTAAGTAGTAATTTGAATATGTACACTCTAAGAAACCTGTAAGACATGCTCTCCATGCCCAGTAATCTCCCGTTCTATCCTGTTGATGTATACCAACACCTTCCCTCCTTTCTCCGACTTGACTCTCACTTCGCCAACAACGCGACCATTCTCCCATTCAAATTGAAGCTCAAAACCCCCACGTGCCCGTACCCCTCGAAGAGACCCAGTCCAGTCTTCGGGGCATGCCGGAAGAATCCGAATCACGCCAGGCTCGTGGGATTGGACCAGCATCTCAATGATGCCGGCCCCACCGCCAAAGTTCCCATCGATCTGGAAGGGCGGGTGACTGTCCAGCAGATTGGGTAATGTCGACTTAGTTAACAGTAATTCTAGGTGGTGACTACACTGGTCGGCCTCGAGTAAACGTGCGTGCAAGTTGATGAGCCAAGCACGACTCCAACCGGTATGACCACCACCGTGTTCTGCGCGACGGCGCAGGACCACTCCACAGGCCGCTGCAAATTCAGGGGTCTGGGCTGGTGTGATGGCGCTACCTGGATGAAGCGCCCATAAGTGAGAAGTGTGGCGGTGTCCAGGTTCGACCTCAACATAGTCGGTGGCCCATTCCTGCAAATAGCCTCCATCGGAGATCTGCATTGGTGGCAGGCGGTCTCTAGCCAGTTGGGCTGCTAGGAAAAGAGAATCTTCAACGCAAAGAGCCTTTGCACAAGCTTGAAATGCGCACAGGACTGCGTCAACAATCTGAATATCGATAGTTGACCCTTCACACAACACTCCCTTCTCCCCGGCATGATCATAGTATGAGTTCTCGGGGGAGACAGATGGGCTGGTAATCAGATATTCACCATTCTTGTCTTCGATTAAAAAGTCCAACAGGAACTCTACACACCCACGCAGCGTGGGAAACATCCGGCGAAGGAACTCTTCATCGCCTGTATACTGGAAATGATCCCAGATATGGTAGCACAGCCATGCACCACCCAATGGCCAGATACTAGCTGGCATCCATCGATCTGCGGGAGCGGTGTCGGCCCAAATGTCTGTGTTGGAATGGGCTGTCCAACCTCGACACCCGTACATGATACGAGCCGTGTCCCGGCCGGACTCAACCATGCGCTCTAGCAAATCAAAAAGAGGCTGTTCACACTCCGACAAGTTACACAGATTTGATAGCCAATAGTTCATTTGCAGATTGATGTTGATGGTGAATCTAGATCCCCATGCTGGATGGAAAGACGGGTTCCAAATGCCTTGCAGGTTTGCCGGGAGCGATTTGTATCCATCTCGACTACATGCTATCACAAGATAGCGGCTGTAGTTTTGATAAAGTGCAATGAGTCCTGGGTCTCGAGACGAGTCTAGACGTTCATCGGTAGGAATTTGAGGAGAGTGTGGCCCAAGTCGCAATTCCATCCGGTTGTACAGTGATTGATAGTCTGAAATATGCCGTTTTCTCAGCTGATCCCAAGAGAGACATAGTGCATTCTGTACGTCTTGCAGAGTTTGCTGGTCGATGTCTTCGTACCGAAATGTAGTCTCTGCTGCAATCACAAGCAAGGCATCACTGGAATTTACTACCAGATTGTTGCCGATCTTGGTGACTGTACTTTCATCACTTTCACAGTGGACTTGTATCATACAGCACGCCCGGTTGCTATTCTTGCCACCCGGCGTAACGTGCATCGTGATGGAGTTGTCGCGTGCACAAACATCGTCCATCCATTCATGTGTTTCGAACTCCAGATCACTCATGCGCGTCAATCGAACAACGAACTCTGACTTGCTTGACGAACGCAGTCGGACCGCGAGGACATTGTCCGGATAGCTCGCCAGGACTTCGCGTTCGAAATGGACACCCTTGTACTCATAGCTAACATGTGCCACCGCATTGGTTAAATCGAGTGAGCGCCGATAGTCCAATACCTCTTTTTGGTCATGGCCTAGGTCCAAGAAAATGTTTCCAAGGGGTTCGTAATTCCGCTGGCTTGTTGGGTTGGCGAAGAACGCCAGTCTGGCTATCTTCTCAGCCTCGGAATGATTACCCTCTCGTATCGCCTCCCTCAGGCGTGGGAGGTGTTCAAAGGCATCTTGTGGGTTTCGATCTTGCGGGCCTCCATACCACACAGAATCTTCATTGAGTTGTAGCATTTCGGTGTCGGTGCGTCCGTATACCATGGCACCCAGACGTCCATTGCCAACTGGCAAGGCTTCATTCCAGTCAGCAGCAGGCTTTTGGTACCACAGCTCAGACATTTTCGATTGATTTGGTTGTGTTCTTCGTCTCTTCAATTCATCTTTTCTTTTTGGCCCTGTAGGGGGTCCAAACGCCAAACGCGTTGGCGCCACAATTCCTTCGCCAGCCCCTCTTTAAAAGAATAGCGACTGTGAATTTAGCCTATTGACTGGATGCTGGGCGAAATTTCAGTCTGCCCACCAATTCCCAGTCACACATGTGGGGATGTCGATCAGGCTGAAAAGGACTCTCATCACAGCCCTAGCTCCCGCTTCCCCAGATTCCGGTTAAATGCCCTGTTCACCACTCGGCTTGATTCAGAGAATGCGTCAAAGCGAAAGGTTTCTGGGTGAGATTTCGATCTAATCGATGCTAGTCCTCCCCACAGTCTGATCCCAGTGGTGGGAAAATCCGAGGATGGAATGGTGTGTCAAAGGAAAAAGCAAATGGTGCAGGGATGCCACCAGAAATCCACAACGTGACTGACGCCAAAACTCGTCTTTCTAGCATCTCTCGCCAATCAAAGCTCTTTCTGGCAAATATAACTTGCCACAGGCCAATGCAAGTCAATGTTGTCGCAAGCCTTTCCTGTCTCCGTGGCGGAATAGGTCAATAGCATGACCGCCGACCGCCGGTTGCTGCCCCTAGCTTCGGTCTTTCGTTCTACTAAAACCAAGCAGAGAGACCCCAGTTCACTAATCTTGGCCTGACTGCAGATTTAGGGTTCCTCGTCCATATATTCCGGGCAATCATATCTATCTCCGATATTCCTCTCGCCCCAATCGTGCCAGCATGAACAAGTCAAGCGCCGCCTATGCGGAGGCGGAGATAGACAAGGCCAACACTCGCGAACATGTCGAAGAGATAGCTTTGGCACGAGTGACAGAGGAAGACCTGTGGAAACTCTCACAGGAGTCCTTGAACGTCTGGTCGTGGACAGGGTTCCGTCTCGGGCTCATCATGTTTATTCACGGCTGCAATCAGGCTGGCTTCGGGGTGGACTGGGGAGTCATTGGCGGGATCAACTCCATGGCCCCATGGCATGACTACTTCGGTTTCGGGACCAGTGGTGGCACGTACGGCTTGCTAAATGCTCTGATGCAGATCGGTACGGTCTGCGGTGCACCTTTCATGGCTCTAGCGGATGTCATCGGTCGTCGTGGAATCAACTTCACTGGGAATGCCATTGTCATATTCGCATCTCTGATGCAAGGCCTTGCGGTGAACCTTCCCATGTTCATGGCTGGTCGATTCTTCATGGGATTTGGCACGGCACTGATGTCCAGCTCACAATACATTGGTGAAATTGCACCCATCCATCTGCGCGGTCGCATGGTCGGGTTCTTCGGTGCTTGCTTCCAAGTCGGCAGTCTTGTCATGCTCGGCGCCATGGTTGGGCTCACGAATTTGCCAGGAAACAACTGTTGGCGCATCCCTCTTATTCTCGAGGCTCTTTTCCCGGCAATTGTCTGCGTGGGAATCTATCTGATCACACCTGAGTCACCTCGGTTCCATGTCTTGAATGGAAATCGTCAAAAGGCCAAGGAAATCATCGCCAAGTACCACACCACTAGTACCGATATCAATGAGCCCATTGTCGAGATTGTGGTCAGACAGATTGAGGAGTCGCTCGAGAACGACCGCACGGGTTACAGAGCTTTCTGGGACTACCGGGTCTTCTTTACCAAAGTAGCACGTTACCGACTCCTCGTTTTGGTTTTGTATTCGCTATTCCAGCAATGGAATGGGGGTGGTATCATCACATACTATGTAAGTTGGAGAAATGGAATATTCGATCAAATCGTGACTCTAACAATCTTTTTTTTTAAGTTGGTTCCATCCCTCGAGCAGTTGAACATCAATGGCCCTAAGCAGCAACTTGGCATCACCATTGGCACTACCGCTGTATACTTTGTCTTCACTGGCGTTGGCTCCCTTTTAGTGGATAAATTCAGCAGGCGGACCATGATCTTCACGGGTCTCATCAGCATGATCATCTTTCAGACAGCCACTACAATTACATCGTGGCAATATGCATTGCAAGCCACCACTGCCGCGGCTGCACTCACTCTTCTCTGGATCTTCCTCTATCAGACCTTCTCGGCTACATTTGTCGCAACCATGCACAATCTGTACCCGATCGAGATTCTGTCGCTGCCTCTTCGTGCGAAGGGTATGGGCCTATATAGTCTCATTCAAGGCGGTGCAGGAGCAGCGCAGTCTTACGGAATCGGAGTCGGGATCGAAAAAGTTGGATACAAGATTTGGGTCGTGTACATTGCGTACAACTCTATTCAACTCGTGTTGTCCTACTTTTTCTTCCCCGAGACTGGCGGTCTGGCTCTAGAGGAGATAAACACGGTGTTTGAAACCCCGGGGATCCACCCGGTGAAGATGTCGTTGGATATTCAAAAAGCCAAGAAAGCAAGAGCCGATGCGGGACGGGACGAAGAGGGCATCGCTGAGCTATAGGTGGCGAGATATTTTGTTGTTTGAGGATAGGAATATGTAGTCATCAAATCCATGTAAGTTTCCTCCTTGCCAGGTCTAAGCTTTGGGGGAAACTTCTGTTCCTTTTTTTTTCGGGAGCTTTCCTTATGAAAAATGTTAAATATGATCTTGTAGAAAGCTTTTACCTCTCTCTAAACCTACGCGTAGCCCCAAGAGTGACCAAAACAGATGAAACGCGTCGGACCCGATCTCAGCACCTACCCATCGCTTGTTACACAGTCTTCCCGGGTTTTGTCTTCTCAGGCGTGGATGAGACAAGAACACGAGCCTGTAAATTTATTGACCCCTACCAATTTCCTTTTCCAGGGCTTCTGCTGTTAATGTGACTTCGATCGTTTTATACTATGTACGGGGAGGATTGGATGGACATCAGATGACCCCACAAGCCCTAAACATGAACAGCCGTACTCAAAGCTAGCTGTTGTTATGTTGTTATGTTGTTTTTAATTCCCCAAATCCTATTGCCACCAGTCCAGAATCCAATCAGCACTCAGAGGTACCCTACATTACGGGCTGCAGCGTTGTACAAACGAATCAGGTACCGAGCTAAGACCCTCTGTCTTCAGTCTTTCTTCCTCTACTTGTATACCTCGCATCGACGATCGTTCGAGCTGTTTCTTTTTTCAACTTGGCGTCATGTGCTTTGGCAAATCCAAAACCGCCAACGGGTTTCCTGCAGTCTGCGGTATCACAGGTGGCCTGAGGGCTCTATGAGCCCGATATGGCCATCCTTGAATGACGGCAAAGCATATCTCAGCTGGCAAATAATGTTTCGATTGTTCTCTCTACCAAACAATGCGAAAGTGTATCCGTTCCTGTGGACTTGTAGGGATAAATGCCAACTAGCAATCACTGCCCATCTCTTCGGGGAGATTGAATTGACCATATCCATCTCATGTGTTCATCTCAATTAGCCATCTCGGCAGTAATTACGTATCAGGTTTTCCCTGCAGATGACAAAGCCTACAGACAATGGCCTCGGGATATTCATGGAAATGACGGGCAGGCTACATCAACTCTATTTTCGTGTAATGCGGTTGCTTGCCTAGGATCTAGGTCTAGATGACTGGACCTCGTGGCATATACATTACAGCTCTATCTTCCAGCTGAATAACTAGGTGTGTCTTTATCAAGCTGGCTAAGCATGCTTTAGGGGGTGTGCAGTACATATCTCTGTGGCAAAGCAAAAACTACGATGTACAACAATACCTGATGTCTCATCTACAGACCCTGATACACGATGCACGCACGTCCATACGGACCGCGACGGGACTGCTGCACCTCCCGGCGCTCGACCCTTCGAGGGAATCTCATTTAGTCATGCAAGTCAACTTGCGCAGTCCGGCGATTCAAACATCGTGTCACCATGGCTTTCTCGCCATAGGCACCAGGCAAGTCGATCATTGAACTCATTGGCCCAACCGCTTCCATCACGAGGGAGAGAGCACTGCCGTCAAAAAGCAAACGGGTCATCGCCACTCAACACGAGACCCGCATGGTTCTTCTTTGGTCGGTCTCAGAAGCGCAAAGAAGGCTTTGGGGACCGTTGGGTTTGTTGAACTTCTTCTTGGTATGCGAGTTTGCGCATGTGTCTTTCAATCTCCTTCTATTTCTGGGATGGCTCGACAGTGGCCATGCCCCCCCCCCTACTGTGCTGCATATTGGGATTGGATTGAGATGTGATACGGAAGTTTCGGGTATCGGGCGAGGCACAATGACGATGGCCATGGTCTCTCGCTATGATATAATTAATCGGAGTTCCTCACTTATATTCTTGCATCTGTCCTTCGGTTCTCTGCTTTGGATTTCTAAAACAATTTATACGTGTTATTAGCGTGGAGAATACTTAAGTATATTGTCAAAGCCCCTTACGCCGCCGATATACATACATCTTCGTTTTGAACAAGACACCGCCCAAAATACATCTTCTGCTACTTGACTACCGGGAAGAGCCTCGGGAAAAGACACAATTTCAAGAGACTTGAATAAGTACAGGCCCATCGCCTGCTGCATCACCAACCTTCGAACTTTTGCGGCAGTTCAACATGCCTCCAAGAACTATACACGACACCATGATGCCGGAAGCGAGAGGGCTACGATACGACGAATGTGAAATGGCTCTGTTTCGGGCCAAACTCTCGTATCATGCCACCATTGACGAGCGACTGGCGGCCAAAAACCCAAACCTTACATCCATTGCCGATGCCCAAGCTCGAATACTCAAACTCTGGGAAATACAAATGCAGAAGGGAAGAGATATGGCAGGTCGGGACGAGAGTCGCTCTGCAAACGACGTGAGGGCAATGGCACAATATGATTGGAGGTACAAAACCCTGGAAAATGCGGCGATGAAGGCCACTGGGAAATGCTAAAAGCTGTTTGGAGGCCATAATTTTTTTACTATTCCTGTTCTTGTCGATTTTGATTACCACAAAGGCATTGCTGGCGTTTTTTTAGAAGCGTTGCAGCTCAATATCAATCGACCCGGTTCTAAGTGTCCACGGGTACTTGACCTTCAATACATCTCTTTCTTGTCTTTGAAGCTACGTCGCATCTTCCGATTTGCAGAATGTCAATAACTGTAGAGGAACGCAGAAATCTGCCCACTGTGTTTCGAAATTTAGAAATCTGACTTGGAAGAAATTTCGTTGTCGCACAAACAGCCCGGTCAATACTGCAACACTGTAGCCAAGTCAACTTCGAGATTCCACTTGGTGGGAGATTCTCTCGGAAGACATTAAAGGCAGCACCGCAAAAGCGTCATTGTATGCCGCTGTGGCACGAGAAAATATGCAATACTGCAAGGCAAGACCAATTCAAATTTCTACCGCCGATTGGGCTCTCGAATCCCCAGCCAAACGGCCTTCTCGGGCAGATGAGCCCCATCACCTGGGCACACTTGCAGTCGTGAAGATGCTAAGGATGATGGCAGATATGTACATTTTGGTTTCTCAACAGCCACAGACTGCCTCATCATGGATGTTGCGAGATAAAGGCAGGTTATCTTGCGAGATAATTCCCATATTCCAACTTAGAAGGTTCAGAATGCACCTATTTTCATTCGAAAGTGTAGATAGATGAAGATTGGAGTGAAAGAAACAGGTATTTCCCACAGAGAAAAGAAAGAAAACACAGAAAACATGAATGATGATCTCACTAAATGTCCAATGAAAAAAAAAAGAAATTGAAAAAGAAAACGCACTGAATGAACATCGAACATAATGTCATGTATCAACAAGTAAACCAAAACCATGCACCTCAATGACGCCTTCTATCTTCATAAAGTCGGGGTATAAATTAACAAACGCGTAGAATCATTTCTTTTCCAGAGGCAAGGGCTTCGGCTCATCGGAGGCCGAAGAAGAGAAACTGGTAGGCGTGCCAGCACCAGCATCCATACTTGCCCTAGAACGCTTTTCTCGAATCGCCAGGCGGGATTTGGGGTATGAGGGTACCGGGGCGAGATATTTGTCCAGGAGTTCACTCAGGATGGGCGAGCGAACCGGTTTCGGGAGGTAATTGTTCATGCCGGCTTCCAGGCATTTTTCGCGATCGCCCTCAATGGCACTTGCAGTCATAGCAATGACCAGAACTTCATTGACATTTGGATCAGGGTCGCGACGCAGCTCACGAGTGGCGTTGTATCCGTCGAGAGTGGGCATCATGACGTCCATGAGAACCACATGGAAGGGATTGCCCTCCTGGGACCTTGCACGAAGGGCATCGACAGCTTGCTTTCCATCGCTGTATGCTTCGCATTGGAGGCCGAGACCTGTGACAAACTTGACAGCAATCTTCTGGTTGATTGGATTGTCTTCGGCAATGCAAACTCTGATCTGATCACGGGGGATTTGAGTGAGATCGCGAGCTGATGAACGGCGGGCTTCTTTTTCCGCTTTGTTCAAGTCTTGCGACCATGTTGTCTGCACTGCTGTCTTTTTGGGCGCTTTGTTGAAAACTAGGTGGAATGTCACAGTAGTTCCCACACCAGAAGTGGATTCGAGCCAGATTGCGCCACCGAGAACATCTTCAATGATAGCTTTGCAGATTGACAAACCAAGACCACTACCGCCGTAAGATCTTTCTGTGGAAGCATCGGCCTGCGAGAAAGGTCGGAAGAGGCGTGTTTTCTGTTCGTCTGGAATACCTATACCAGTGTCGGCAACTGAGCATTCCAGACGAACACGGCCCTTGCCTTCACGAGCAACCCTTGCCGTGACTGTGACCGATCCAGCGGGTGTGAATTTGTAACTGTTGCTGAGCAGATTCATGAAAATCTGGTGCAGACGGACGGGGTCTCCAAGAACCACCAATTCCGATGGAACCTTGTCCAGATTCTCAATGGTTTCCAATCCTCTGTCACGGTGTGTGTACCGCAAAGCACGAATGACCTCTGTAATAGTTTGCTTCAGGTTGAGCGGGACGGTGGAGATCTTCATTTTCCCAGCTTCCAATTTTGAGAAGTCCAAAATGTCATTGATGAGTGTGAGCAAGGTATCAGCGCACACACGGATCGATTCCACGTATTCATCTTGTTCCTTGTCAAGAGGTGTGCCTTTGAGTAGTTCCGACAGACCAATCACGCCGTTCATGGGTGTCCTAAGATCATGAGAGATGTTTGCAAGGAAGATCGATTTGGCCCTTGCTGCGTCTTCCTTCAGCTTCACGTTGTGCTTAGCCTCGGCCTCGGCAATCTTGGCCTTTTGCTCGGCCTCTCGCGCCAGCGCCAGCGCACGCTTTTGAGATTCAATCATAGAAGCGTTTTTGGCGCTAACCTTTCGAATCTCGCGGAAAAGCAATGCGTTGGACAGCGAAATACCAATCTGGTTGCAAAGCAGATGTAACACGACAACATTACGCTGTGTGAACCAGTTTGGCTTTCCCTCCAGGTGAATGACACCAAGAAGGTGATCGCCTTGGACGACTGGCAGTGCTATGACAGATCGACCTGCAGGGAAATTGGCAAGATAAGACTCGCTCACATTAGAGAACCGCTCATCCTCGAGAACGTTGTGGACGAGAACTTCCTCCTTGGTACGCATGACATAGTGTGAAATTTGGAGTGCGATACGATCATCCATCTCTGAGAATGGCAGGCCTTCGGGGAAAGACTTTTGGCCTTTCTCGGCATCGCCGGCTGCGGCAATCGCAAAGCCATTGTCGTCAAAGTCGGTGGCAATGATTGCGAAATCGGACCCGTTGCATGACTCCAATATTATCTCAAGCATTTTTGTGAAAAGCTTTTCGATTTGAAGTTCCGAAGACATGACTTGGCTGGACTCGAGGATGCTACTCAGGTCAATAATGTCTAGCCCCACACTCGATATGTCTAGCGCTGGCTCGCCAGTAGCGACCCCATTCTGCTCGATCCAATGTTGTCTTCTTTCGTTCTCTTCCAGTTGCTGAGGGATCAATATCTCTTCCTGAGCAACTTCACGGCCGATCTCAAGAAGCGAGTCAACAGTTTGACAGCCAACATCGACAGTCTTTGCCGAGGTCGCAGTCTTGAGTAACCACTCGTGCTTCTCAGCCAGTTGGGTTGATTTGCCTCCGGCACCTATTGAGCTCCAGGCAGCGATAGCCTCTTGAATAACAGCCCGAGCGGCTCTCTTAGCTCCCCTTCTGATTAGGAATTCACCTTGCAGCTCAAGTGCCAACGCCTCTTCGAGGGGCCAGCCGTGAATTTGGGAGTGATCAATAGCAGCTTCATACCCCTGGATAGAAGCACTGTGGTCGTTGTGAACCTCAGAGATCAGGGCTTCCAATATGAATGACCACATTCCATAATTTGCTTCCGATGAAGATCGAGCAATATCAATCTCGGTCTTGTACTGTTTCAGTGTCTCCATCTTGCCATCAAGATATCCTTGTGCAGGACTATCATTGTGAAGCATGAGCAGTGAAGCTGCAAGGTAGAATTGAATCACATATGACACACGCGCAGACCAAAGTCTGTGTCGTGTGAATAGTAATTGGGTGCCGACTTCAACTGCTCTGGTGTGGTGACCGAAGAGGAACAATGGTATCATGGCAAGACCCCAATAGATGTCCCGGGGCCTGTCGGCGTTGGTGGAATGTGCATCCAAGTATGTCATGAAGTCGGATGTATTGTGCTCAGCGTCCGACATGATGCCATCAGCATCGCGGAAGTTAGTCTTGCCTTGGAGGGCACGCGCAACTTGTTGAACTGAGATGATACTGGCTCCGCCGCGCGTATCCCGCTGCCAATTAGGGATTTCTTCGGGAGCTTCAACGCAGAAGCCCTCCAGTTGGGTCATGTCCTGTCCGAGATACAACCGTGTCATAGCCATTGACGAGATACTGATCAGTGTCAAATAAGGATCGCCCATTGAGAACGATGCCTCAAGTGAGGTTTCCAGGGCCGGGAGAGTAGACGCCATAGGAACACGGAGATGGCTGACGTAGAGATTATGGACGATTGATCCTCTACTCTGCGTCCAAAGCTCGGGACAACGCTCAAGCAATTCCAAAGAGAGATCGCTTAGCTTAGCACCAAATTCGATGTCTTTGAACCGGCCCAGAGAGATCATGGCAAGGTGGGAACAACCTATGGCAATCTGCGTAAATCCACCCTGGAAGATATGGATGTTCATGACTTCAATTGCCATCCGATAGAAAACCAATGCGTCATCCCAATAAGTGACCGTCATGGCCTCTGCCATGACTGCGCCAATATTCATCACAGTGGGGTTCTGAGAGATTGGCTTTCGTGCGATGGAGCTCAAGTCGACAGTCTCTAGATAGGTCTTGAGACGAAGGTAGGCGGCATCACATTCCTCATAACTCGTGGGTTTGCGTAGATGCACTCCAAGCTCGTCGAGACAAGTGAGGAGCGCCTCCATGGAATGGTGGTGATCTCCTACCTGGGCAAAGATCTTAGCCTTGATGATCCAGGCTCTGGACTTGCTGACGGCGTCCTTGCCATGAGCAAAAACCTCGTCAATCAACTGAAGAGCTTCCTCATTTTGCCCTTGTGACCACGCCATCTCAGCAGTCGCGATAAACAGCCGCATGGTTTCATCATAGTAGACGTCCGGTTTGACGTCATTCCATAAGTCATCCTGGAGGAGAGCGATGCAGTGACGGAAATACCAAAGTGCAGAAGGCCGCGCGCCGGACTGAGACGCAGTCTGGCCAGCATCCCATAATATCCGGCGGTACTCTAGTCGCCTGGCAACACGCGTTTTGATTGTGCGTGAGGCCAGTGCGACGTGATGGGCCATAGAGTAACGACTGCGATGGTCATGATAATATTTCATCAAAGCCTGTGACACAATAAAGTGCATCTTCTCCACATTTTTGCTCTCGCTCAAAGAAAGTGCGGCCTGTGCAAGGCGCTCATTGCCGAACCTTTGGATTTGATTAGCACTGCGAACATCATATGAGTGTCAAGAGTGATTGTTATCTTACCTAAACTCATCATCGGTCTTCCCAGCGTTCAATAGATTGGCCTGGACCAAGAATTGCAACCCAACAACGATGTCACCTTCGGATTGTCTGATCAATGTCACGTTCTGTGGTGATGTGAGATCAATATCCTCATCGTCATCAGTCAAATAAAGAAATTCACTGGTCAGCAGCTTTTGAACCAACGAGAACGAGAAAGGACTGCCCAAAAGCGCTCCCCATATCATGATTGATCGGGCGGTAGCCGGAATCCCCTGGAGACGCCTTGTAAGGAACCCGAGCCCAAGCTCTTCCCCATACTCTGGGGCCACAAATTCAGTGAATATCCGATCAAGATCGAAGAGCCATTTGGAGTCTTTCCACGAATACCAAATGCAATTTGTTCTGTAACAAGTCTCAAGCATTACCCGAACGTAAAAGGGGTTCCCGCGACTCTTTTCTTGAATGACAGCACAGAGTGGAGTCAATGTTTGGTTGGATTTCTGATGCATAGTCACCGCAATGATTTCCATGACGTGCTGTTCTTCTAGCGGTTCAAGTGCAATCCGAGTGACAGTGGGTCTGTCCTGCTCGAACAAAGCCCTCATCTGGTCTGAGGCGATCTCATCTTTTCGGCTTGCCAGGATGATCACACATGGGAGTCGAGCCTTGATTATCTTCAGAACCAGATCCAAAGTCTCATCATCCGCATGTTCAAGATCGTCAAGGCAAATGGTGATTAACTTTAAGTGGCAAAGCGTTCTCAATATCTCAAGGAATGTGTCCATGAGCTGCATATTTTTGGAGGCAGCATTGGCCAAGAAGAAGTCAAGAGAGCTCTGACCCTGGTCTAGTCCTGGGATTCGAACGTGCTTGGAGGGCTCTCCCTTGTCCGGTACAAACAAATCTGGTTTAGCATCCGTGGGTCTATACTTCGCGCCCGGGGACATCAATTGCTCTGGGAGCTCCAAGACTTTGTGGAGAGTGGGCCACATTGGGCGTAAGGCCACCCGCACACTGTTATGATAATCCGTGGTGACATCTCGCTCGGAGAAGATTTGGCGCAAAAGACTTGCTAGAAGCTTGGCAAATGGCTCAAAGGGGACACGCTTGGCTCGGTCAAGGCGGGTGATCGCAATACATCCAAGTTTGCGAGCGGTTGGCTGGATTCGATTCAAGAGATCTGTTTTACCAATACCAGCAGCACCACTAATTGTGATTACTTCACATCGCTCGTTGCGGCGTATCTTGCTACCTGCCTTCTGCTTGATCAGAGAATGAAATGATTCCGGTTGGCTAGAATTGTTATAGCTGGTCGATGGTAGACTCTGAGGGCCAACGGAAGGATCAGTGTTATGGGAAGACCGAGAATGCGATGGACTCTTCATCCTGCTTGACTGTGCTCTTGGGCTTTGGCTGTATGCGTCGGGGATTGCAATTGACCCGTTTCTAGGGGTTGACGAGAGCGTATCGTCGCCAGCTAACGCAGCCTCTTGGGCATTGGCTTGTGCAATGTGTCCACTCGTGACGTTAGAGCTGGATCGAGGGGGCAGTTGGAAAGAGCCAGAATCACTGGAAACAGAAGCGCACTCGAAGCTCTCAACGCGGCTCTCGGCGATGGACGAAGCCGAAGTGAGCGCGTGCATTGTACCCGGGCTTTGAGTCCCCGATTTGGCCAAAGCGGCCGCCTGGCGCTTATTGACTTTGTGTATGACACTCATGATCTTGTCATATTCTTCTTGCCGGCCGAACATTTGTGTCGGAAGAGTGAAGAAAGAAGAAACGTCTCCTTGCGCAACTCGGAAGTTGTTCAGAGCCTCCCCATCTCCATCCCCAAGCAATTTCAAGATGTGAGTCAGGTCTCTCTTCACAGACGAGATAGTATGGTATCGATCATGGACGACCTTTTGAGTCATTTTCTGAACCACGGCTGAGAGAGCGTCCGGAATGTCCATTCGCTTTCCAGACACCGGGATGAGCCTCTTTCCTAGCACATTTTGAACAACGTCAACTGGGTCATTGCCCTCGAATGGAAGCTTTCCAACCAGCATAGACCAGAAAAACAGGCCCAGAGCGTAGATGTCAGTGCGACTATCCGGCTCTGTGGGCATTCTTCCCGTCTGCTCTGGTGCAATGAACTGCAGCTTGTACTTGGCACCAAGCTCACGGGAAACGGAGGACCACCCTTCGCTCAGAACATTGTCAAACGATCTCGCGCCATTGCCAGTGTTTGCAAGTTTGACTGCACCAGTCTCAGCCGAAAAGTGAAAGGCATCTCCTCGAATTTCACCGTGCACTGTTTTCAACCCGTAGTGTAGAATCTCCAAGCAGTCGCAGGCACCGATCGCGAAATCGAAGAACGCTTGCAGGGAGACCTGCTCGTTGGGAGTAGCATTGTTGTCCTCACCCCGGGATCCCGCCGCAAACGAGGCGGGGCCGAATGTGACGAGATCTCGCAATCTGTCGTGTCCCGGAGATTCAAAAATTGCGACCAACAGCGTTGCCGAATTCCCGGAGTCTTGTTGTAGCCTGATCAAGTCGAGCGGTCGTATCGTATGATTGCAATCGGGGTCTGACGATTGAACGATCGACCGAAGCATGTGAAACTCCCGCTCCAGCCGGACTATGTTGGTGGAAATTCGCGCGACGACCGGTATCCATACTGCCTCTGCCTCCAAGCTATGGTGGTTCGAGAGGGAGACCTCACTGCTAGTGTCGCTTACGCTTAGTCTTCGCAGGGCACGGGCTGACGGCCGGGCTTCTGTACGAGGGGAGAATCGTGTGAGGCTGGAGGGACCGGAGGATGTGGGGCCTGAGGAGTGGGCGTGAGGCGCTGACAGGTCGGACTCCAAGGCATGCCGATATCCTGAGATGTGCCAGTGGTTGTACGTCGAGTGAAACGGTTCGATCGCTTGGTCCCAGGTGTATCCAGACAGTTGGCTCAGGCGTTCGAACAGACGAGCCGGTGGCAGCGGCAGATCCTCGCCAAAGGGGTTGCTCTCCTCCATTTGGAATTCTTTGCTGTCCGTTTCACCATGCGCGGGGGGTCTTGGGGGTGTGTCTTAATAGGTTAGAGAAATCTATGTCCCAACGAGGGCATCGGTCAGGTGCTGGTTCAGGGTTTCAAAGGTCAAATGTCAAATGTCCAGGCATCGAAGGCCTACCTAGGGTAGTAATGGACCAACAGTCAAATATTACGCCGGATACGCATTTCCTTGTGGCTGCCTAAGGCTGACATTAAGTAATCTCCGACCCGCTTTTGATTCACGGCTGATCCTTCTGCAGAGGCTTTTAGCCATTTACTCCCGTACTTTGTTTCTCTGCTTCTGACTTGTCCTGATGATTAGAAATGATCCTCTTGATCTACAGAGCCTCTTCACGATTTATTCTTTGACGTCATTCTTCAAATTTGGACGGATTGGGCCTCTCGCCTTACATGTATCGGCCTGCAGGCGACCTTAGTCCAATATGAAACATCTTCCGGGAGGCCCAGAAACGGTTTTTACGGTGGAATCTAGCCGGCAAATACTCGGAGATGTCACCAAGAGCCGAAAATTGCCCGATCCAGAGAATCTTGGAAGACCATGTCACAGATATCTCCTGAGCAAAGACATACTCGATAGTGAGGTGTGGCTGTGAGGCATAGAACCAGGCCCAAGATAGGAACCTTGGAGCTTAGAAGAACGGAGGATGGAGTATCTACTGGGTACCTTAATCTGAATGTATTGATACTCCAAATGCAAGTGGCTATAGTGGGGACCCGAAAAAATAGGCTTTGCATTGTATACAAGCTTATTCTACTTATCAGAGCAAATTGATCAACCTGGGACATTTCTTTGGGTGTTCTGTATTCTGAAATGTGTACTTGCTTCGCCCCCTCATTTGTGGAAATCCCTTTTATCTGTAACATAGGTTTCTTAGTCCAGATCAAGCATTTAGTTGAGCCCTGACAAGCATGCTGATAGTGGGGGGTGCTTGATTAGGGTTATTTCAAGACCTATGTACCTAGGTACTTCAGTACGCAGATACCTCGGCAGTTACAATGTTCCATCCTTCTTACGATGCAATCCCAGTGACTTACAGGGCCGCAGACCATTAAACAGACTGGCCAATTTTGAGGTTGATCCCAAACGCGCAAAAAGAAGGCCGGTGGAGCAACGGACCTCGGCACCTATGGAATCCGGTTTATCACATTCTGGCATAAATCGACGTCTCTCCCATTGATCTCCCCGAATCTTTCGGCCTGTCGATTGTCAGTATGAGTTCGTTTAAGGCTCGTCTGGCCCTTTTGAAGGCCCTTTTGGTTCATATTCCACTAATCTTCAAGACTGCCCTTCTCCATGGCATCCAAATGTCCCCCGTAAAGGGGAAACAAGACCTCCGAACGGAGTTGACGGTTGCGATCCTCCGGTCATTCATGAATACCAGGGCCCCGTTAGGCAAAACCCAGCGCGATGGCATACGAGACCCGGGCGTCAAGGGTCCCATGTGGATATCGAAAGTGACCCTCCCGCAGCCCGAAAATGACGTACGGGATGCGGTTCTTCATGCGATTGAATCGCTCAAGACCGGCGATGAGACATATGATATCCCCGAAGCTGTTCCCGTGGAAGGCGAGTGGACTGGGTATCGCGCTGGGGTGGGGAAGCACACCAAGGAGCCCGATCTTTCGGAAGAGGAGAAGTACTTGAAGCTGCGCGAGGAATCGCCCTCTGATATGACGATTCTGTATTTCCACGGCGGCGCATACTTGTAAGTATATCCTCATGCGCGTGTGCGCCTATTCGCATATTCGTATATTCGCAGAACTGACATAGAAATTAGCCTTCTGGACCCCTGCACTCACCGCGTGCCACTCGCCCACCTGTCCCGCCTGACTGGTGCACCTGCTTTCTCCGTCCGCTATCGCTTGGCACCCCAGAACCCATTTCCTGCCGCGCTCGTCGATGCCCTCACGGCCTACCTTTCCCTTGTTCACCCACCCGAGGGTTCGCTCCACAAGCCCGTGCCCGCAAACAAGATCATTCTCGCCGGTGACTCCGCAGGCGGAAACCTCTCACTCGTTCTACTTCAGACACTCTTGACCCTCGATCGTACAAACCGCACCGTTCGCTTCCATGGCAAGGACGTCACTATTGAGCTGCCCGCTGGCGTGGCAACAGTTTCCCCCTGGTGCGATATAACCCGCTCAATGCCATCGTGTTCCAAGAATGCGTGGCTTGACTACCTCGGCGCCTCGCCCACGCCCTCCGACGACACACCATTCGAGACCATTCCTTTCATCCCAGACGATGTCTGGCCCACCACGCCACCTCGCGCTGATATATTCTGCAATTCTACCATTCTCGGCCATCCACTGGTCTCTCCGCTCGCTGCCCCGGCCGAGCTATGGAAAAAGGCACCGCCTATCTGGATTTCAATGGGTGAGGAGGGTCTGGCAGATGAAGGGCTCATTGTAGGACGTCGCTTCCACGAGGCGGGTGTGCCTCTCGTGGCAGAACTGTACGAGGGCATGCCACATTGCCATGGCATGCTTCTACTGGATACCCCAGTCAGCCATGAATTTTTCAAGGGCTTCTCCGAGTTTTGTCGCGACGCTGTGGCCGGTCGTGTGAAATCAGCCGGAACCCTCACTTGGCGTAGTTTCAAGTTGCGGTCTACCAAGGAAATACCGATTGAAAAGGCCTGCGAAGTCAGTGATGAAGAGGCGCGATCCCTGATGAAGAAAAGTGCAGATTGGCGACTGAAGACGGAGATCGAGATGCGGAAGGAATGGCATGCGAAGGCACGACTTTGATGTTTTCCTTCTTCGTCTCTTCCCTGTTTTACTGCGGTTTCAATTGGTGATGCGAATACCCGTCTGAAGTTATGTTAACGATTCATGTGAATATTCTTGAACATAGTTCAGCCTCAAAATTATATACATATTCATCCTTCATGTACACCTAGATGCTGCTTGATACATGCATGTATGTATCTATTTTTTCTTTGTCGAGGGCTGCAGTGTTTGATGCGCCAACTGCGAAGATACTCTGTAAAGAGTATCATAATTATATCAATAGACCACTAATCTAGTTGCCTCATGCCGCCCATCTCGTCCCAGAAACGATTGAAATCCACATTCTCATCTTCAAACATCTGCTTTGCCTGAAACATTGCAGAGCGCTGTCGCTCGGGGGTGAAGCCACCGGGCTGTGAGCTCTCCCATTGAATCAGCTCTACCCAGCGGAGGAACAGATCCTCCTTACCCATTTCTGTCAATTTTTCCTTAAACGCAATCATTTGTTCCCGCTGAGCAGAGCGTTTCTGACCGGTGGGAGTATTTTCATCTCCAACCCGCCAGATCAGCCATCCATCAGCGTCCGTGTTAACCAATACCGCCGTGCGGAACTCGTCCAGCTGCACCCCATCTCCCTTCCGCGTGCGATCAACAAGAGCGTGCGCGTGGATCATCGCCGCATAGTCAAGGTTCCAATCCTCGTCCATGAGCAGATAGCCCGTCTTGCCCACACGCTCCGGGGTCACGGCGGCAACGATCTTATCGCGACGCGCTTCGTCCTCGCGAATCCACTTGTTGCGCTCGAGCGTCTTGCTCCAACTGGGGTGGCTGCGTCGGACGATGACCTCGCGCTCGCGGAATCCGACCGCGCGGCGCCAGCGCACGGGCCCCAGAATGAAATTAATTGGCCATGACAGGAAGACGGTCACGAGCAGATAGTCGAGGGCCAGAGTTCCCGTGCGCAACGCGACGATTTGGGCCGCTTCGGTCCATGGGATGGCGGCCGTGTCCACCGTCATGGTACTTTGTAGTCCGATCAGCGTGGCCACGAGGGCTGGGTATGTGCTGATGCCGGTGTAGACCCTCCATCCGATAATGGCGCCAACTATGAGGTTGACAAGCAAGGGTACGGTGAAGGTTTGTCGTTTCAGCTCTTCAGCTGTGATATCGATATGGACGAGATAGACTTCGTTGGGGGACAACGGTTCGACGAACGACGTCAAGGCCTCCGGGACCTTGATAAAGGGTGGGATAGGACCCGCCGAAGCTGAATTTGGAGTTGAGGTGCCTGATGAAGTGGGCGTTTTGGTGCGACCGGATCGCCGCGAGGATTTGGCCATGGTGTAAGGTGAGAATATAGTGAGTGGTAAAGTAGAGAAACCGCTTTTTGTCGGAGCTGTTCAGTGTGATGCGTGTCACATGTCCAGGGTCATAGAGAGTACAGAAGAAGTACAGGTGTCAATGCTCCAGATGTCTGATGTGGTTGAAATGCGAGACCTCGACATAGACGTAATGCAAGAATTCGGAGTCTAACCACATTGGGGAATGAGGAATCTCCCCGTATTTACCTCTCTTCACGCCCTCCCTCTTTTATTTCCAATACATGAGATCCCGCAGCAAGGGGCATTTCTGTCATGTCGTTCGATAAATCTCGCGCTCGAGACAGGGAGCCCCCGTCGCCTTTCCGGTACGCGTCGAAATCTGACTTCAAGACAAACCCGAAGCTCCCCTCCCCCCAAGACGATGGATTAAATTCCCGACATGCCATTCGATCGAGATCACTAGCTCAGGCATATCGAGAAGTAGCCAGAAACACCATGCCCGTCGCCCGCGAGGAATTATCGCCGGTGACAACGCCAAGTCCGCGACAGAAGCGACAGTCATACGCGTTTTCGCCATACCAACTCTCGCCTCCGCCCTACGAACTACAAAATGCGTATGATCAGATTCAAGAGAGTGAAATGCTCTCCGATTTTGTACGCGACGAAGACTCGGACAAGCAGCGCGTCGCGCGCCGCCCCGCAAGCCGGGGTCGTCAAGCGTCTTTCCAACCCAACCTCAATGCAACGAATAGCCGCAGCGGCTCTGCCAACGACACCCATTTTTCTGATGCAGAATTTGGGGGTGATCTTGTCGACTTCAAGAATCGAAAGAGCACGGATTACACCAGAGACAAAGAGCGCCTCAGGCGTGCCACGGGCCAGCCTTCGCCAGTTTTCAGTAAAGCGCAGGCTGGGCGGGACACCTCGCGAACGGACAACTGGAGAAGACGCCAACAAGCGGAGGCTGAAGCCGAGAACAATGTATCTGAAGATGACGGCAATCTGGGTCCCTCGGGTCCTTCGCCAAATCTACCGTCTGGCTGGGGCTACCGTGCAGGTCACCGGCAAGAATGGGAGCGAAAAACCAGCCCGCCCAGCATACCAGACCAGCAGGGGCAGAGAACACGCAATCGCTCGTCGGGCTCACATCCCGAAAATCCATCCCCCAAGCCCGCACATGCTGCGCGTTCCCCAGCACGGAGCAGTCTTCCAGCTCGCAGTGCCCTCGAAGAACGTCCTGATACCGCCAACATGAACAATTTGGGGACACAGCAAGGACTAGGCATAAAAGAGACGGTTCCGAGGAAGGAAGCTTTCAGTGTTGACGGCGAGCAAATTCCAAATTCCCCAATCACTATCTATAAGAATTCTTCGTTCACAAGACCGAGTCCCAGCAAACGGGACTCCCGGGATCTGCTGCGCAGTCTGTCTAGGTCCGAAACCCACAAGGCCGATGAAATTCAAACCCCAGAGCCCCCGAAGCTATTCGAGCGGAAGTTCTACGATAAGACCCCCCGTGTGACGGGTGCTTGGATTGATACACCAATGACCCAACGTGTGTCGGAAAAGGTCGAGCTCCCTGAGGACCTGACCAAAGACATTGTACTTCCTCGGCAAGCTCCAGAGGTTAAAGATCAAAATCATCCCACCAAACAACTGCAGGAAACTGCGCCCAAGATGGAGAAACCGAGCCCCGAACAGCCCGCCGAGGCAGCGCGCATTACCAATACACAATCTAGCAATTCATCCAGACCCCCGTTGCCTCGACCCCATCTACCGAAAAGCGCTCTTGAAACAGTGATTGAGGACGCTAGTTCCGGAAAGGACGTTGACCTTGGAGATGACACCATTGAATCCTTGCAGGCTATCATGGATGGCCCGAGCGATGTCAAAATTGAAACACCCGAGGACGATGAAGCTTACGAGAAAGCGGTTCTTGCGAGCCTTGAAAAAGCCAACTCCAAAGATCATGATGCCAACATCGATTTACTCGGTATCAAACTCAACTCGCTGACGAGGCACATCCACGATGTGCAGAAGGGGCTCGACGGACTTGAAGAGCAGCTCACGCGAGGTGTTTCACTTTCATCACAGACCGGAGCTAAGGCAACGACAAAATCACCAACAGATGTGCATGCGGGCGAGCCCTGTAAAGGATGCGGCACATGTTCTGACGGACGAGTCTACGCTGCCGTCCGTCTGCCCCGCTTATTCGAACGACGTCCCCGATCTCGACGTCTTCAGCCGACAAGACTGTTTTGGTTCATCGTTATTCCACTGTGCTGGTGGATTATCGAATCCCTGATGTCGGACTCTTTCAGCTATTCTGAAATCTCCGAACCCTGCGATGGGTACTGCCTACAGCCCGATGCGCCTGTCTATCCATGGGTAACTGTGACGATGCTCTGGCGCTGGTCCCATCTGTCAGCGATCTGCACACCCATTTTAACTATTATTATTGCCTTCTCCAGGCTGATAGCACAGCTGTTCGGATTCTCGGATGGCTATGTCGATGATCTGCCTGAGCTCACTGATTTCATTGGCGAAATCCGTATCAACGGGACTCCAGTCGCCTTCCCGTGGTTATCCCCACCCACGACGGCCAATGTCGAGTCTCAGACACCCCCTTCACCCATAATAAAGCAATTCCCAGAGATCCAGCAACCTGTACAACGCCCTGAGTATGCTTGGCCGCCTCCAGATGCGTACACACCGCAGTGGGGCTCCGACCTACCGCCAGGGGAGGAGGGAATGGACGATGATGAGTATATTTGATTAACGAGTGTGCAATATACACTCTGGCAGCCTTTACTAGCTACTTAATGACCGCAGAGTTCACAGCAAAACCAATGCCATCTGCTTACTATCGGCATCATTACCACATCAACGAACTTTAGAATCAGAAAAACACATAGGAAAATGTAGAACGGTGAATTTCTCGTATGGAAAGTAATTGACTAGCCGTGTCTATGCTAAATAATTAGACTCTGCAAATGAGTAGATTCAAAAACTGGTGCATTGATGGGTATCTGAAAGAACAAATTCAAAAAGCAAATAGGATCTTAAATGGACCTCAAGTGGCGCGTCCCTCATCCACAGCAGGGACGACAGTAAGGTGTAGTTCAAAAATCCAAAGATGGAAGATGGAACCAGGATATGCGGTCTATGAGGCACCGCCCTCCAGCCGATAGTCAAGAGACCATAATTTCTCCCAGGGACGAGATCGGCCACTTTGTCGACGGACTGATTTGGACGGTGAAGTGGCGGCACCACTCATGCTTGGTTGAGCGGAGGCAGACACAGATTCCTGAGCCAGAAAAGAGCATGTTAGCCTCAGTGCCAAGAACAGAAAACAAGACCCGGAAAAGACGAATGGCAAAGCTAGTCAGTTCCTACTTTTCACGGGCCGGAGGGCAGGTCACGGCGAACCTCGTCGATGACCGGGGCATTCTCCCTTGATGCCGAGCCGGTATCAGCCTCGGCAGGACGGGCGAGTTCACTGGTAGCCTCAACGGCGTGATGGGATGGTGTCGGGGTCCCCCGTTTGGAATTTGAGCTGTCCCGGCGGCTATCTAAACTTCTAGAAAGGGTCTTTGCAACGCCACCTTCATCTGTACCACGCTTGAGGCGGATACTACCCTTGGCATCGACATGCGCCGAGGCGACTGTGCTCTTTGCAATGCCTGGGGTAGCGGGCGCGCCGGGCTTTTCTTCCACGGCGTCAAGAAGATACCAGCGCAAACCGTCTGATAGCTCGAATGGATTCTCATCATCCAGAGAAGCACCATCGCTAGCGTCCCCAAGAGAGCGGCGGTCAGGGACAACCCCATTTATAGATTTGGAAAGGTCGACGACACGCTCCTCAATCTTAGTGATGCGTGCGAGTAGCCAGTCGCGGGTCTGGAGTTTGTGGGAGTCAAGTTCGCGGAGGAAAAAGTGCGGTGCGCCGACGTTGAAGGCTGCCCAGGAGCGGATGGCCTGATTGCGAGTGGGAAGGAAGAGAGCAAGATCGCCCTCCTTGAAAGAACGATAGGCAATCTTATCATGGGCTTCGACCTGGATGCGATGATATTTATCACGATAGCCGCGGGCTTCTTTCTGCCACTTGCGGGCTAGGACTTCAATATCCTTCACACGTTTGACAACAACATCGCCAAAGACTGCGACATCAAATTGAGCTAGGCTTTCCACAAACCCTCTGAAGAGATTGTCTTCGTCTTCTAGGCTCTCGGCTTGCATCCAACCCAGAAGAGCTGGATCAGGTTTCATAGAGACGATGCCTGACTGGGCAAGGCTTTCACCCAGGCTCAAAGAAGCCGTGAGCTTTGAAGCACGTTGTACAACCAATTGGCCCTCCTGTTGAATGATGGTGAATCCCAATTGTTCAAGCATTCGGCCGAGTTTTTCAACCTGTGTAAGAAGCTGTTTTGAAAGCTCGTGTGATTTGGTGCCTCTAGCGACGGACCGCGCCATGGCCTGCTGTTCGATTTCTGAGCTGGTGCCTGCTTTCTTCTCCCACTCTGCAGCCATGTCCTTTGCTTCTTGGGCGCGATTTTCGGCGTGTGCCAACTGCTGGGACAGATCTGCCTGTCGCCTCTCCCCTTCGACAATTTCTTCACGCAAGGCCTTCGTGCCGCTTTCCCCGTCTGCAATCTGGGAGTGGAGTGAGGTGAATTTCGACCGTTCGTTGTCCAATTCAGAATTCGCTGCTTCAAGTTTCGACCGCTCCTGCGAAAGCTCTTCAGACAAGCACGATAATTTGGATTCGAACTCCTCCAAGGATTTCGCCCGGTCCTCTGCATTGGCTTCCAGCTGGGCAATCTGCTCCACCAAGTCCTTGTTCTCAGCAGTAGCCTTAGCTACATCGGACTCCACATTCTTAGCGTGGATCGACAGGCCCTCGGATAGGACCTCGATAGCTTTGATAATATCTGGGGTTTCAGTCGGCATTTTGCCTCCCGGCGAGAGATTCATGAAGATTGCCTCGAGGGCCTGATGGTTCTCTTGGTCCTTTTTCTCAAGCTCCGATTGCTGCCGTTCAAGATCATCGACCTTTCGTTGTAAGCCATCTTCTTGTTCTTTTCTGGTTTCGATCTCCGCATTGAGATCGTTGATCCTTTGTGCGTCATCGGCGGAGTTGGCGTTGGCGTTCTGTAGATCTATCTCAAGCTGGTGCATCCGCTCATCAATCTCTTGCCTGCCATTCTCTCGGCTATCCATGAGGCGATCGAGTTCCTCCTCCATTTCCTCTGTACGGAGCCTAAATTTCTTGAGCTCTGCGTCCAAAAACCGTCGCTCATCTTCAAACTCGCGTTGACGTGCTTCGAGATTGCCAATGAGATCCTTTTTCGTTGATTGTGCCTCTTGGAATTTGTCCGAATTGGTTTGACGTTCGACATGGGCTTCTTTATGCAGCCGCTGGATAGAATCCCTCTCTGCCGCCAATTCTGCCTCGAGGCTCACAATGCGCTGGATAAGTGCTTTTTCCTCGGGGGATTGAGTTGCTGAGACACGTCTTGACGAAACAGATGATCGCCTTGATAGTATATCCGGATGGGGAGATGCAGGAGAGCCGGGAAAGTCTGGACCGAAATTTCCACTTGAGGGCCGGCTCATCTGGCTCTGGCGATGCAGAAGGTCCTCTAGCTTCCTAACGCGACTGTCAGACCCTTTGAGCCTCTCTTCCAACTTTGTCTTCTCTTCTTGCAGGCTGCGCACTGAGTCGTCTGCACGCAATATCGAGCTGCGGCTCAGGTCAAACACGCTCCCCTGTTTGAAAGCTTTGGCGCGCCGTCTCTGCTGCCGAGTTGGTAGATCCAGCTCCTTCAATTGTTGAGTCAATTCGTCTGCCAGGTTTGCCATGGAGTGCCTTGTTTTCAACTCGTCAATATAATACTCGATCTCTTTCCTAGCTACTTCAGGCCATTGATCATCTTGGCCCTGAAGATTCACCTCGATTCCTGGTGCGGTGGAGTCAGTGACAGTCATGAAGTCCCCCATACTCTTCAGCCATTTCTTTCTTCGGCGTTGCTCTTCATCTCTGAGGACTGCCATTTCCTCGACTAAACTCAAGGAGTCAGTCTTAATCTTTTCGCTCCATTCTCGGCGCCGCACGGATTCAATTAGGATGGAACCATAGACCATTGGCATTTGAAAAACAGAGTATATCACATCAAAAGCATTGCTATCCATGTCCAAGTTGACAAGTTGACCATGGGCGTCCGCAAGTCTGGATTCAAGAGAGGAAATGGTTCGCATGTGTCCGATAGCGGTTCTTTCTGCGGCTGTTCGACGTTGTACAGCCTGAACCAATGCGGCTTGCAACTCGGCCCCAAATTCCAGTAGGGTGGGAAGGAGATCTTGGGTGTGATTGAATGCAAGCCGTGAAATGTTAGCCAATGTTTTCTGGTTTTTCGGAAGACCAAGGACATGTTCATAATCCGAATCAATCTTTTTGGTAATTGTTTCGACCTCCTCGACCAGCCCATCCACACCCTCAAAGCCAGATTCGGTGGCTTCGTCCACTAGCTGCTGGGTGTCTGAAGCAATCTCATCGATGCTCCTTTCGATGTCCTGGACATGGTTGGCAAAAGTCGGCAACATAGTAGCTGCCTCTCCTCCGGCGCGTTGAACCTCAGCCGAGTCGACAAAGTCACGGAGTGTCCCAGTGGGTCGGTCCTTATCCATTTTGGGCGTGGATGGACGCCCTAGGAGTGGAAAGTCCTTCCGCGCTGGTATATCGCCCAACGTGGCAAGAGCTTGCTGCCAGCCATCTAGGGCTGCCCGCTGTTCTTCCAGCAGGTTGTTCGCCCACGACTGCGCCTCCTGGAACCTGTGTTCTAGGGTGCCCACGTGAGACTTGAGGTTCTCCAAAGCCACCCCGACTGCCCGGTGTATGACATCTGTCCGATCATTATGTTCGCGGAGGCTCTTGTCGATCGATCTACATCGGCTGGACAGATCAAACGCCCAATCGCGCCTTGCCGAGTAGAGGTTTCTCCATGCCTCAAGGTCGTTCTGGTCTTTGAGGGTGGCCGGAGGAACGCCTGGCTGGAAGGGCTCTGGTGAAGGTAGTTCTGGGAACTCGATGTCACCCGGTTCGCTGATATATTGTCGGTCGTATACAAAGATTTCGTTCTGCGATGATCGGCCTTCTGTTAGCAAGCCCCACACCGCCATACAACAGGTATCATTCCTTACTTCCGTGGCGAGGGTTTGGATCTTCACATTCTTACCCCGGGCGGTCATCAAGATCTGCCGCGGGGGCGGAATAGAGGTTTCTCGCACAATCCATGACTTTAAAGCATCGGGACTAGAAGTAAGGTATATGCGTCAGTTGCGGATCACATGGGCACCATCGAGCAAAAGTAGAAGCAGGAGCAGGAGCAGGAGGTATGCTAGAGAGGTTTTCAAGGTATCAGACATAGGAATGAAACATACGAGGCGAAGGCTACTGGGTCAGCCAGGAAATGCTCTCCCGTGTGAGCAATGTAGATGTGCAACGACATACCCCCCTCCGCTTAAGCCTAGAAGCTCCAGTGACAGTGAGAAGAGGGAAATGATACGGAAATATCCCGAGAATGAGGTGTACCACCCAAAGAAATTGAAAAGAGAACGAGAGTCCTGAAGCCCCCCAGATCAGGCTGGTCAGGTCTGAAGAAAGGTTGCTGAGCGACGTATGGTCGGGGAAGCTCCACCGCCTCCGGGCTTATCTTTCATCACAAGATGCGCCATCGATCTGCGTCTATGGCTGCAAAACATGGCCAGTCGCTGCCTCACCTGCAAACGGCTGAGGTGACACTCCTGGACTACGCTGCAGATGCCTCTCATGATGTTGTGACTTTGTCCGACAAGGAGGCTTTAGTCCTACAGCTCTACAACCAGATCCAGGAACAACAACTGGAAAAGGCATTTCTGGAACAAGGTAAGACAACATGATCCTTTGCGCTGTGTCTGTCTCTCATTGATGTTAATTTACTCTTTTTATTTTAACAGACCTGGAAACAGCGTCGGGTGGAGATGCCGAGGAACAGCTTGCGCTCGCGGAGCGTGAGCTCCTAGAGGCGCGGTCTACATACATGGTCAGGAGGAAGGCCATCCGCACTATCCTCATGACCGATCCGATTCTCAAAGCCGTTCACCTGAAGGCTGCTACCCCCGCCGAGAGGTACGGGCCGACCATAGTTGGACTAGACCGCGGTCTTTCCTGGCTAACAAACAAGACAGGGCCCTTCTTCGCCTGGTGAATCGTCGGGATGTCCTTGCCCTCGCGCACGAGAATCTTGCCTCGGCCCATGACCTAGTGCTGAAGCAGATCTCCAATACCGAAGTGGAAAATCTACAGCTCAATCGCGACAATCAGGAGCTGGTTCGTGAGCTATTGGAACTCACCAAGCAGGACTCGTCATGGCGAGAGAAGATCGGTGACTCCCAACTGAACGAATTAGAAGCGCTGGAAGGCGACCTGAAGGTGCGCAAAGCGCGTTGGGAAACCATGAAAAACATTGCCAGCGCGGTTGTTGTGGCGAGTGGATTGGACTGGGCTGATGACGACATGCTGCGCGCCCTGGTGCTAGATGAAAGCGACGATTGAGGTTCTTTGGAATTACGAGTATGGATTACGGAGCACAACTTGAGCGCATACAATAATATCCCCTTATGAAACCAGTCGCTTGTTTTGTTTCCATCCGCACTCATCAAAGGGCGACTCGGGTCATGACTCCGTACGTGTAGAACCGGATTTGGACAGTGTGGACGATACTTGTACTTGTAAGGGCCTTTGAGTTGACCCACAAGCTCTCACTTTTGAAACGAAGTCTTTAAGTCGGTGTGAATATTCACATTGAAGTAAGGGTTTCATCTGATACATTAAAGAGTGTGATCTGAGGAAGATACTCCGGCATCATACCAGAAAATGAGAAAATACCATAGAAATTCAATGTTTTTGGTTACCGACGCGACGCTTTGTATGACGCTCCTCTCGGAAAGCGAGGAATCTTGATACGGGTGGGTTGATACTGGTATGGTAACTTAGATCTGCTTTCTTCCGTCCCAGTGCATTGACGTCCAATTTATGAAGCACCTGGACATTCTTGATATGTCAATTCCCCTAAAAGGCCTGGGTTTGCTCTAGCCTGCATACTGGTATCTGTAAGATAACTGCTGCCACTGGGCAGTCTCAGAGCTACGAGTAACTAAGGGGGACGGGTACAAAACACAATATGCGATACAGTCCAGTCATATTGGAGACAATATCTGATGGACATACGGAGTAGAAGGTGCTTTATTCGCCTGTGACGATGGTGTGATTCGGATCTGTAAGGAATAATGCTAACATTGCTTTAAAGCCAACTCCGTATTCTTGTCTCACTCCGCACTATGCACAGCTAGTGCTAGTAATTGAGGTGTACGAGTATCGGTATGGGATAATGATAGACTGATTTTTTATTTGTCCGCTCTTCTCCAAACCATCAACCCCATGACAGAGAGAGCGAATACCTCCTCGTACCTCTCCGGTTGTATTTCCAATTGGGGGTTACGCTAAAAGGGTACGCCACGCTTACGATTGAGCAACCGTCCGCCCTTACCTGAAGATACCCATATTAAGTACTCCTACACTTTTTGCCTTTGAGATTTGGGTTCACTCTATAGTACAGAGTACAGGATGTTTAGATGATAACTGTAGCTTCGGCACCGAGAGTTTAAGTAGAGTTTGCTTGTCTATTATTGCCATTGACATCTTTATTCTAACCGGAAGCCTTGTCTATGTGCAATGTATCACTTCCAAGCTTGGGACTATCCTCACCTTGGAATGAGTACCGGCTTGGACCTATTTTGCTGCTACGCCAGAGGTACCTTTGGTATACACTTTGGTACACACACATGACCATGCAGAGAAGCAAGGCCATTCCACTTTATCCCATAGACCCAGAATATTTTTGAAAGCTCTTTCACCGTCTGCTGAGAGAAACCACTGCTCGTTTGTCCTGGGCTCATTCCTGCCATTTCTGCCGGTGGATCTTTATGTCCAATTTCCTGGCTGGGGCGTTTCCAGAGGTGCTTTCACCATCAGAGGCTGGTCAGTCTGAGCTCAGAGACGGCTACTGCGTCTAAAATTTAAGATTATGGTACGCAGTACTCTGTTGAAGTAAAAAAAAGTACCTCTAAACAACCATCACTATGGGCGACTACTTGCGTATCGACGGTAATAAGAACTTGCGTATCGACGGTAATAAGAAGTACTCAGTACCACGCCGGGGGGAGTTTTACTATGGAGATACCGCGTATTGTGTACCCGTATATTTTGCGCGTTTTATTAATAAGACGGAGCAAGACGTAACATCTGAATACCTCCAACACATGGAATTATATGGTTCATTTCGAGACAATAGGGGGAAATTCTTCTATTCAAAGTCAAGAGACTAAAGAGTAAAGACACAAAGAAGACCAGATCCGATGAGAGAGGAATCCTTCATGAATCCCTATGCATAACAAAAATACAATGAGGGTCGATAGTGTAAAATACGTGTACATTCCCTTCGGCGAAACGGCCCTTGCTGTGGTGCCGTCCCCTCTCTCTTTGCTACTACTACGGCCCTCCCCCCTCTACTCTCTTCTTCTCTTACTATCTTCCTACACTACCAACCTCTCCATACTATTCTCTCCCATACAAAAAAAAGGTACTGCATAACCCTCTATCAACACTTTGGTGTCGCATTTCTACCACCACCACCACCTTTTCCTTATTTTCCTTCATTTTCTACCCTGTCAGAGTCCTCTGTTCTCATTTCATTGCCTGTGTCTTTTTTTCTCCAATCCGCGACCTCGTCGCGTTATTACATCTATGTCTTGCGCAGCTCACTAACAAGATGAACAGTTTCAACTTTTTTTTAATTCACATTTTCGAAGTCCTGAACATCGAATTCATGTAAGCTGGAATCCCCCCTTTTCTTGCTATGTCTGCGATTTCCTACGGTCGCAAGTGGTTGGTTTGCGCGCAACGCGCCTGACCAACAATCCGTCGCGTCCCCTCACTTGCCATTGCAACATTGTCATCCCAAATACGCGTCTCAATTGCGCATATATTTGTTTGCTCTCTCCTGTCGCACTTCTCTTCCTTGGTCAAAATCCAAAGTCGTCCAATTCATCCATCGATCGCGTCTGACCATCACTAGTCAACATGCCTAAGGAGAAGTCCACCCGCAAGGCCCCCGAGAAGCGCCAAGTGCGCCGCAAGAAGGGTAAGTTTACCGAATCCGATCATCTGGTACTTTTCGGATGGACGCGTACTAACCTTCTTCAGACCCCAACGCCCCCAAGCGTGGTCTTTCCGCTTACATGTTCTTTGCCAATGACAACCGTGACAAGGTCCGCGAAGAGAACCCCGGCATCAGCTTCGGTATGTTTTTTCTGTTTAGTTTGAATGGTGCATACCTAACAACCCTACAGGTCAGGTTGGCAAGCAGCTTGGTGACAAGTGGAAGGCTCTGAGCGAGGATGACCGCAAGCCTTACGATGAGAAGGCTGCCAAGGACAAGAAGCGCTACGAGGAGGAGAAGGCCGCTTATCTCGCCAAGGGCGATGATGAGGAGGAGGAAGAGTCCTCTTAAATGCCTCCCCACTTGACTTCGTCTTCGGCCTTGGGCGTTTGTGTTTCTCTAATGGTTTCCTCTGGTTTTATTTTTTTCGGACGGTTTCGTGCACGGCTTCTGGGTTTGATGGACGGAGGGGTTTCTTTGCTTCTTTTGAGCTGTCTATGCTCTTATCTAAGGGTATCCAGTAATCAATAGGAAATTACCCTTGAACTGGTGTCACTGTGGCCCTCATAATTACTTACTCCCTTGCCAGATCCCTAGTGTTGCAGAATTGCTCCGAAGAAGCTATAGTGGCGCTTCTCGGATGAGTAGACTTCGATGTGAAGCTTGAAGTTTCTGCACGGAGAAGCTTGAAGCTCCAACGCGAAGCTTCCAGGTCCCCACATCAACTGGAGCCCCTCTCACCGCCTGCGTCATTGACAAACTCCGGGGTTTATTCGTTTGCTTTTGTTGACGTTTGTTGGCTTTCGTGTGAGAGATAATTGGTTACTAGGTACTCGTACAGGCATAACTGAATTGATCGATTTAATTCCAATGCTCAGGCTTCAGAGCGACAAATCGAAACTTCCATGGCACAGTGGGGGATTTAACATGGCCAGATTCCCGTACGAGATGTACTAAGCGTTGACAAGCTATAATTGCTAACAATGGAGCTCTCTTGACGTCGGAACTCCGACTGGAGGCAGTGGCCCGGACTGGAATCCAATTCTTAAACGCATTTGACGCGCCCCGAGAAGCTTTAGTTATATTTCATGCCGACTTCTCCAGGGCTACCCTGACCGCAGGCCGCCTGGCACATGCACGTAGCCGAGTACTCCTGGAAGTCAAACATAATCCCGCTATCTCATGCCCTGGCGGTTATCAATGGCTACAAAAATCTTTGATTTTTGATGACTGGCCTCGGTGCTACTTAAGTAAACAAAAGACGAGGCGACTCATGACTATGATACTGCGTACTGGTGTGCATGCTTGGGGTTTGGGTTGGATCCCTTTAGGCCGAACTTGGATTTATGCGGCCAGGTATATGACAGCGGCTCGATGCATTGGAGAATCCCAGTTATCCTAGCTCTGGATGCCTCCTATCAGGCATCATGAAGTTCATGATGTTTGCAGTTCCTGGGCTTAAGTGGCGTGGTTCAAACTCGATTTGATGACTCCCCTGGAAGTACCCACGTGCGTAGAAACTACAGAGAAAGCACACATTATTCCAACTTTAGAAGTAGCATATGGAGTTTGCACACGTTGGTGTCTAGACCGCAACTTTTCTAAAGCTGCATGGTGCATGTTAGGGCTCGTCGGTAAACTCTAGAAATCGTTGGGGGGTCGGGGTCAGTTAGCCAAGGGCTAGAGCGTCCACAGAGGCAATCAGCCAAATAGCTTCTTCGTGTAATCCGCAGGCTTCCGTAATTCTTGCAAGGTGATCAGCCCTTCAAATCATAGTTAGTTGATCATCGGCGTTCGGTTAACTGACTCGTTGACTTTCAAGGTTTATATCTACCTCTAACCCACCACTTTGCTGTCTTGAAAAATTCTCTCCACTACTTCTAGAGCTCCAAGCCTCGCATGATGTGTGGTATACATATTTCTCAATCTGGCGCATGGAAGCGGCATGCTAGCGGCTTGGAGTGATTCTAAAGTTACAGATGCATCCCGAATTTCTCAGTCTCCCGCGCACGCCTCGCCATCCTCACAGCCTCTTGTGAAAGCAGATATTCCCCACATTTAGGGCTAGGAATCATCAACTTTGAAAATGAACAGAACATAACCTTCCAAGCCCAGGGTACAGCTCTACAGCGTAAACTGGAAGGATTCCCACCCGACGGCCAACACACCACACTCCACCCCGGCCCCGCCATTCCCACGCGAACACGTCAATTGTCGGACGCAAGGGAGAACCCTGCCCCTCGGAGCCTCACGCGTGTGCTATTAATTCCTAGTCTAGTCGGTTGACTTGGTTAAATAATCTTAATTCCGTGCATGTGAGCTTATTGGCTTTGTTCACGCCTAATATTCCGCTGCCCCTCTATTCGAACCCCCCTCCACAATAACAAAGAGAGAAAAAACGAAACACCTTTATGGCCTGACCCTGTGGACTCTCCATGTCTCTGGGCGCGTCTGCCGATAATGCTGAGAGCGTCGCCGCCGGCTTTCATACATTCCGTGCCCCTCTTCCTGAACATGCGGCCGAGGTGACCTCTCTGATCGCCGACTTATACAACATCAGCTCATCGCTGTCAAACCTGGAGGCTCTGAACAGAGATCCGCGCTATCGACGCAGCTTTCAAGTCATCCAGTCTGACTTGTCATTGGTACAGACGAGTCTCAAATACACCGGCGATGATATTCTGGACTTTTTCCGTGCCCTCGATGGTGGCCAAGCCAGCTCGGCAATTTACTTGCGCACATGGACAGCCTTGAATGACTTCTTTTGGGATGAAGCGCAGTACAGCCTCGCGACTCGCTTAGCCAAGTACAAGACGTTCTTGAGAGAGCTCGGCGAGGTGGTGAAGGAGTATGTGTCTCCCGACAACGCCGACCCCACAACGCGATGCCCTGGTATACTTATCTTTGAGCGCTAGTGACGGTCAAGACCCCCATTACCTGTCGGTTCTTCGAAATGGTATTAAAATATTGTGCGATGTACAAACATCGCATATCACCGAACGTATTCGTCGTGTGCCGCTCCATCGAAATCCCTCATCCAGCGGGAGTGCCGAGCCTGTGAGCCCTATCAGCGATCGAAGAGCACCCCGGCGAAGGTCATATGAACGTACTCGCCCGGCGCACGCATCTCCAACATCGCCAATGTCCCCTTCATCGGGAACTTACTCGGATTTCCCGCCCTCTGTGCCAGACGTTCCAGCCTCGCCAATGACATCGGCAACTTCAGCAACAACTGCCACCAGTCGCTCGGCAAACACCGATTTCTCGAGAGCTCACTGGGCTCAAGCGGCGTTCAAGACGCCTAGCACAAGCACTCCCTTGCCGAGAGTAGAACAGAGGTGAGGAACCCAAAAGATCTTTTACACTCATGTATCTCATGTATTGATAAGCCCTGCCATAGATCAAGCTGTCAAGGAGATTTATGCCCTGATGCGAAGGAAATGCTCCGGGGAAGAGGATTTGAAGAGCTTCTTGAATTGTGAGTCGCCGAAATCGTCCCTGCGGAGTATGCCGCTCACCATGATGAAGTCGCCTTGAGGGCGAGTCCCACCTCCGAGTATACTTCTATATACGAAAGCGCGACTCCCACGTCCGAATACTTATCAAAGTCCCACACCGGTCACGATCAAGCGATTATTATACGTTGCCGCTGAACCTCATCGATGTTCAGCGAGAGGGCAGTTGCCTTTGTCTGTACAGGCGGCGGAGGGGCAGAAATGAGAATGTTTTGTGGTCTATCTTAGTTTTCAAGACAATGGAAGGTAAAGTATCTTCATCACCGGCAGATCCCCAGGTGGACTTTGATCGGTGATAAGGGCGCTTACCATAATCCATACAATAGCCCTAGTGACGTTTCATCACGCCTTTCTCGCTTTACGCTCTCAGGATCTAGGCTCCGACGCGCAGGCAGACAATCTTTCAGACTGCGAGTTGTTAGAAGAAGAGGAACTTTATGGGGGGTAAGTCGAGTCGTGTATACATCACCGGGCCAGGGCTACAGCTTATATTCTGCAGTAAAATTAACGACGACGGATATTTACATGGGCTACGCATATGGGAAGACCAAGTGACCGGGGCCGTGCGGATCCAGGCATCAGTGCATGGGGGTCCAATGGGCAGGTAAGTTCACAATCAGCAGCAGGAATTTTAGGTAGGTCAAGCCTGCTAACGCCGATTGCAGGACTCCAGTCTGGACTGCCTTCATTACTCATAACCTTGTCAAGGACAAATGGATCAGGACTGAGGATTCCAGGACTGTCGTGCTCCGTAATGTCAGACCCATGGTATTCATGTCTGGGGATGATTATAACTCGCCGCGGAATAACTACGGACATATCATTGAGTTCAAAACCTCATCGGGTGAGTGATCAGCTTCCGAGTTTGCCTTTTGTTTTCACTGCTGACTTTACTGTATCCTAGACGCTACTGACTTCCTGAATGCCATCCGCCGCCTGGCTACAGGTGCTCATTGAATGAGAATATCCTTGGAAATAGGCCGTGACGACTGTTTCCTTGAGATTTGGACGGGCTCTCTCCAGGCTGGCCTGGCTAATACTCGACAGGATGATGCTGATATGACTGCAATGATGAAAATTTTCTTTCAAAAATGTTGTTAAGCGTGACAACTTTAGCTATGCTTTCCTGACGGGAATATATTTAATGTCTTGTGAAGCCTTCTTTTGGCGGGAGTCAGAATAACCTCACTTTCTCTACTTAAGTATGTAGTGTGACTAGATCAGTATTTAGTTTGCATTCATGAATTGTGCGTTTTCTGGTAGATGTTACAATCTGTAGACCACTTGCGCAGGGCAAATTAGGGTTGTATTGAGTAAATGCTCAAGTACCTAAGTATATCACCTGGGCATTCCACTAAATTTCTAAGCCCTGGAGGTTGTACGTCTATTCACATGAATCTCGAACAGATATGTAATCTTCCAAGGTTGCATTCAATAAAAGTTCGCGCGCTCTGTAGAATTTGTAAAGAATGTAAGTCTAAAAGTTACTTCTGGTAAAAGGGGTATCACATAAAATGGGCAGCACAAAAGAAGATCATCAAAGCACTGGCTATCGCGGCTGTTCCGACCCTGCCTCTCCCGGTTTCGATGGCTCGCTCGGCTTTTCTTCCGCAAGTTTCCAGGGAACAGGCTCAAAAAGCCGTCGAGGGTTCCTCACAAACCAAGGGACCCAGCTAGGCCTTTGGTGTTCCAGAGGTAAGAAGTCAAGCTCGGGATCAGGCATGTCGGATGGGTCAATTGGAGGAGGGGGATTGAGCTCTCTCTCGCGTTGTGCTGCCTCCTGGAGTGCCTTCCGCCGGGCGAAGAAGTCGATGCAGTCTTGAATCCTCGCTTCTTTTTTGGCCTTTCTTTGCGCAATTTCCTCCTGGGCGGACAGCCGCTTCGAAACTGTGAGCTTCCGCATGATCTCGAGCTGTTCCATTTGCTTCTTGCGCTCCTCTTCGTCTGCAGAAAAGGTATAGAAGCCAGTTCCACGATTGCGCACTTCTTCTTCGGCATTGTAGTGTTTGTTTTCAGGTGGGGTAGGCGAGCGGTCACGACGAGCAGCGAGATGAGACATTTTCGAGGCTACATCAGCATCTGGATTAAAGGCTTCAGTTTGAACAGCCTCTCCGTAGATCAAATTGTCGGGACGAGCGGGTCGCCAACGCTCCTGGGCAGATTCGCCGCCAGCTGCTTCATCCTTGGCACGAGAAGCCTCGGCAGCCTCCGCACGGGTACCACGGCGGGAACGACCAAATTCATCTTCATAAGAAATGACCGAAGAAGTGTCTTCATCCGAATCATCGGGCTTGAATTCTTGCTCGTTTGTATCTTTGAGATCAAAGTCAACCAATCCCTCCTTCTCCTTGCGTCGCAGTCGTTTCAGATAAGCCTCAGGGTCAGACGGATCAATTGGAGCATTGTCGTCATCGTCATCGCTATCGCCAGTGAGGTAAAGACCTTTCTTCATATCATCGTACATCCTCACTTTCTCCTCCATACGGCGACGAGACCGGCCAAGGGTGGCGGTGTCCACAGAGCCGATATCTTGGGTGTTCCTGTGGACTTGTTTGAGAGCTCGATTGTCATCTAGGAGATCGGCAGCGGCACGTTTCTGGGATCCTTTGTTGTGCTTTGCAAAGATGTCTGATTTGGGGTTTTTGGAAGGACGCTGGCGCCCTTGCGAAGGCGCATTGGTCGCACTTTGAGCGATAAGAGATGATAGCTGGGAGGTAAATGCGAGGTTCGAAGCCGTTTGCTCGTTATTGTCCTTTTTGGTGCGGGGTTTCCCATAGAGGGACCCCTGATCAGCGGGCATTTTGTTGCGTGACAAGCAAGATGTGTGGATGGTGAGAGGAAGATGAACCTTGAAAGATAACGAGCTTATCGATAAGCGGTGATTGGAAAACCACACCGCCTCTAATTCTGCCATGCTGACTAAGGCCGATAGTCGGGCAGCCCCGCAGCCCCCCACCGAGCACTAGATCGCGCCGTGACTCAATTGCAGTTTCGATCTAGCAAAATCTTTGTTGAGCATTAGATACGGATCATCTCTATCCTTCAAAAGTTTCTTGATAATGTCTAGCTCTATCTTCCTCGGTGTGGTTGGTAAGTTATTCCCCTCACCACGATGGACTTTCGCATCATCCAGAGAGAGAGAGAGAGAGAGAGATGGCTCTAACCAATTGATGAATCAGGTGTCGGTGGTGTTGGCACTGCTTTCCTCCAGCAGCTCGCTCGTCTGCCCAATGCTCCTCAGCTTGTCCTCCTTGCCCGCTCCTCTCAGACTCTTCTCGCACCCGCACCCGCCTATGCACCTGCCATTCCCGCTGCCGACTGGGCCACAGCATCCGCTACACCATCTTTGACCAAGAGCGGTGCTCTTCAGGCTGAGGAGATTGCCACATACCTTGCCAATGCTCCTGGTCGCGCCATTCTGGTCGATAACACCTCCGACATCAACTTGGCCCGCCAGTACCCCACATTCCTGAAGAAGGGTATCTCAGTGGTCACTCCCAACAAGAAGGGATTCTCCGATGATATCTCACTGTGGAAGGACATCTTCGCGTCGGCTGCCCAGGGCAAGGCCCTCGTTTACCACGAGAGCACCGTGGGTGCCGGCCTGCCAGTCCTTTCCACCCTGAAGGACCTTGTGGCTACCGGTGATGAAGTGACCCGCATTGAGGGTGTGTTCTCTGGCACTCTCTCTTTCCTGTTCAACACCTTTGCCCCTGCGTCAGGATCATCTGACGCGCAATGGAGTGCCGTGGTTGCTCAGGCCAAGGAGCTCGGCTACACCGAGCCCGACCCTCGTGATGACCTGAACGGCATGGATGTTGCGCGTAAGCTCACCATCCTCGCCCGTATTGCTGGCCTTGAGGTCACAAAGCCCGACTCTTTCCCTATTGAGTCTCTGATCCCCGCCGAGCTGGCCTCTCTTCCCTCCTCCGCAGAGGGAATCACTCAGTTCATGACTCGCCTCCCTGAGTTTGACGCCCAGATGGCCAATGTCAAGGACACTGCCGAGAAGCAGGGCAAGGTTGTGCGTTACGTTGGTAGCATTGATGTTGCCTCCAAGGCCGTCAAGGTTGGCTTGCAATACTTTGACAAGGATAGTGCCATTGCTGGTCTGAAGGGCAGTGACAACATCATTAGCTTCTACACCAAGCGGTATGGCGCTAACCCCCTGATTGTTCAGGGTGCTGGTGCTGGTGGAGATGTCACTGCCATGGGTGTCTCTGCTGATCTCATCAAGGTCATCGAGCGCCTCCAGTAGATCATTGATCTTATAGAAACCACAGATGAGAAATCTAGTGTCCACACTGTACATATGACTAGCGCTCTGATGGAGGCCATCAAAATTTGAAACTTGGTCTAATACAAAGCATGTCAAAGAATAGTCCTCGGCTAAACTTTAGAGGCAACTTTAGAAGTTATTGCTGACTTGGAAAAGATCCTGCAAAAGTAGATATTGATAGGGATGATGTGCGACTTCAGGAATAAATTGAGACACATATGAAAACTAATTCTCTAAGTATCCAAGGGTTACACTGTATAACTGTAGAAATGAATGCCAAATAACATCTCCACGCCTCCCAGGGAGGCTTATAGATGTTCATCCCAGCACTACCGGTCTCGGAAGCTCTCTAGAGCCCACGCCCGCTATAACAATTTTCTGAAATTCTAGTCAAGGACCCGTGGACAATGATTGGTGCCTGTTGTCCAGATTTTCCAAGGTCTTCTGGCCATCTCATCATTCGATGTTGGAATGTACCGCGTATCTGCTATGCTTTCGAATACGCGGGCCATAGATGAAGAGCAAATAGGGAACCGGAGTCATGGCAGCACTGATGGCCCCAAGAATTGTGAGTGTGTAGTGAACTCCAATCGACCGATATATCGGACCGCCGGCGACCGTGATGCCTCCTGCCACGACATACCTCGTGAAGACAAGAAATCCGAGCGCAGATGCTGCATATATATTATACGAATCGATGAGATACATATACGAAACGATGAATATAGTGGTGATCCCGTAACCAAAAGCAGCCGAGGCAATGAGCGGAGACCAAATGGAAACGGATGACTATATACGTGAGGACACTGGTCAGTAAATAAAATCAAATTCAGGATGGCACATCGGACACTCACATTGCTAGTCCATCCCATCCAAAACAGGCTAATTGGCACTGCCGGGGCTCCCCCAGGCATCGCGTACCAGAGTCTTGTCTCGGGTGCTATTGCTGAGGTCTTTTTGTATTCGCTTGCAGTCCAGGTATATACCACTGGAATCAGGGGAATAACAAGTAGAACACCCACTAGCATACCCGCCCAGCAGATCGAGGTGAGCCTTTGAGAAATGCCATAGGTTTCCCCAAACACGTATGTATATCCTTCCAAGAAGGTAAAGAGGACAATATACATGATAGTCAAGTAAAGTGACAGGAGAATGATGATCAGCTCGGAGTAAAACATCGCGAATGGTCGGGATGTAGAGATTCGTAAACGTTGGCCCAGGCTCTGTCGATTCATCTCCATCGGAGATCTATACCTCTCATTTCCAGTCTGTTGGCGCAGAGCTTTGGCCTTCCAGCGTAGAATCAGATTGCCGTAAGTTTCCGGTAGGAATATCACTATAATGCAAAGGATTGCACCTCCAAGGATAAGCATGATCCACTCTAGCCAACGCCACCCTAGGGCAGGAGTGGTTGGAATATAGGCCCCGATAATTTGACCAACCATCGGGCCTACAAATGCAGGCACTGCATAGAATGGAAAGGCATAAGTCTTCTGCAGGGGGCTCCATAGATCCGCGACTGTGCCACCAGCACAGCTCAGTGGCGTCGAGGCAAAAAGACCTGCTATGAATCGAAAGACAAGATGAGCCTGCAGGTTAGGTGCTAATGCCGAAGCCATGATGAAGATCAAAAAGAGGACCATCGTGGCAATATACACTGCGTTGCGTCCAAACGTCTCAGAGAGGGGACCCGAGAGTAGCGAGCCACAAGCAAAACCGATCAAGAACAGACCTTTGAAACTCAGGTATCAGCAGACATATACAGCCCAATCGTAAGGAGTCTCAACGTACCAGTTGCAAGCGACCCAACAACTTCGGATACACCAAAGAACTCACTGTACTGCTTGACACCACACGCATCAATTGCAGATGCAGCTGCCACAGAAAGTGCTACCAGCGAGACCAGGGACGTTAGAATCAATTTTTGCGTAGTGCTTTGGTTCACTGGATTCAGAGGGTCATCTTGTCCATCCCAATGCACGAGGATCGGTCCGCTTGGGTCATTTTCTTGGGTACGTGGCACTTTTTCGAGATTTCCGTTTTGATCAATGACAGGACAGCTATTCGTCTGATCAGAAAAGTGGCAGCAATCAGTGTTTGGTGCCGATACTTACTTTGTGTTGTGAGGTGATCCCACCGTGTAGTCTTCACACTTGCAATTTTCCTCCAATTTCAATAGCTGTAGACGAACAGCGCTTTGAACTCGACGGTATTGAAAGTAGACTTCCATCACACACTACTGCCTGCTCAAGTGGTAGTTGCAATTGTAGAAAGGAAATTGCGCGTTTATATTGAAATGAACTCAAGTAAGCCGAACAAACAGAAGGCAGGCTTTAATGATTTAAACAGAGAATGGCAAAGGAAACCAAAAGCTAAAGACCAGTCAAACTGACTAAATCTCGAGTCACAAGATCATGCCCGAGCAGGATCCCCGAAGCAATGCCTCGATATCTCCGTCGTTTCCGTCGTCTCCGATCCCCTTGCCGCGTGCTTCTACTACGGACTACTATTAATGAGTCAGGTCCTAGCAAATTGTTTCCAATCACACAGCAGGAGTCTTCAAGGGCTTTCTTTTATCTTACTTTTCTATTGCCCATACTCCGTACAGGGCAAACATACCGACTCTAGAAGCCCTTTAGGTAACAGGCCCAGGGTCTTTCCAATGTAGACCTTCGACCACAATGAGAATATGCCTTCACTCACTAGAAAGGGACTCGGCGTTACTATTCAATGCTTCGCCCAAGGATCAAATTGACTCCATCATTCCGAGGTTAGTTCAATTATTGTGTGAGTTCAGTGTAGTGTCAAGATTTGACCCGATTTGTACTGACGTGCTCCCCGGTGTGTTATCTCCGAGATCTCCGGCCCTCGTCTCCGATCAACTCCGACTTCACTTCACCATTCCCACTGCCAACGGACATCGGAGATCTCATTGCCTCAATGATTTTCGGAGAATAAGAAAATGAGCTCATGTCACTCAGTCCACATACAGGGTCAGTCGCAGAGTCCAGGACCCCATCGCCGAACGCGAAAGCCCATTAGTTGCGATCATTGCCGATATTCCAAATTACGATGCGATCGTCAACAACCTTGTGGATCTTGCAAGAGACGGGGGCGCGGCGACTCGTGCTTTCTTCCAGCTAAGTCGGGTCTTGCACCTGGATCGGCCAAATCGCAGACATCACCAGTTCAAGTACCAGCTGGGTCTGCCAGGACAGTTGAGCCTCGATCCGCCACAAGGGGGCAAATTCTCACTGCCTCCCCGGGTTCATATCCCGAACGAGTCAGAACTGAGATTAATGGGCTTTTTCCAGATAGCGGGTGGGGATCAGTCCTTGAAAGGCCCGTCCCGCAGAGTGATCCAGCCTTCGCACCGGACACATTATCCCCATTCTCAATGGGCCAACAAGCCTCGCTCCAGAATATCATAGAGCTTCTTCCTCCGGAGAACTGTCGTGATTATCTGGTTTCTCATTATTTCAATCATATATGTGCCTTGTTTCCAATTCTCCATGGCCCAAGTTTTGAAAAGCAGTACACTGCTTTCAGACAGCAGCCGCTCGAAGTCGACCTATCCTGGCTAGCCTTACTATTTTCAATGTGTGCTTTAACTTTGAGTGCCACAGAGCCAACGGATCCACGACTGGCAGACCTATGGTCGAAGGGATGTGTCAACCAAGCTGAACAGGCAATAGCTGTATCTCGCAGGCTCCAGCAAACGGCCATGGCTTGTCTTTTGCAAGACCAGTTCTTCACAAGATACAAATTCAGCACATTTGAAGCTCTACTGATGCTGATTTATCATCAATCTCACAACGAGTCGGTCGATCAGGGCTGGGCTTTATTGGGGATGGCCTTGAATATCGGAATTGCACTGCGATGTAATGTTACCACAGAGCATATCAGTCCGATGGAGCTCGAAAGACGGCGCCGCTGCTGGGCAGGACTCTTAACACTGCATACATATCAAAGTATCCTATTTCGAGATGTTGACATGACATTTCTGCTTGAGATTAAAGCCTCAATGCCAGCAGATGTCAATGACTCTGATATCACAGATGAAGGCATCTTACAACCATCCAGCCAGCCAACTCAAATGTCACTCATGATGTTCAAACTTCGCTTGTTCCATCTTTCTGCTCAGATATGCCGCCATATTTCCGGTCCCTCACGGCATGACCAAGGAGCGCAGTTAAGGAGATTTGACGATGCGATAGCCGCGGAGCAAAAGCTATGGGACTCCAAATACATGATCAACGGGTCTCCGAAAATTCTGAACTCTTACTACGCCCACTGGTGCATCTTGCAGACTTACGCCCATCACCTCTTTCTCCTCCTACATCGCCCCTTCCACCACTCCCAGACGCCAAGCTTTATCGCCGCATCTCGAGAGAGATGCATCAACTCCGCAGCCGCCTTGATAAGCATTCATCGAGATTTGTACGAAGTCCCCTTACTTCGGAATTTCCTTTGGTTAATCAATGGAGTGGTGAGCTTGCAAGCACTTCATGCCGCTGTCGCGCTCAATTCCTGTTTGCGGGATATGCCTTCAACCTTTGACACAATCTCGTATCGAGATGAGTTACAGAAGCTCATGTTACGCATGCAGAGCTTCTCAAGTAGAAGCAAGATATGTTCGAAGGCGTATCATGTACTTGATCATTTACAGTAAGTTTCTTCCTCAAGGACATTTTCAATAAGACCGCTAACAGAACATTGCAGAGCGCACGTGGGCACGCGAAACTCTCAAACGTCAAGTTCAGAGGCCCATGTCGAGGATATTTTCGAAGATTGGACCGATATGCGGGAATGGTTTGATGATGATCTCATCAATTGGGTAAGATCCATGCTGCACAACTGAGAGACACTTGACTTACTGGCTCAGAACCTAGAAAGTGGCCCCAATATCTTCACTGAATAACCCATCCCAAACTCGATGAAGAGTTGGTCAAATGCAGTGAAGTCGATATCATCGACAACAATGAAGCTAGGCCTCACAGCACGAGTACCTTGTTAGGCTTCAAAAAATCAGTATCCAAACATTATCCATGAGAGAATGCATGCGCATGTAATTTCACGATAGTAGAGACCCGACAGAGGACACACTATCATATTTAGGGTAAAAGTAGTATAGAAGTTTTGGCCTAAATCCATGACGCCAAAATCCCAACAGGAATCTCAGAAGCGCAGACCAAACACACACAAGAATAATAAAAACAAATGGATATAATTAAATGCTGCATCGCTCCAAACATATGACAGGTCAGAGAGCAATGGTTATAGCTGCCCCGAGCTTCTTCGTTTCAATATCCCACCCCCACTCGCATGGGGGATTGACCTGCGAACGGGGCTCACGTCATTCTTTCGAGAGTCAGAGCGAGCCCTCTTGCCAGGGTCCGAACCCCCATCTCGATCATCCCCATCACTACCACCGGTATCAGTCTCCACACCGCGCAGACCAAACGCCCTCCGCTGCCCGCCTGGGCGTGCGTTCAGGCTCGGCGCGCGAGGACGTTGCCGACCGCGTGCGCGTCCCCCGATCCATGGGAAATCCCAGATAATCATTCGATATATCCATATAGTAGCATCGAGAAGTACGAGGAATGCCCAGGGGCCGATGGTGACGACACCGAGGAAGAACTGTGGAAATCCGGGGTACATGAGCGACTGCGTCATAGAGAAGGGGTTTGATCGCCGGCGGTGGTAAGGGTAACTCACAAAGAAGCTCACTACCCAGCTCTCGAGGTGGGTGAGCTCTGGTGGAAGAATAGAGTACCACGCCATGGTGGGGGTGATTGGGATTGGGGAGTTGCGGTTGCTCGCGGGTCGGGGATGCGCTGCTGCGCCGATGCGCGATTGCGACTTAGGCCACCAGATTCGTACTATTGGTATTTCCACTTTTCAAAGTTGTGACATTTTCATTTAGAAGGAGCAATTTTTGCTTGAGTTTTATCAAGAATAAGTTTTTCAGATAGGTACAGACCATGGAGTACCTTTGATCGTACGAGTACAAACGCGACTCTCCTGTGATTGGTCGATTCCTGACCCTTTCACGTGACTTAGGCCTGATGTTTCAGGCCAAATTACCTGATACCTGATCACCCAGGTGTCGATTGTAGATCATTTCTGGTTCCAGAAGTTGCCCAGGTGGTTAACGTAGATTAATCATGTTGAGACACTATGATATAGTTCATATATAGATAATGTTCACATGTTGATTGAGGGTGCAACATTCGTTAATCTGTATGGTTCACGGGTGCTCAGGCGATTTACGTGGGTTAAGTAAGTGTAAGCTGCCCAGATCAAGTTACGATGTCCACTCGTTCTAACTTCTTGACTGTTAGACGCGACTCAGCGAGGCTCTTGAACCTAGTTCAGCCTATGATAAAGAGCTACTTGACTCAGGACTTCTGGCTTCTACCCGCCAACTCCAATACCCAACAGCGCTTCCCAAGTTCGATCTTGATTACAGTAAGACGCCCAATTAAGAAGCGGCACTTGAACCCAATATATAGACCCTGAACCCCTCTCTTCACCTGAAAATCGACAGTTTCTTCCGCTGAGATATCCTTCATAATTGCAAATACACAGTCCTGAAGTCTCTGTGAGGGCTTTTTTACTGTGCCTACTCGTACATGTGCAACAAGAGCAAACTTCCGAAACCCCACAGCCCACAGCAGCACAAACGCAATCAAGCTCAAGAATTCTTTTCATTGTCGTTCTAAAGTTGAATCATATCCAAACTCTCAGTTCCACCATGTATCCAACGGCACTAGCCACGGCCATGGTCCTGCTAGCCTCGAACACGGCCGCATTCCCTGTTCACAGTCCAAATCCAGAGTTCAATCTCAGCATTCGAGCTAATTCACAGACCATTAGCTGTGCTGGCTCGTCCGCCTGCAATATTGCATTGAGCAGTACGCTATCCTGGGCTTGCAATAGAGCTCACACCAGGATCGACCCTTTGGCCACATACAAGACGGGGTATGTGCTCGACCGTATACAGTGGCAAGATGCTAATATGATCGCAGGCGTCGAACGCGTGACACAGGAGTCTGTGCTAACATGTATGCATCTGCCTTTGGCTGTGGGATATTTGTGTCTGGTCCACGTGGGTGTTCGCGCACCGGTGCCCAGATGATACAGGCAGTCTCGGATATTCGGACGAGTGGGAAATGTGTCATATGCGGATGGGTACAGGATGAGAGCGATGGGTGCAAGATCAAGATTGATTATGTTTCAGGGTGTTGAGGATGTACTGCAATTTTCAACCTTTGAAGGAGCCCTGAAGCTATGTTGGGGATTCATTGCGCGTGCTAAAACCTCACCTTGGAAGTATTTTGCACCCTTGGAAGGTGTCATCTTCTGAGGTTAACATTTGTGAGCAGCAAGAGATATACTTAGGTGTCCAACGACAATATTCTCATGAGTCTTATGCTCCTCGAGTGCAACAGTCCAATTTCGTGATACATAGACGCAGCAAATCTCCTTAGCCGAGGTTGAGGTTGTATTTGAAGCGACCTTTGGTGAAGTCATGAGTTGCCCGAATGTCCAAGGTGTAACCTCCCCCACAGTACTGTATGTTCTTAGGCAGGTCCGTTAGATTTGCATGAATGTTGTGAAAATCTGTGTCAATTGTTGCACCGGTGTGGTGGCCAATGGCATAATAAACATTGAGTCGAGGACCGGGCTCATGTCTCAGGTCACCCGAGTGTTGCCCAATAGAAGTATCGTGGATCGGGTGATGCCGACGCAGGGTCCAGTAAGTTTTAGTTCAAGAGCGGTTCTCCCAAAAATAGCTGCAGACTTTTCCCATATTAAATCGTGATTGAATGCACTATTTTTTAGATCGGGTTGAAATTGTGGGCAAAGGAAAAGACAAACTGGGTTGGCCTTTGTGGACTGCCGTAAACAGCAAAACAACCAAAACAGCCAAACAGATCAAACACAAAAGTCTCGAGTGGCACACACAACATGTACCTACATTAAACATGACATAGTGTGACCCTGGACCCGACAATTGCAATGTTCCAGATCATCTCGCAGATTCAGCTGATTGGTCTGCCAGAGGTCTTTCCCGGTGGTCTACCAATAAGATCTGGGTGTGGAGCAATTGGAGAAGTGAAACACGTACGGGGGCACGAGGCAAGCCCCAGTTGACGCAAGAGATGATCTCAAGAGCCGTGGGCAAGAAGAAAAAGGTGCTAATCGTGCAGAAAAGAGTTCTCCAGTGGCTCCTAACGTTGATCAGCGCGGGTCGAATGAAATCTAATAATAACTAGCCTAGGCCTCCAAACCCACTTTTTTTCTTTCATTCCTGGGCTTGGCCTAGCCCTGTCTCACCTCCGCTCGTTTTTCATCTTTGGGGTTTCGGTCTCAAATCCTGCTTCTTCATTATCACTCCCATGCTGTTCTGCTGAACCCCTCCGGCCCCTCGTTCATGCCGGATTGTCACTCGTTCCCATATTGACGCAATGGATCTGCATCACTTGAGCTTAGCTGCTCGAGCAGACGGGACCGATACCTTCCTCGATCTAATCGCGAATCCGTTTCGTTCTGCAGTAAGTCGAAATCCCATGCGACACAGGGGAAACCCAGTATGGTGCGCTAACGAGACAAAGTTCACAGTCACCGCCATTTGGGCCTCACTGGGAACCTCAGTGGGTGTCACAATCCTTCTCGCCCTCCTCTTTTCCCTCATCCGACCCCGTCATTCGCTGGTGTACGCCCCCAAAGTCAAGCATGCGGACCTCAGACATGCTCCTCCCCCGGTGGGTAAGGGTATGTTTGCCTGGCTCAAACCTGTGATTCAGACCCGGGAGGCCCAGCTCGTGGAGACCGTTGGCCTGGATGCTGCGATTTTCCTGCGATTCGTCAAGATGTGTCGCAACATCTTCATATTTCTGAGTATCATTGGATGTGCTGTTATGATACCGGTCAATATCACCCAAAGCGCGAGTCCTAGCGACACATCGGAGTCTTCCACCTTTAACCTGATGACCCCACTCAACATCACCAACCCCACAGCTATTTGGAGTCAAGTTGTCTGCGCCTGGGCTTTTGATATTATCATCGCGTTCTTTTTGTGGAGGAATTACCGGGCGGTGCGGACCCTGCGAAGGCAGTACTTCCAGAGCTCCGAATACCAACGAAGTCTGCATGCACGGACTTTGATGATCACCGATATTCCCCCTGCAGATCGCACCGACGAAGGCATCTTGCGACTCACCGACAAAGTCAACCCCACGGCTGCTCTTCCGCGAGCTTCGATTGGTCGCAACGTGAGAGATTTACCAAAGATCATCGAAGAGCATGAGGAGGTTGTACGAGAACTGGAGTCCGTACTCGCAAAATATCTCAAGAATCCTGACCGACTACCCGCGAAGAGACCCAAGACCCGCCCTCCTCGCTCACAGCGAAGCAAGCACCCCGGTGGCAAAGTGGATGCAATTGATTACTTGACCGTTCGGATTCGAGTGCTGGAAGAAGAAATCAAGCATGGACGGGCGTCTATCGATCGCCGAAATGCCATGCCCTACGGATTTGCCAGCTGGGAGAACATCGAGCACGCCCATGCTGTGGCATGGAACTCTCGCCGCAAAAGCCCCCAGGGCACTACTATCGCCCTTGCGCCGCGACCCAGTGACCTGATTTGGGAAAACCTACCACTGACAAAGTCCGCTCGGAAATGGAAGCGCTTTGTCAACTTTATCTGGGTCACTTGTCTGACACTTGTCTGGATCGCGCCTAACGGTCTGATTGCCGTTTTCTTGTCCAACTTGTCAAACCTAGGTCTGGTGTGGCCTGCATTTCAGACTTCGTTGGAAGCCAACCCGAACGTTTGGGCTGCTGTTCAGGGTATTGCCTCGCCTGCACTCACCTCACTGGTGTATCTTCTACTTCCAATCATCTTCCGCCGACTCTCCATTCAAGGTGGCAGCAAAACCAAGACATCTCGAGAGCGTCATGTTTTGGGACATCTATATGCCTTCTTTGTTTTCAACAACCTGATCGTCTTTTCGCTTTTCTCTGCTGCTTGGGGTTTCGTGACTATTGTCGTAGACAAGACCAACAACCATGAGAGTGCTTGGCAGGCCATTGTGGAAAGTCAGCTTTACAGCAAGTTGGTGAGTGCTCTGTGCACCGTGTCGCCCTTCTGGGTGACCTATCTCCTCCAGCGCAACCTGGGTGCTGCCATTGATCTCGCGCAACTTGTGACCATGGCCTGGGTCTGGTTTGCTAAGACGTTCCTTTCGCCAACCCCACGACAATCGATCGAATGGACCGCGCCACCTGCATTCGACTATGCCAGCTATTACAACTACTTCTTGTTCTATGCCACAGTGGCGTTCTGCTTCGCTACTCTTCAGCCGATTGTGTTGCCCGTGACAGCACTGTATTTCGGTGTCGATGCCATTCTGAAGAAGTACCTGTTGATGTACGTGTTTGTTACCAAGAACGAGTCTGGTGGCATGTACTGGCGGGTACTATTCAATCGTATTATCTTCGCAACTATCCTCGCCAATTTCATCATCGCTTTGGTCGCCAAATCTCGCGGTACCTGGACGATGGTGTTCTGGGTTGTTCCTCTGCCTTTCTTGATGATCGGGTTCAAGATCTATTGCATGAAGACTTTCGATTCCGACTGCGAGTTCTATAACCGCGCAAACTTGAACGACGCAGAGGCCTTGGGCGCACAAAAGACCGACAAGAAGGCCGCTGAACGATTGAATTCAAAATTCGGTCATCCCGCTCTGTACAAACCCCTCTTGACACCCATGGTGCATGCCAAGGCTGCCGAGGCATTGAAGCAGATCTACCAAGGCCGTCTTGATCACGGAGACATGGCCGGCGAATACTCAGATGTCGCCATGAACCCAATGCTTCCATCTCAACCTGGCAAGTCGTCTACTGAACCATCGCCCTTCGAGGTCGTTCCGGAAAACCACCTAGACTTCTCGTATTACAAGAATCGTGCAGACTTCCGAGACGAATTTGGTGGCGGCATCTATGGCCGACCGGAAGACTTGATGACAGAGCGCTCTCACACTCCCCGCAGCCACTTGGGAGGCGAGTGGTCACCAAGCTCATCACGCGCTTCCTCGCCCGCACCCTCACTGCCGTCAATTGCGCCTCTGAGGATCCCTGAAACCTCCGAGCATTCGGACCCCACCGGACTCGTCCACCCTGCCTTCAGGGTGCCGTTATCCCGAGGCGACAGTGGCACCTCGGTTCCGGGGGCTTACTACCACGGAGACGAGGCCGAGTCCGGCCTTCTCAGTCATGCCCAGGTTCCTGCGCAGACGGAGATGGCTAACCCGATCGATCGCTGGCGTACCCGTGGCTACGGTCCCGTCGATCAAGACGACCAGGAGCCCTCTTTCACATCCTACGAGGCATATCGCGCACAGCGGTGAGCTGTTCATATCGGCCCCGCGGGGCCTGACCTTGCATATCTTCTTTTCTGTATTTTCCACATGGCTATTCATGTTCATGGGTGGTGTCAGCGTCATTTCTCAACACGAATTTTACGACAATCTTTATGTCCGCGTGGGCGGCATACATCATGCAAATAAAACATGTATTCTACATTGTAAATGCTACAACCTTGGAACCTTGCATCTGTTTTCATTTTTTTGTCCTCCTAAAGTTGTATCAAACCCATAGTTATTCTCCTATATCTTATGTCTGCAATATGTCCCTCGTCTAATAAGTATTCACTCGCCACTGCACGGCCCACTCTTACTCTGGTGCAGTCAAACACCCTTGCTCCTCCAAACTACAGAAGTGCCTTATTTCGATTTGTGTTAACGACTCTAATGTCAATCTCAGGCTTTCGAGATGCCTTCTCACACCAATCTTGAAGATTGGAGTATCAACGGAGAACCACAGGTTTCTGTGGGTAGTTATTTCTTGATGTGGGTATTGCAACTTACGATCCTTCTCTCTTCATCTTGCTGTCATACTTGCCGTCAGGCTACTGTTCATTTAGCGCCTGCGATATGTCTGCCCCATTTTGGCCAGCGGATCATTTCCGTCGAATGCCCTCCACCTACCCCAACAGTGCCAGTCTACACACCCGGACAATTTAAGTTATATTTATGCTCAGTTTCATGTGTCAAAGAGCAATTCTGAAGAATATCACATTGCCAATTACAGGTAGGATCCAGTTGACACCGGCAAGGGCGGAATTATGCCTCTCCAAATTCCATTTCCCCGCATGGTCTTGCGGAATGTGGAGTGTATAAATCTATGCGAACCCCGGCAAGAATACTTGATGGGCATCAATAACGTGAATTTCGCTTTAACCTTGGAATATGGGCATCATTTCAGTAGTATTAACCTCAATTTGGTCATCCCTACCATCCGTGACCGTCACTCTTGTTCTACTTTATTTCATTCGCAATTATTTCAAAGCGGGTGTAGTCAATATCCCCGGACCATTCTTAGCCAAGATCACAGATCTTTGGAGGCTCGTCGATGTCGCCAATGGTCGTGCAGAAGCCACACTCCAATGCCTTCATCAAAAGCACGGTGATTATGTTCGATTAGGGCCGAACGTGGTCAGTGTGCGGAACTTGCATGCCTTGAAGACAATCTATGGAATCAATAAAGGGTATCAGAAAGTGAGTCTCTGGCTCAAGAGCGTTAGCCTTTTCCACTAATGCTCGAAGACAAATTTCTATCGTGTTCAGCAGCAACTCGTCAAAGGGAGACCGACTCCTACACTATTTACTACAACCGATGAGAACTTCCACGCATCTATCAAGCGGCCTATCTCATCAGCATATTCTATGAGTACGTTGACCGAGTTTGAGCCTTTCGTCGATAAGACTATCCACACATTATTTGGGAAGTTGGATGAGTTTGTGTCCGAGGCGAAAGTCTGTGACATCTCTGCTTGGCTACAATACTGTTAGTGATCTTCTCTCATGAGGCCATAGGCAAATTGCTAACCACGACTTCAAAGACGCATTTGATGTAATTGGGGAACTGACGTTCAGTAAGCCCCTCGGGTTTCTGGAGAAAGGTGGTGATATCGACGGTATCATCATTGCGTTGGAGCAGATGCTTGACTATTCTGGGAAGGTTCGCTCTTCAAACAATCAATCTCGATGCCTTGATTCTGACTAGATTGCATTTCAGATCGGGCAAATGCCATGGCTTGACTATCTTTTTATCAAAAATCCTCTCAGGAGACTTTTTGGGGGAGGCTCAACGGGGGCCGTGGCTCGCTTCGCACGCGCACGACTGGACGAGCGATTGAATATGAAAGACAAGGCAGCGTTAGGCTGCACCCCCAAAGACTTTCTCACTCGATTTTTAGAGGCCAAGGCAGACCAGCCGGGCATTGTAAACGACAACCAGGTCTTCTCCTACACGGTCAGCAATATGAACGCTGGCTCTGACACCACCGCAATCTCGCTACGAGCAATACTCTACCACACCCTTAAGAATGACCGGGTCAGTGAGAAATTACAACAAGAGCTGTCAGTCGCCATGAATGAAGGTCGGATATCCCTGCCAGTCTCGTGGAAGCAAAGTCAGGAACGGCTACCATACCTCGATGCAGTGATCAGAGAGGCACTTCGGCTCCATCCAGCCGTGGGATTGATGCTCGAACGGGTTGTACCAGCCGAAGGACTTCAGCTTCCTGACGGAGGCTCGTTCCTACCAGCTGGAACAATCGTCGGTGCTAACCCGTGGATAATTCATCGTCACCCACTTTTCGGGGAGGACGTAGAATCATTTATACCAGAACGCTGGCTTAAGAGGAGTATGGAAACCGATGCAGACTTCCGAATCAGAAAACAGAATATGATTCGTGCAACGTTCACCTTTGGAGCTGGACCAAGGACGTGCATTGGTAAGAATATCAGTTTGCTTGAGATCTACAAGCTGATCCCATCTCTACTTTTGCGATACAAGGCAAGGATCTCCTCCCTCGGGTGATTTTTTTCTTCTGACGAAAAGGCTATACGAGTAGATCGAATTCGACGATCCCACGGCAGAATGGGAAATTGTCAATGCTTGGTTTGTGAGGCAGAAGAACATCAACGTGAGGTTGGTTTTGAATAAATAGTTCATACTCTGTACAAGAGCACGCTGTGTGATTGAATAATAGTTCAGTGTTCCGTAATGAGTTGCAGATTGAGAAAATCCCATGCAGAATCATGCCATCCAACTCCCTAAAAGGTGGAGGCTCCAGAGCTATGAATAATGATAAGAAAACACCGGAGGGAGAGGCGAAACAGCGGCGTAGTGTTTGCCAAGCCAAGGCTAATCCGTCAGAATAAAGGGGCCACGGAGAACGTGTAGCGCATTTGAACCAGATGAGTCTCCACAGTAGTAGAACATTGAATCTGACAGAACAAAATTCGGCCAGTTCACTGTACACTGACCAGTGGTGGCCTGGACTTGCCTCATGAAAGGGTTTGAACCACTATGCAGCTAGCCTCTAGTCCAAATGAAGGGCATTGAACTAACATGCAAGCCAAGCCCGGCTCTGAGAGTCGCGGGGAACCGGTCACCCCTTGCGGCGGAACGCGCCTGTCGAAAGTGTGGCGAGCGCGTCGGAGGTAAGACCCCGTCGGGTTAGCTGAGGCGGGCTTTGGGAGCATTCAACCGAGTAGCACAAAGAAAATGGCAACTCAGGTGAGGTGGAAGAACATTGAGCTTTTCACCTGCAGCAACGGCGTGACTGAATATATTGCAAGATACTGTAGAGAGAAGTACAACTAGCGCCCACTAAGAGAGCGGCAATTCAAACCCTGTAGGTCCCCACTTCATAATGTTAGCTGCGAGCGCAGAGGCTGGGAGTACGGAGCATGTTGTAGAGACATGCCCAGGTGGCGGTACGCAGGGGCAAGCCCAAGGTCAGCTGTCAAGATGTAACTACATAACTGAATTGCTCGGGTCGACAGTATTTCGAACAAACAGCTGCATTGTCGTACCAGTCAATAGTATAATGCACCTGCAGTTCTCCTGGGTAGACTGCGTATCCAACCACAAGTACTTCGTGCGAAATACTCGTAGTCCGTTAGACACTGACAATCTAGTCACCATACTTTGTACGGAGCACTGATCGCACTAACTGTGCCGACACAATTGTGAGCTCGAATTGCAAAGTGACAGTCGAGAAAGAGGTGATTGACATGTCTGTTTCGGGGCGACTCGCCCGCTTACTGTTGACGGTAGGCCCTTATTGGCTGATACTATCACAGTGCAGCTGTGCCTACATTGTACCACCGTCGAGAGATCCCATCTCCTGAAGTCCTCGTACGGAGTAGGAATCAACAATTGGAAAAATCCTAGAACAAAATGCAAGATGGCTCACAATCAAGATTGGGCCCGGAGCGGAGAATAGATCAAGCAGCTATCCGACTAAGGTGGTTCGCCACCAGTGTCTCTGACATCGAACGTCAAAGAGGGGAAGTGTCAGAGATTGAGAGCGAGTCTCTTAGTGTGATCAGGGGTGTCAAATTCTAGTACTCCGGGCTTCGCCCGTAGACCAAGTACTACTACTCGTAAGTACAGTACGGAGTATCGCAGTAGACTAAAATAGTCCCTGATCGGCGATCCAGCCGTTCGATCCGCCGTTGGACCTGTCCAATTCCACCAACACACCCGTTGAAAGCCATCTGAATACTCACTCGTATAGCATCCATGGATTGCAAGTCGATGCTTTCTTTCTGAAACCTCGACAAGTTCAGGAAGTGCGTGAACCAGTTTGCCCCTATATATTACGTCACATGACGCTAGACCCAATTTGGGTGTGTTGATTTTGTCGCTCGACTGCGCCCTTCATTTCTTCGTTTCTTTTTTCGATTTCTGATTTCCACTGTCCTCTGGCAGGCTGTCCCCCCCGGAAATTGGTCTGCTCTTTCGTTCTCTATCATTCACTCGTTACTTGTGCAAACAATTCTTCGTCATTCCTTTGCTTCCTCCGAGGACTCCGTGAACTGTTCAATACGGGTCTTTTGACCGTTCATTCGAATATTCCACTTCAGTCACGATAACCAATGTCCAGCGGGAACTGGGTGCGACATCGTGGCCATGGTCACAGAAAGCGTAAATCATCGATATCCGCCTTCGGCTGAGTTTGATCTGCCCGGCCGGCGCAGAGTACATCCACCTCATTTGGACCATTTGACTATCGACCCACGCGCTGTGCGAAATGCAAAGCCCTCTCCAAGATCTCCACACTATCCAGCACACCCTATACCTGCTCAGCGATCGAGATCGCGTTCGCCTCTTCCTCGAAATGCTCCACACAACGAACCTCCCTGGCCGTCACCTCAACCGTATCAGGCCTACCAGGCTTACCCAGGACCCTCGCAGGGTCCAAGGAGTGAATGGCCAGCTCCCAGACCCACCGCTCGCCCTCCTCTACACGCCACACCTCCCGAATCTCTTCCACGTCAATGGCTACGAGACGACGAGACCGAACGACCCAATCACCGCAAAGCCCCACCTGCGCGAGGAGGCCTCCGCATATCGATGTCCACTTCCCGGCTCCACGGCAGACGTCCCAGGACCCAAGAATCCATGGAGCGCCGCCCGCAGGAAATAAGTCCACAAGGCCTGCCTTTACCGCGCTTTCCGGTCAACGGACCCGCTGATGAAAACGCACCTCGGTCAAGTGTCAACTCCTCCGAAACCTGGCGCTCGAGCATTGAACAAACAAGTGGGACAGAACGGAGTAGTGTTTTGACCAAGAGTAGCTCCATCACGGACCTATCGCCTGACACACCAGATGCGCCGTATGGAATGGACACTGGGATGAGTGTCGAAGATGCGATTTCTATGTATCTCGATGGGTTCAGTGACGTGACCGAAGAACCCGGCTCACCAAAGTCTCATGCGGAAAGCAAAGCGCCGTCAATCACACCTCCTCCATCCCGCGACACACATCTGGATGAGTTGCACCCCTCGAACTTTACGTCGTTGAGCGACGTTCCACCCATTCCTCCTCTTCAAGATCTTCCAACGTCGCGACATGCATCTCAAGAGTCCGCTTTGCAGGATACGACATTTTTGCCAAATGTAACCTATTCCGAACCCACACCTTTACAACCTGTACTCCCGGAATCACCGCCCGAGTTCGCGCCATTGGAGCCTACAGTCCAGGAGTATCCACCGGAGGCGGAGCCTTCTAACCCCGTGGCACCGGAATCTCCGCAGCCTGAGGTCACTCCAGATTCGCCAGTGGCTGATGTACCTGAAGTACAATCAACACGTCAACGCCAGCCCTCAAAGATATTCATTCCCGGATTGGTGCCGCCGCAGCTCCTTTCTGGGAATGGCGCTCGCGATGAATACGGGTTCCGAAAGGCCACACAGTATGTGACGCTGGATCAGCACGAAGCTTGGAAAGGGCCCTACTCCAACCATGTGGCACAACGCAGGAACAAGTGGTGCGAACTGCTCAGGGAAAATGGCTTGTCTACAACTGAGCCGGCGAAATTCCCTCCACAGTCTTCAAAGGTCAAGCGATTTGTGCGCAAAGGGATTCCACCTGAATTCCGAGGTGCGGCGTGGTTCTTTTATGCCGGCGGGTACGAGCATTTGAACCGGAACCTTGGTCACTATGATAGGCTTGTGGAGCAAGCCATGAATTCGGCGAGCAATGACGACAAAGAGCACATTGAACGTGATCTTCACCGCACGTTCCCAGACAACCTTCATTTCAAACCAGAGGCCCCTGCGCCAACAGAGCATTCCGGCAGCAGCAACCCGGCCCATGCCAATGTAACAACTGAAACCCAGATGATCCAGTCTCTACGTCGAGTCTTGTACGCCTATGCCCTACACAACCCGAAGATTGGATACACTCAGTCTCTCAACTTCATCACGGGCATGCTGCTTCTATTCCTACCCGAGGAAAAGGCATTTTGGATGCTTCATATCATTGCCGCAGACTACCTGCCTGGAACTCACGAGATCAGTCTTGAAGGTGCCAACATTGACCTTTGGATTCTCATGGTTCTGCTTCGGGACTCAATGCCGGGCATCTATTCTAAAATCGCTGCGATGGGAGGAACCCCGTCTGGACGGGGTAAGATGCCTCCTCTCACGGTCAATTCTCGCCTGCCCGATATCACCCTTGGTTTGACCAATTGGCTTATGTCGGTTTTCATCGGCACGTTGCCGCTTGAAACCACTTTGCGCGTGTGGGACGTGTTTTTCTACGAAGGATCGAAAAGTTTCTTCCGGGTCTCTTTGGCCATTTTCAAAGCTTGCGAGCGAGACATTCTTGGCGTCACCGATCCGATGGAAGCATTTCAAATCGTCCAAACCGTCCCTAAAAAGCTATTAGATGCCAACGCGTTGATCGACGAATGTTTCGTGCGGAGACATCGCGTCGGACAGGGACGTATCGAAGAGCTTCGAGCGTTACGACGCACTGCGGTCCGGGAAGAAAAGCTCCGACGATCGGTTGCCTTCAGCAAAGGCCAGCTTCATTCGGGGACCGACGATTTCACCGGCCGCGCGCGCACGCCGGTCCCAGGCATTGAGCATCGCGTTGTTGGTTCTTGGCGCCACTTGAAACAGCATGCATTCCGCTAATTCTGCGATGACCGCCGTCTCTACTGGGACCTTCTCAGATACAAACAAGGTCTAATGTCTGTAATCATAATGGGGGAGTACACTGCATTATTGGCGTCTTGGCTTCGAGGCGAACATCGGAGCATACATATAGCATTTAGATATAGAGTATCTGTAAATATTTGAATTATTTTTCGCCAAGCAGGCAACCGACTTGGCCTCAAAATTGCGAAGAAAAAAGTAAAAACCCTGCAAATTAGTGTAGTACTAGCGCGTTGTAGTCTTTGAGATCGGGAAACCCTACAGGGCTGATCATTGGCGATCGCAGTTCCTCCGGAGCAGAGGTCAGGGTCCATGTCGTCATGATTTAAGTCACCTCCCCTGACCCTTTTTTCCTTCTTTTCTTTTTTTCCTTCTCTTCTTTTGCTGTTCGCATTTGGTCATTGTTCATCTGTTTCCTTCTGGCGCCATGAGTGGACAGGCTGCTAGCTACTACAATAATGAGGGCTTTGCTCACCCACAGGCCCAGCCCCAGCAGCCTGCGTACGGGTACAATACTGGCCAGGGGAATTACCAGCAACCCAATTATCAACCTCAACCGCAATACCAGCAAAACTTCCAACCACAGCCTAACTATCAACAACCTGCGGAAGTAAAGCCACCACCAAATTTCCAGCAAAATGCCCCGCAGTCGGGTTATAGCTTCGATGAGGCCTTCAAGATCGAGAAACCCAAGTGGAATGATCTGTGGGCTGGCCTCCTGGTGAGATTGTTTCGCGACACTATACATGATTCCCCCTAAGCTAACCTCATCTCAGCTGATCGCAGTGTTCCTAGGATACGCTGCTGTCTCCGGAATCACAATCCACAAGTACGCGACGAACAAGGGCTTCAGCGGAGGAGGTATCTACGACTCGGCCAATGATTTCTCTCTCAACACCAATACCTTAGTATTGTTTATCTTCGTGCTCATCGTCGCTCTCGTTCTATCCTGGCTATACTTCATGGGCGCAAGATACTTCACCAAGACCTTTATCTGGGCAACCGGCATTCTGAACATCGTCTTTGCCCTCGCCACGGGAATTTACTACATCGCGCGCAAGCAGTATGGAGGTGGAATCGTGTTCCTGCTTTTTGGAGTGTTCGCGATCATTTGTTTCATCAGTTGGATCCCGCGCATCCCATTTACTGCATTTATGTTGCAGACCGCAATGGACGTCGCGCGAGGCTATGGTCACATCTTCCTCGTCAGCGCATTGGGTGGTATTGTCACTGTCGCGTTCGCAGCCTGGTTCTCGGTCACTCTGGTCTCGGTCTACGTCGCCTACGAGCCTAGCTCCACGGGCAGTAATCCGTCGTGCCAGGACGGCGGTTGTAGCAGAGCCAAGGTGATCGGTCTGGTCGTGTACGTGACTTTTGCCATGTACTGGGTCAGCGAGTGGATCAAGAACACTGTTCACACTACCATTGCTGGTGTGTACGGCTCATGGTACTTCTGGAGCAAGTCTGCCGGTGGTATGCCCAAGGGCTCGACTCGTGGTGCATTCCGACGCGCAACCACCTACTCATTTGGAAGTATCAGTTTGGGAAGTCTGATTATTGCGTTCATTCAGATGATGCGCCAGGCCTGTTCTATTGCTCAGCGACAGGAGGCTGCCCAAGGAAACCTTATTGGCAGTATTGCTATGTGGGTACTGGGATGCTTTATCTCTCTGCTCGACTGGCTCATCACACTCTTCAACCGCTACGCTTTCTGTCACATTGCTTTGTACGGAAAGGCGTACATTCCCGCGGCCAAGGATACTTGGAAAATGATGCGGGACCGAGGTATCGATGCCCTTGTGCAAGACTGCCTGATGGGTCCAGTGCTGACTATGGGCTCGACCTTCGTCGCCTATGTCTGCGCCTTACTGTCCTACTTGTACCTGCAGTTCACCAAGCCGGAATATAACAAGGACGGCAATTTTACAGCTGTTATCATGGCGTTTGCGTTCTTGATTGGTTTGCAGGTCTGCCAGGTCTTCATGACGCCCATTGGCAGTGGTGTTGAGACAATCTTCGTGGCCATGGGCTGGGATCCTCAGGTCATGATCAACGATCACCCGGATATTTATTACAAGCTGGTGGAGTTGTATCCCCAGGTACAGCAGGCAGTCCACGCATGAGATGACCGGACAACCAGTTGTTACCAGCAACCTTGGAATATTCAAACATAATGATTCTGTCGTTACAAGAAGATATGAGGCCACAGTATACGCGTCTTAAGTTGGCCATGCACATGAGGAACGAGTGCTCATGTTTACTACGTATTGTTTAATAGGAAATGAGTATCTTTCATATTTGATTCACATACTTGTCTCATGTATCATTACAACTAACTCTGAAAATACTAACAACCAATCCCAGACCATCAAGACAAAACTCCAATATAAACTCCAAATACTCAACACGTCAAGAAGGGAACAAGAATCACACATCCAACTCAAACATTTTCACAATCCAAAGTCATCAGACCCCTTACAGGGCAACCATCAAGGCCATGACAGCAGCGACACCGACCGCTGCAACACCGTGCACGGAAGCACTGGGCGCCGCGGCGCCCTGGAATGACGAGTAGCGGTTGGGGTCCGCACCAGAAGGCATGGGGGTAGCAGCCGAAGCCTGTGAGCCGAAAGCAACGGAGGAGGCAGCGCCCATGGGGACGTGGGAGTGACCAGCAGGGCTGGAGGCAACAGCCATGCTGGGCATGGCGCTACCACTAGCGCTAGCAGGAACATCAACTGGGATCTGGGAGATGTGTGCCAACTTGGAGTCAGGGGCAGAGGTGCTCTTGCAGCTGCAATCAGTCTTCGTCTCGGTCACGTAGACAACGCGAGGGACGGCAGGGACGGCAGAAGCAGGGCTCTCGGCCTGGGGGGCAAAGGCACGCTTGTTAAGCGGGTCAGCCAGCATCATGGGGCTGGAGGCGTGGCGGGCGGGAGCGGCCTCGACCTCACGGGAGCTGCTGCAGAGGGCATCGGTGAGGGAGCTCAGGTCGACGCCGGAGCAGGCCTCTGCGGCTTCCTTGCTCAGTTTGGATAGGGCATCTTTGTTGTCGCAGAGGCATTCTTGGGCCGACTTGCTGGCGCAGTCATCAAAGGTAGAGGTGTCGGCTGAGCCAAGGGCAGCGCTCTATTGTTTGTTAGATATTTGCCCTTTGTCCATTGCAAGACTGCGATATACTTACGGCGCACTTGAGGTAGTCGGTGGCGCTGGTGGCCATGGCACCGGCGGCCAGGACAGAGGCAGCGAAGAAGTAACGCATTGTGAAATTTGGAATTGATTTTGGGGATTTGTAACTGAATAAGAGGTGATCAATGATACCAAAAGGTCAACTGTAGAGCAAAGGATGGTATAGAGAGCGAGCACGCAAGTCCGCGTGAAATGTTCGATACTTTAAGTACAATTGAATTCCTCACGTTATCTATTTACAGAGTAAACAAGTCCTTCAGAATAACATCCCTTGATCCCTAATTGGTGGGTGAAAGGTTATGACGTCCAGGCATTCTCGTGGTAGTTACAGACGCCCGTTGTAGGGGCGGTGTTGAGGTAGACGACAAGCTTTCACTGGTATTTCGCCAAGGGTTGCTTGAGTCTCACGTCCGACTCCCTTGGTAGATTGGGTTGGAATGATACAAGAATGTGCCAGTTACAGAGCACCACGTCCCTGTGGCGTCCTTCGGTATCCCTAGGTTCCCTATACTCCGTAGAATGCTGTCTTCATAGCCCAGGGACCGTTTCACTGTTTCTTATTTAGATCGTCAATCCCCGTCGGGGCTCAAGGCCGAAGGAGTCTGTCCTTGAGTTGGCACTCGCCCTACGTTAGACCCTTTGTGGCAAAATACATTGTCTAGCAAATGGTTCGTAACTTAGAATGGTTAATTGGGCCCTTTGGGTAGTTGAAAGATTCAATTGATCAAAGCTATGTTGTGGAAACCCCATTCAAATTATGGCCCTAGGACTCATGTCCACAAGGTACAGTTATTTATACGCAGTGCCGTCTTCTTTTACGAGATGCCGGTGACTCGTACTCGTTACTCGTTGACTGGAGACGTACACACCACGACTGGAATGATCAGCGGGCACTGAAGGACCATTCTGGTTTCTCCGATCTTGATTTCGAGAATTTCATTGGCAAGAGTACAATCAATTTGCTTCTAAATTTCTACATAACAACCATTCCAACTTGCTATTGCAACTCAGAATGACTTTCACCCTTTTTAACCATTGATGATCAGCATTCTGTTAGCCCAGTGGTAACATGGATACTATCGAATAACAGATGTCAAGGCCGTGGCTAATTGGTCAATTGACTCGAGAAGTAACCGGCATAGAAAACAACGGAGCAGTCTCACAGAAAATGACTGTTGTCAGTTCGATGTGTGAAAAATCCATGGTTGTGTCTACTTATCTACTGTACACGAACCGACATGGAGAGATGTTTAACTCAATAATTCGCTCATCAACTACTCATCAACTACAAGAGCTTTCTGATATCCGGTACGAGGTGTCACGAAGGGAATTCACCAGTTCATGCTTCTCTATACCTAGCTTTATGTAGATAGTCCTGAGCTGCTAGCTCCCTGCCTCTGAAATATTATATGAACAACTTTTGGACCGAGCCACCTGCTAGCCCTGATATGACGGTCCATCTTGTTTGTTTGGAATTGGCTTTTCGAACACGGTGGACACACTTGAGCAGCTCTAGAGTGATCGTCTGTAATGACATCAAAAGAACGTGCCATTGAGATTGTTTTGAACATTATAAATCTCAAATTGGGTATAACTAAACCTATGAAATAACCCTGAACCCCGATCGCTTCCCAAGAATCCAACAAGCCAAATAGAAGAAAGTCAAAAATAACAAGGAAATAAAATGCTAATGACAAAACAAGCAGAGAAGCGCCAGGCCAAGATCCAAGGCCAGCTCAGAACTTTTCGCTGGTCACACACCGAGTCGACTTCACCAGCAACCAAGCCAAAATTTTGACTATAAGCGTCAACCCTTTGACAATCATATCCAACCCAAAGAACAGGATACTCAGTACGCCACGAGTGATACCAGGTAATTTCTGGCCCTTCCGCGAGCCAGCTCCATAACGGCCGTATTTCTCTAGATCAAATTCCTCAACGATAACCTTCTGGTTCTTCTTGGATTCCCGAACATTCTTCTGTTTAGAAGGGGTACGATTCCAGAATTTAAAGAAACTCTTCGAGTTAGAGTCATTCTTTGATTTCTTCTGCGCCGACTTGATCTGCGACGCTAGATGCATGCTCTCGGCTGCGTCTTCACGCTCGGCGATTGTTGTCACCAATTTACCTTGGAACACTGGCATTGAGTATGGACCCGGGTTCTGAGATGTGGTTGGCCTGGATGGTTCCGGGGAGCCGAGAGCCATATCTGCCAGTATGGGATTGGTGGCCTCATCTGAGACGGCGACTGCCAGCATTGCAGCAATGAGGGAGTCAATGGCATATAGGGATGGGATTGTAGCAATGACAGCTGCTGGCGATATGGATAGGGTATTGGTGCCAAAGTCCAGGGTGGCAAGTGGTTCGTCCTGGTCTGTGAGTGGTAGTGTAGAAGTGCGCGGGTTTGCCGCTTGTTGTGCGGCTTCTAGGGCCGTTGATGAAACTGGACCAGTGACGATGATGGTTGGTGGCTGGCGTGGGGAGGCATTGCTCGATGGTGTGGAGACTGTGATGTGGACCATGCCCGAGGATTGAGATCTCACGGGGGATAGTGGGATACCGGCAGCGCCAACCAGGGCGGGTGGATGGCGTCGAGAAAGAGACGGATGTCTGAGCTCGTACAGCCTCTGGTGTCTGTTCCATGACAAACGACAAGATTCGTGACCTGCCGCACGTTTGAGTGCATCGGTCTCTACCTCTGATGCTTCAGAGGGAGTAAGGTGATACTTTTTACTGATTTCTTCGGCCTGATCTATTGCCAGCATGGCAGCTAGTCTGGAGAAGAGGAGAGTGACCAATCCGTCATTGGGATGTTCGCGGCGAATGCGGTCTTCCAGATTCATCATCATGATGGGCACCTCATTGTTAGTCTTTGAAGGGTCACTCCGGCTCAACGCGATCTCATCGGTGGAATATGTTTGCAAGGTATAAAATGGTTGCTGGGAGTTTCCCAAAGTGAAAGTTGCGGGCCCGGTCCTGTGGGAGTGTCAGTGGCTATATATTGTTGATCGAAAAGCGGAAGCCCTACCTGTTCATTCGCAAATTCAACATGCCAACCATTTCTTGGGGTCTTTGTCCATTGGCTATCTCCCATAGCATCCTCAACTCATCTATCGATGAATATTCAATGTCTTCAGACCCGGTAGCGCCGCTAGGAAAGTTGAAGACACTCGCAGGTACAGTCTTTGGCCCGAGAACATGGTCAATCTCGGCGCCTGTCGACAACGTCAGCTTGGGAGGCTTCCGTGTCTTTTTTGGGGGCGGAGGTTGTAACGTATTCGAGACCTGGGGATGGTATGCTTGCTGATTGAGTGGTAGTTTGGGATCGAATTGAGGGAACATTGATCTCATTGGAACTGGCGACACCGAAGACTGGGAAGATTGCGGCGAAACGGTGGAAGCTGCGGTTTGACTGCTACTGCTGCTACTATAGCTACCATGCGAAGGTAAAGCCTGGTGATCTGACTTTTTGGCTTGACGATTCTGGCTGTGCATGGACTGCGGGGATCTCGTATCATGAGAAGTGCCCGCGCCAGCAGGCGGAGACTTGACTCTTTCAACATTTTGAGGCGGTGGTGGGGGGAGATCCTGTGTATCTTCAATAATCTGAAGAAGTAGGGACTCGGTGTTGCTGGAATCTTTGATCTCCTGCAGTGGAATTGGGGACCCCGGCTCGGCACTCGCAACTGGTTTCTTGCCCGCCTTGCGAAATGGGTTATTGGATCTCTTTACTTCTGGCGTTGGCGGAGGAAATAACTGGAATTGATTCATCTTGCTGAAGTCCGGATGACATGTAAACAACAAACAGCAATGACACGAAACACGAAAGCAGGGGGGTCGCGAGTGAGATATAGCCCATGCTCACCGATTCCCCGGCCATCGAATATCCAAACAGAATACATGGCTTGCCGGCAGCGTGACAACCCTGCGTATAGAGTGGGCGCTTAACCGATTTGGGATGTGATTGGCCGTGATCCTGGGCTGGTCACTTCGGAGTGCAGTAGCGGCGCTTCGATCGGATCCGATGATTGGTGCTGGGACCGGGGGATTCTATAATTATCGCAACCCTCTGCATACTGAGCTCCAGACAGAGACTATTTTGGCTGAAGAATTCGAGTAAAACTGTGAGAACGCATATGCACTGACGTGAACAAAGTCCCCAAGTCTTGGCATTTCACCAACCTTGGAAACCTCCGAACCCTGGAAGATCATACGGCGGACATTCGACTCATTGGTGAACCATGAGATCCAGAAGTTCACCCAGAATTTTCTGCGAAGATTTCACTTCACTTCAGTTGCAAACGCTGGGAATGGCAACAAAAATTGGTATGAGTATGTGCAATTTTGTGTTATTTTCATTGATGCATCTAGCTCTTTACATAGTAGAGCCCTCCAGCTCCTCCAGACGGTGCATATCCATAGGCTTCTCGAGCAGGGGGATCACGTAGGGGTCGAAGGTCTTCCAGTAGGGGTTGTTGAGGTGGTACTGTTGGGAGGATTCCTGCTCGTAACGCTCGACGATGGTGAAGTCCTGCTTGTCGAAGACAGACTGCATGACGAACCAGGAGATGGTCTCCTTGTCGTTGGAGTAGACGTTGGATGCCTCAACAAGCTTGGCGTGGAGCTTGGAGATAGACTCCTCATCCGGCTTGGCGCGGAGGTCTGGAGCAGTTAGCGCAAAGGCCGGCAGATGTAGAGGGCAGGAGTGTGACATACGGACGACAATTGTGTAAACCATGATGTGTGTTGGAAGGTGCGGGGTGAGTATGGAGGGGGAATGAGGGGCTACGATCTCTGGCAGTTAAATACTTAAAATAGCTGGGAACATTTAGTCAGTCGGTGAGAGAAACAATGTTTCAAGGTGGGCCGAATCTATGTAAATCCCCGAGATTTGCCCCTAGTGATCCCGAGTCGGCGGGAGTTTAATCGGCAGCGCATATCCCGAATGCGAGTTCTCGTGAAATGCACGTCTTGCCCATAGACTGGCGAGGGCTTCACAGCTCGGTCAATTTGGGATTTATACATTGATTCTATTATTTACATGCTAGTATACATCTAGTTTCCTTTCCCGGGATCCTGGCCCAATGCCTCGGTGTGTGCACTATAGGTGAGGCCTTCGGCCATGGTGATCGCACCCTCCATATTTCCCTTGTTGTATAGGAACAATCCCTGCAGGGCTGCAGCACTGGCGTTCAAAGAAGGATCAGCCTTGTTTCCAGCCTCATCTTCGATCAAGCCAAGCTCTTCGAGTCGGTTCAAGAATACCGCGCGATACTGCCCGTCGGTATCGATATCTGCGTAGAATCGATCCCAGAGACATCCAACCTGGTAGCGAGTGACTTCTCCCAAGCGGACAGTCATATCAACACGGCCGGGTCGGACCAAGGCCTCATCAAGGCGTTCGACGTGGTTGGTGGTCAGGAAAATAATTCTCTCTTCGGCGCTCGCGACACCATCCAAGGAATTAAGCAGACCCGAGAAAGTCACGTTAGCGCCTCGGTACCCATCGGCATCACTTTGTTCACGGCGGTTCGAGAATGCCGCGTCCACGTCTTCCAGCAAGACAAGTGTGCGATTAGGAACGATAGTGAGCAGATGATTGAGCCGGTCATCTGTCAAACCCCGCTCGCTCAAGTTGAGAATGGCAATATCATAGTCTAACTCACCCGCTAGCGCCTGGATGAATGAACTCTTGCCTGTTCCAGGAGGGCCGTACAAGAGATATCCTCGTCGATACGGAATGCCACGATCGTGATACCACGAAGAGCTTTCGATGAAATCATTCACATCTTCCACGATACGTTCTTTCACCCCCTCCTGCAGGATCACGGACTCCAATGGACGCTTCCGACGGGGGTTTCCAAACGGCTTCCATTCAGTTCCCCAACTGTTATAGATTGTGGTCTTGCCTTCATGTGACTTGGCGGCATAGGCATGGGCCTCGGTGAAAAGATCTTCGAAGATGTGGCGTTGAGAGTAGAGGGTGGTCAGGGTAATGGTCTCCCATGGCTTTCCGGTCTGGATGTCGCGAGATTTGGATTCGCGCATACGATTAACGAAGATAAACGCGTTCTTGTATCGTAGTACGTGTTTTCCTGGACCGGGAACTAGTGAGAAGTGTGTATGGATTGCTCCGTTCGAGTGTTCGAGCTTCTGCGTCTGGATCGAGAGGTGGCGCATGCCGGGGGTGAGCCTCTGGAGGAATCGGTCCATGTAGCCGGTACTGTTCGCGGCAGCCCTGGATGCAGAGAGCTGTGACTGCTGGTACAGTGTCATCCAGTGCAAGAACCACGGATATGAATCATCCTTGATGCTGATCTCCACATCCACGAGCATGCGTCTGCGGAGAAGAGCTGCGCCATGTCGGACGCCTTTTTGTGCGAAAGTCAACCCAGCTCCTAGACCCGCGAGGCCAAAGCCCTATGAACCAAATATTCGTCAGCATGCCGACCTTGGAATTGGGATTGAAACATCGCTAGACCCCATACCGCTGTGAACAAGGGATTGCTGGTTAGCTGTGACAAGAGGGATCCATCGCCTTTTGGTTGGAGAGCCTCGGCTCTTTGCTGTAGAATCAAGTCGCCTGGCGATGGCGCAGGACTCGGGACCGCATTTGGCTCCATGCCCAAATCACAAGTGTGGTGAAGATACTATCCAGGCGATAAGGAGATATCGGACTTGCAACGGCTCGGCTTTTACTGCCCGTCCTCATGTGCTTTACTACATTGCTCCTTACATAGTACGCTGTGCATATACATGTTAGTATTTAAATTTGCAACACATAATTGGTAGCAATAGCCACGCCGAGTCTACTATTGATTGTCTTTTATTTTTTTTAAAAAATTGCGCTGTACATACTCCATAGTCTTGGGCACTTCACAGGTAAAAGCGGTCAACGGGATCAGTCCACCCGTCAACGCTGACATCCAAGGGTACCATCATCATTGGATATTATGACGGCTAGATCTATCCTCTTGGACGAATGCCATGGAACGGAGCAATTATTTGGCCCATGAGGCTCTTGGCCGGAGCATCGTCCACTAGCTCGGGGACACGGATGCCCCGTCCCGGAGTTATCGGTCTTAGCAGGGCTTTTGCTTTGAGCATTCCGATGGCTCATAAGCTTACACCCGTGGACTCTGTCGTGTCTGACTTTAATACGCCCTGACCTCCCATGCGCTTTCTCTCTCGTGTCCCGTTTTATAAACGGGCATTTCCACACACCTCTCGCTCACCAATTCGCAACATGAATACCGCAGCTGCAAATGAAGTGCTGTATGCACTGACCGTGGGCAACGCTCCAACCAGACCTAGCCCAGAGGATGTGTTAGAAAAGAGCCACCATACAGAAAGCGGGTTTAGGAATCCTTGGGAGTGAGTCCAGATCTGCCTAGCGACTCGTGTATTCGTATTGTCGCAAGGACTGACAGACTGGCATAGATCTTTCCGCGATCTGAGCAGCTCAGAGATCATGCAAATGATGATGTACGTCGCGTCCTTTTACTTGGCTTTAATCACCTTCTGACTCGCTCCTGTAGTTCGCGCCGATTGAGCGGCAAAGGCAACAACCCCGACACCACGCCCCCAACTGTCAATGTCCGCAAACCGCAATTCCTCCCCACTCGAGACACCCCGAAACTCCGCTCAACATGGCTTGGACATGCTTGCTATTATGTGGAATTCCCCAGCGGCCTTCGCGTTCTTTTTGACCCAGTCTTCGAAGCTCGTTGCGGGCCATGCTGCGGGCCTATCACCTTGGGACCGAAGCGCTTCACCGAGCCTGCGTGCCAGGTCAAGGATCTGCCCATCATTGATGTGGTAGTCATCTCACACAACCACTACGATCACCTCTCCTACCCCACTGTCTCGGAAATCGCAAAGAGACACCCCAACTGTCATTTCTTTGCCCCCCTCGGCAACAAGTCGTGGTTCCAAAGCTCAGGCATCCAAAATGTAACAGAGTTGGATTGGTGGGATGAGCGAGACATTGCAATGTCACCTAAAGAGAACAAGGGCTCACAGGTAGAGCCGGTGGGTGAAGTTTCGGCCGATGCTGGCATCAAAGCGCGTATCAGCTGTTTGCCTTGCCAACACATCACCGCGCGTGGCCCCTTCGACAAGTTCAAGACATTATGGGCATCCTGGTCCATTGAGTCTGGTGGCCGCAAAGTCTACTTCACGGGGTAAGATCATCTGAAATTACCGATTTCCAGTATTGATTCGCTGACCTCAATTTAGTGATTCTGGGTACAGGTCCGTGGACGAGGTCCCCGATGGAGAAGATGATTATGATCCCAAATACGATTTCCCCATCTGCCCTGCTTTCAAACAAGTTGGCGAGTTCCGTGGGCCATTCGATCTTGGTCTGATTCCCATCGGGGCATATGCTCCACGTCATATTTTCAGCGCAGCACATGCTGATCCTCACGATGCTGTTCGGATGTTCAAAGATACCAAGTGCAAGAATGCCCTGGGTATGCATTGGGGTACCTGGGTGCTGACGGAGGAAGATGTCCTGGAGCCGCCCCGAAAGCTCAAAGAGGCGTTGAAGAAACACGATATCCCTGAGGAAGGTGTATTTGACGTATGTGAAATTGGCGAGAGCCGAGAATTTGAATAATGTGTATATTACCGTCAATCATACCAGCTAGCATAAGAATCAGTCTTTGACAAATTGATTAACATATTCAGCCAATCAGTCCATATTTCTATCACAGGTCCCCCATTCCAAGTACTTCAACGTTCACCAAGTCGCATTTGGATCCTCGAGTGTACAACAGCCCTGGAGAATACAATTGAGAGAGGAAAATTCATAAATATACGGGAAATAACCTTTGACCCAGAGTTGGCCCGTCACGTGGAATGGACAATACTGACGACATGTGAAGTGTCTCCCGAACATTGAAATCTCAAACACAGTGAAAATGAATTTCTAAATGGTGCTGGCACCTGAGGGTGCCGCTATCTCAACATGGCCCAATGCTCTGCCCCAGTTGACGGTATCGTCGGCTCATACACTGGAAACAGCTTCGCTCTGCAGGCTACTATCGCTACGCTTCTCGGATTAGCCCTATACAGCGCGTTGGAGCTGATAGTCCTTGTATTTTCCATGTTTCATTCTTACAATGGACTATACTTCTGGAGCCTTTTGATTACTGCTTTACTCGGCGTCATCCCCGATGCTTTGGGTCTGCTTTTGAAATATTTCAAGCTGGCACCTATCTGGATACCCGTCACATTATCCACTGCCGGCTGGGCTATCATGGTGACTGGACAATCCCTGGTTCTCTACTCACGGCTACATCTCATACTCCGTGACCACAGGATCCTGCGCTGTGTCCTGGCAATGATCATCATCGACGCAATTGTTCTGCAAGTCCCTCAGGTCATTGCTTCCTACGGGGTTATATATGCATGTCATCTTGCATTTGGTCGGTTCTTCAATACCTGGGAAAAAGTTCAACTCACAGGGTTTTTTGTCCAGGAGATCGTGATCTCAAGTATTTTTATTGTACAGACGGTCAATCTGTTGCGCAGTTACCCAACGAGAAGCCAGCGGAGGACAAACATCATGTATCAGCTTCTGGCGATCAACCTAGCCATCATCCTCATGGATATATCCCTCATTGTGATTGAATTCATTGGGCTGTTTATTATCCAGACTGTCCTCAAAACCTTTTTTTCACCATCAAGCTGAAGTTGGAGATTGCAGTGTTGTCGAGACTGGTCTCGTTTGTACATTATGACCCTACACAAGACTCGTCAGGAATGAACACATCCCAATGACAAAAAGCCCACAATCAAAATTTCACACTACTTAAGTAATGTTCCAGTGCTGTTGTACTTAGTATTTTAGTTCGGGTGGAAATATAGTTGGGTGTTTGCCTAGTTTGTCAGGGGTGAACGCTAACCATATCCAGACTAGCGCGAGGGAGCTCCCACTTCGCCTGGAAATTTGATGGAATGCGGGCGAACAGCGTTGAAGTCGGAACTCCTGGATTATCAGTCATCTTCGCGGAGTATTATCTGATATTCGGAAGTGAATTATCAGACTCACATATCCCTACTTCCCGCCCAATTCACTTTACACAACCGCCGATATGCAGGCACCGGTGGTGGTGATGAGTACGTTACCCCCCAATCCACCTACTCCCCTTAACGTGCTAACAAGTCGCCCAGACACCAATTCTGGCGAACGTCAGGTTGGCCGTAGAGCGCAGATGTCCAACATCACCGCGGCCAAGACGTACGATATCCCTCGATCCTCCGTTGTCCTCCGCTTTGATGCTAATAAACACCAGTGTTGCGGATATCATCCGCTCATGTCTTGGACCCAAGGCGATGTTGAAGATGCTGCTCGACCCCATGGGTGGTATTGTGTTGACTAACGATGGACACGCCATTCTGCGAGAGATCGAGGTGTCCCACCCGGCGGCCAAGAGCATGATCGAGCTCAGTCGTACCCAGGACGAGGAGGTCGGTGATGGAACCACAACGGTCATCATTCTTGGTATGAGCATCAATACACTAAAACTCCGAATGGATATAAGCTAACATTTTGAAGCCGGTGAGATGCTCGCCCAGGCCATCCCCCAACTCGAACGCAACATCCACCCCGTCGTCATCATCCAGGCTTTCAAGCGTGCCCTCGCCGATGCCCTCCAAATCGTGGAGGAGGTTTCCACACCCGTCGACATCCACGACGACAAGGCCATGTACTCCCTCATCCAGTCCTCCATCGGAACCAAGTTCGTGTCCCGGTGGTCAGAGCTCATGTGCAGCTTGGCTCTGCGCGCCGTGCGAACCGTCTCTTTCGATGTCGGTGGTGGCAAGCAGGAAGTCGATATCAAGCGTTACGCCCGTGTTGAGAAGATCCCCGGTGGTCAGATTGAGGATTCCGAGGTTATTGACGGTGTCATGGTCAACAAGGATATCACGCATCCCAAGATGCGTCGCAGAATCGAAAACCCCCGAATTCTTCTGCTCGATTGCCCTCTGGAGTACAAGAAGGGCGAGTCTCAGACCAACATTGAGATCTCCAAGGAGGATGACTGGAACCGCATTCTCCAGATTGAGGAGGAGCAGGTCAAGCACATGTGCGAGGCTGTTCTTGCTTTCAAGCCTGATGTCGTTATCACCGAGAAGGGTATCTCCGGTAAGAAAGCAGACATTATGGAATTCGACTTATTTGGTTGCCCATGCTAACTACTGATCTCCCAGACCTTGCACAGCACTTCCTGATGAAGGCCAACATCACAGCCCTCCGCCGCGTGCGAAAGACCGACAACAACCGTATTGCCCGTGCAAGCGGTGCCACCATTGTCAACCGTGTTGACGACATCCAGGAGTCTGATATTGGTACCGGGTGTGGACTGTTCGAGATTGAGAAGATTGGTGACGAGTACTTCACATTCATGCGCAAGTGCAAGTCCCCGAAGGCCTGCACAATTCTGCTCCGCGGCCCCTCAAAGGATATCCTTAACGAGGTTGAGCGCAACCTGCAGGATGCCATGTCCGTTGCCCGCAACGTTATCTTCCACCCTCGTCTCTCCCCCGGCGGTGGTGCCGTTGAGATGGCTGTCTCTGTGAAGCTGAGCCAGCTTGCTCGCTCCGTGGAGGGTGTCCAGCAGTGGCCATACAAGGCTGTTGCCGACGCTATGGAGGTTATCCCCCGTACATTGGCCCAGAACGCTGGCGCCAGCCCTATCCGTGTGCTCACCCAGCTTCGTGCCAAGCACGTTGAGGGTCACACCTCCTGGGGTCTGGACGGTGACTCTGGCAAGCTTGTCGATATGAAGGAATACGGTGTCTGGGAGCCCGAGGCTGTCAAGCTCCAGAGCATCAAGACCGCTGTCGAGGTAAGTTATGGTCTCCAATGCGCGCTATACTGTTTACTAACGTTATACCTTCTAGTCTGCATGCTTGCTCCTCCGTGTCGACGATATTTGCAGTGGCAAGTCCGCCCAGCAGCTCGCCAGCGGCGGAGGTGGTGGCGAGGAATAATTGATAGACGAAAAAGAAAAATGATCCTGGACTTGAGGTCCGTACATAATGCTACACGATTTGCCTCTTGGCTATCTTCCTCTCTGTATGAATATCCTCGATTCAAACCAATTCCAGATGGGTATCTTTGTATTGTACACTGCCAGCAGTAGATTTTTCATTCAATCCATTTAATCATCGTCATGGATAATGACACCGGGAACTTCCTGAACCGGCTGACCATCCGTAGCCCCATGAGCGACACCGTCCTTGTTTCCATCTGCACTGAGAGTCGTCCCGGGCGCAGGGCCAGCCTTTGTTGGTGCTGTGTTCGTTTTGTCACCACCATTCTTGCCCCGTGCGTTCTTCTTTTTCTCTCTCCTGCGTCGATTCTTATCCGTCTTCTCATCATCCTTGCGCTTGGCTTCGGCACGCTCTTTCTCCCATTCGGCATTATCCTTTTCCTGATCCACCTCAGACTGCATCATGCGTAGACGCTCATACTCCCGCCTCCGACTGGCCTTGTAGACGTGGAATTCACCGGAGCCCGCACCAGCAGAAGAACCCTGAACATTGGTGACGATCTCTGGTGGCGCAAGGAGTGCTGACGAGCGTTGTAAAGCAGAATCAGGTAGCTTGATGTCCTTGCTTGGGTCTTTGAAGAGAGTCTCAATTTGGTTCGCGTGTTCAGTAAGTGGTGTCACGGCGCGACGCTTCGTGGGCCGCTTGCTGCGCGGGTCTGCACTGGTCGGAAACGACTCTGGGCCTGGCTCGGACATTGTGGGCGCAGGGTTCACGATATGCGACCGTGGTTTTATCTTTTCACAAGTCAGAAAAAAGTGGGATTGTCTGTTTGCGAACACTGTAACAATGCTGATGTGTACAGAGCTATCAGCGCGACCTTGGAACATTTGAAAGACGGAAGAGATCATAGGCTGGCGCTAACTATATCCGGTTAGCGGCATCACCTGTGGTTTGCGTCTTCACTTACGCTACAGAGTATGGAATATAGAGGAGTTATGAAATATGAAATATGGAATATGTAAGATATGACTTTAGTTGGGAATCATGTCAACTTCGCCTATTTTCAGTACTTTGTACGTTCGTAGAGTATAGGTCTGGACTGATTAGACAATATCCCCGATATCATACGTACTCCGTACATCTCACTCAGTTCTCTTCTGCATATCTCGCTGACCAAAATTGAAGAGGTCGAAAGGGGAATTGAACTCGAGATCTGAATAAGTTCGACTTACGTGGTTCGTTTCCCACCGCAGATAAATACTTCGCTCCTCCTGGGATTTTTCCTTCCATTCGCAACTCTCCACCCACTCGAATCGACTACGCGCCAAAATGCCTTATCGTTTCGGTGAGTTACACTTTCATTGATTCTTTGGTTACTTCGTACATGCTCGATCTGCCAGTTATACTTTTTGTTTGGGGAAAGGTCGCAACGGATCCTCGCCGCGTCGCGATGCGCGTTATGAGCGTTCTTAGCGCCCGCGGAGCTTGCCCTAACTACATACGTCACATCAGTTTTTTTGTTTTTGCTGGCCATGTGAACAGCATGCCTCTGCTTAATGGCTTCACTACATGAGAATATTGGGACTCTACAATGACCTCACAACTGACTTGATTCTAGAGTTGGCCAAATCCGGCCGATCAGGCTGTCAAACCAAGGAGTGCAAGGATGAGAAGGTGAAGATCCAGAAAGGTGAACTCCGTCTGGGTTCATGGGTTGATACCGATGCCCGTCAATTCTGGACCTGGCGTCACTGGTAAGTCTGCTAACTGAAGTACTCTGTACGAAGTACATGGCAATGCATTTGAAACTTACAATTATTTCAGGGGTTGCATTACCCCCCGCACCATTCAAAACATTGTGTCATCTCTCAAGGAGAAGGATGGAGATGCTCTGAATTATGAGACTTTGGATGGCTGGGAAGACCTGGGAGATGATGAACATGCCAAGATAAAAAAGGCTATTGAGCAAGGTCACGTTGATGACAGTGACTGGCGAGGCGTGAGTGCAATGAAACCTTCAACCCCATGACTGGCGATTCCGAGCACAAGATGGGGCCACGGTCGCAGTCGACTAACAATTTCTAGGATATTGAGTGCAACCGCCAGGGTGCCATTGGTATGCGTCTAAAGGGCGCTGCCAAAGCTGTATGTGTTTTTATCTCACGTTTATTTTTCATCGCACAGAACTAACATGGTCGTAGGCAAAGGAAGCCAAGGAGGCTGAAGATGGAGATGAAGACAAGGAAACCAAGGCTTCTGCTGCTGGTAAGAAGCGCGGGGTCAGTGATGCTGATTCGGCTGCTGAGAAGGAGGAGCCGGCAAAGAAGAAGCGTGGGCCTGGTCGCCCAAAGAATGGTGCCGCCGCCGATGCCGATGCGACCGCTGAACCTCAGGCCAAGAAGCGTGGCCGTGCCGCCAAGAAGACTGCTCAGGAGCCCGAGCCCGACAACGATTCGGAAATGCCTGATGCTGGGGATGCTAAGCCTGCCGAGAAAAAGACGACTGCTCGATCCAAGGCAACCCCATCCGCCAAATCCAAGGGTGATACCAAGACCAAGCCCGCTGATGATGGCTCTTCCAAGGGAGGCAAGAAGGCTTCTTCGGAGAATGCAAATGTTGGTCGCCCTCGCGGTGGAAAGAAAGCTGCCACCAAGGCTTCTGAAGAAGTTGTGAAGGGCGATGACCAGGAGGAAGGTGCCGAACCTGCTGATAAGCCTAAGCCCAAGAAGCGTGCTCAGCAGCAGGCTAAAGGCAAGGCAGCTGAAGAGTCTGCCCAGGAGGAGAACGATGCTCAGGAGAAGGAGGCCCCTGCTGCCAAGCCGAAGGCAAAGCGCGGCCGACCTGCTGCCAGCAAGGATATCAAGGACGCTGCATCCGACTACAATGACCAGGAGGAGAATGATTCGCAGGAGAAGGAGGCACCTGCTGCCAAGCCAAAGGCAAAGCGCGGTCGTTCCGCTGCTAGCAAGGATATCAAAGAAGTTGTACCCGACAACAATGACCAGGAGAACGATGCGCAGGACGAGGAGCCTGTTATCAAGCCAAAGGCAAAGCGTGGTCGATCTGCTGCTAGCAATGGCACCAAGGAGGCTGATTCGGAGAAGAGCCTCCAGGAGGAACGCGATAAGTCAACCTCGAGCAAGCCAAAGCCCAAGAGCAACGACAACGGCCGCAAGGAGGCTACCTCGAAGGATTCCGCTGAGTCTGTCGCTCCAGCTGCCGAAACCCCCATTTTGGCCGATGGCGCCGATGCAAACAAGACTGCCGACAAGCCTACCGAGGACACTGTTGATGAACAGGAGCCTGCTGACAAGCCCGCCGAGGAAATTACTGATGCACAGGGGTCTGCCGATAACACCAAGAACGACGTTATTGCTGACAACGACGCTCCTCAAGCCAACTAAATCGGCCTGACATTTGCCGTCTCATTCTCGCAGACAACATTTCCTTCGTTTCTGGTTTTCGGCCTTCAGGCTTTGTTGCCATTTCCTTCACAGCTAGGATATTTTCATGGAATAGCCCGGAATCATTCTCATATGGGCTTCAATTTATTGCGGTGGGCAGACGTTGATCTGCAAGGTGATTTCTTTTTCCTCGGGGCATGACTTTGCGACTCCCTTAGCTATGGCGGCTTGTGGATATGACAATGCCGTATTTTCATTGGTACAGGGATATGACTGCGATGATTAGCCTTCGAGATGACAGATAATTTAAGGAAAAATTGAAAATTTCGAAAGAAAAGTTCATCTGCGTAGATTGCCAGGTATGACAACGCAGCTACTACTTAAGACTCAAGTACATGCTGCCTGCACATATCATACATGGGTCAGTTCTCTTGTTTTATTCCTTTCATGTAACAATTGAGATTGGAATACTACCCACAGGTGCCTTTCTTTCCTACTTCTTTGTATTTGAAAGCCTGTGGCAGTCCGTTGGATGTTCAGTGTGTAATATGTGCCACAAAGCCCGAGAATGTTCCATGCAAGATGGATTTTTAAGCTTAGGATCAAGCTCTTTCATTTTGAGAGATGCTTGTCAACTTTATAGTCAGGTGTTTGAAGCTTGGTCACATCATCTTATGCCCGAAACCTGGAGCTTATGCTGTGTAGAATTTCCCAACTTGACTAAAAAACCTAAAGCGTCAGTATCTAGGACTCTTTATTCATTGATCAACGTGCTATACTAGGGGTATCATCTCAATTGTAACTGCTAAATATGGCATGAATACATAAAAGACAGAAATTAGTGACGCGAAGTTTCATTTACCATAAACCACCAGGACTACCTCAAATCACAAAATGGGAACTGAAAATAGTTGGATGAAAGCCTGGAAGCCTGATATGCATTGCAGAACACCAGATGAAAACAAGAGAAGAGTTTGATCAAGATGTAGCGATGAAAAGCAGGGCCCGACAAGGACTCAGAATGAGGCCAATGTCAAGGGCAAAGAAAGAGGGACACCACGGGAAACACTCACCCAGGTTGGGGCATAAGAGAAGCTTGGCTCATGTATCTGTCGCGGTTTCCGCTTTGCATCATATTCACAAGTGGAAGATCCTTCGGGTCATGAGGAGGACCCGGATATCCTCATTCATGATGGGCTGGCGGCGGTTAAACTCAGCGCGGAGGTCGAAAATCTGCTTTTGAACCGCCTCGTCGGCTCGAAGGAATTCTAGAAATTTCTCGTGGCAGTCGTGGTAAAAGAACGCAAAAGTCTGTGCAAAGAACTTGAAAAACCATTGCTGGATGAGATCGGGGCGCTCGTGATCGTAGCCATCCCCGAATGCGACGAATGCAATATTGAGGAGAGGTTGGCACAGAGATATTCCTGCGTAGGAGTTCCAAGCAATTTGAAGCTTGCGAGCAATGGTGGAGACCAATTTTTGCATGTTCTGATCTCTGGTCACGAGGCTTTTGATGTGCTGGTAGATAATCCCAAGGGATACAATCCCCTCCTGGCGGGTCTTTGGATCACGGAAGCCTCGGAGCCGATACTCTTGGTTCAAATTTAAAATATCTCCCAGGACGCGAATGACAGTCTCACCATTAGCAGTCGTCAGCGCAGAGTATTCGGGAAGATCTTGCGGGTCTTCCGTGGGGTCGGGAAGCTCGACATGAGGGCGATAAGTCTCATGGATCACCCATGTGCGAAGGTCTCTAAACTCAGGCTGTTTCTGAAACTCGAGGTGTTGATGGAAAGCCCAAGAGACATCATCATTGATCACTTGTTGCAAAACACGGTCGATCTTGGTGTAGTGATCCTTGGCGGTAGGGCTCGGAGACCCGGGGCTAGGAGAACTGATGGAGGAACTGTCAGTGATTGGCCGAATAATTTAGATCACTGGAAAACGAACCTTTCGCCAGCAACCATTGGGACATTGCAGTCAAGTGTGAGACGCGAAACCACACTTCCTGGATGAAATGACTTGGTGGTAGAAGAGAGAGCAGAGGAGAGAGAACGGGAAGCAGGATCTTGGTTGATTAGGAGCCTTGAGCCTGTCTGACGGCGAGGTTGTAAGACTCGGGGCTGCTGGGCGGTATCGTCTGTCTCGGATTTGATATTTTTCTCTGACTGCGGAACTTCGCTCATTCCACGCCCTCCAATTCCCTGGATGTTGGGCGACCCGCTTGGCTTGTAGCTCTTGCGCGAAGCAGAAAACGATTTTTTGGTTGCCTGTACCTTGGACGGGCTCTCTTCCATATCCCCAAGTTCTGACTTGAGCGAATGGGAGCCCGCTTCGCCGCCGCTTCCTTCTTCTTCTTCTTCTTCTTCAGCGTCATGACCTTCCCCATCCTTGTATGGCATCACGATGTACACCTCCCGGCCACGTTTTCCTTTGGTGCCTACCTCTTGTAATGACATTTCCTTCCAGAACGACATGTCAGGCTTAGTACCCATGATCTCAACAAGGTCGTCCCAAACCTTGCTTTCATCCTGTCGGCCCATTTTTCTCATGACGTTGAATGTCCATTCGTCCAGAATAAACATGTCATTGAATCCAACCCATCGGCTTGTTTGAAATGCATTAGCTTGTCTCATATTGAAAAAAAAGTGGGGGATGCAGAAAAAAGATAGGTTGAGAATGCGGAAAGTCGAACTTACTACATATTTCTTCCGGGCAGGTAAACTGAGTACACCCGATCTTTGGGATGTTTGGTCCAGTCACCTTCTTCTGGCTGTGCAAATGGAGGGCGACGTTTGGAGTGACTCTCTGGACCAAACATATGCGGAAGGATCACCCCAATCCACACGTCTGTTTTGTGGTTCCGTAACGGGTTCTTGTACCTGATGACGAAAGCTTCGCCCGACTTCAATAGACGTGGTCGGAGTATGTGACGCAGGCCTTTGGTCAGATGAGTATTACTTGCCATTTTGGAAGGGCACTGATCTGGATAAGGCAAGTTAGAAGATAGTTGAAGTTGTGCGATTGGTGTATCAATCGAAAATGTAGTCTGAGATTCTCCTGGGAGAACAGTAGGGCTGATTCAGCCCAAGATGACAAAGACAGTGTATGTTTTCAGCGATGGGAACGCCTTCGATGAGCTTGGGAAGATGTGTGCGGAGATGTGTGCGAAGATGTGTGCGAAGAATTTGTAGGAAGAATTCGTGGGAAGAGGCGTGCGAGGAGGCCTGGGAAGATGTGTGCGAAGATGCATGCGAATGAATAGATGGATTTGTTTTAACACCCAAGATGCATGCGAGGATGCATAGAAAGAATTTGTAGGGAGAATTCGCGGGAAGAGGCGTCCCGAGATGCGTCCAGGGATGCGTGGGTGAGTGGATATGTGAAAGGGTAGTGAGCGGTGAACTAAAAGAGAGAAGCAAATGAAGCAAGCGTGAAATCACAGCTCAGGCTCAGGAAAGTCAAACATCACCCTCGAGCATCTTGAGGCACACGGAGGATTCGAAACACTCACCAAACCAAGGATTCTGGTCTCAAATCTGCCAAGCTGGAGACTTTCGAAATTCCAGTCGAAGGAGAAAGGGAACAGGGAAGACATGTAGATGGGAACGGACAAGAGATATCGTGATCTTAGGGGGACAAGTGTTGGGATTACAATGAGATGGCACCGAGCAGCCGGCGAGAAAAGGCACAGAAAAGAGCACCCGAAAACCCGTCCAAAGATGAGAGCCCACTCACGATGACATCAAAGTCTAATGATGGGATTTTTTCTCACATCGAATAGAGATTTGCATACCTGAACATAGTAGTGATGGTCCGGTAAGAGTCAGAGCTTTGGGAGTGATGATGGTTCGCTCTTTGGGTGATCACCGGGGGTGACCAGTGAGATACTGAAATCTTGCTCAAAAGCCAACTTTGCCCGTTTGGATCTTTGCGTTCTGTGTGTGTATCGATTTGCGAAGATCCGGAAGGGTTGTCTAGCAGGAGAGCGAGTGTCTAAATCAGATATCGGCGGATTGTGTCGATTCCAGAAGATCCCTCAGGGCAAAGGCATGGTAAGGATTTCTTCTTCTTCTGTCGAAATCAATTGCCTTATTTCGTCTTTGATCTGCCCGGGGGAGGAGGGGAGAGAGAGGTCACAAGTCTCCTCGCGTCTCACATCAAGTCTTCCATCTTCCATCCCGGCATCTGTAATTGATATTCCTCAATTTTCCTTTGGGGCGACGTTCCATCATTCATATCTTCCATCCTTACCCACCAAGACATCTGCCTTATTGTTGAGATGGGTACCTTGGGGTTCAAACCGACCTGTGAAAATAGACGTTTGCTTGCTCTCTCCCGGTCTCAGCCCCCGCATGAGCAACATAGTTCGTTCTATTGCATCCTGCAATCAGGACACTATATGTCGAATTGGTTGGCAGCTCGAATGCGATAGAATGGCGAGGGAGGGAGTTGGGAGACGGCGTGAGGTTAGAGCACAGATCCATCGGAGTGTGCAGGTCGCTGGCGGGCTAGGCTCTCAACAATGACGCAAAGTGTCTCTGACAAAACAGACCTGATCGAAAGGCTGGATAATTCAGGGTATTTTGAAAAGGATTTTTCAACGATTCGAAACTGTATTTCGGACAATTTCATGGACTTTCTGCGGGAGTTATCTTTGAAACTTCAGAGACTGCCGACAATGAGCATCCGGCAAAGAAGAAGCGTGGCCCCGGTCGCTATAAGAAGGTTCAAGCTGGAAATTAGGGAGTTCCCACTGAGCCGAAGAATGATGCTCGAGCCAAGAACGTCGCCGATTCCGATGCGACTATTGAATCTCAGTCCAAGAAGCGTAGTCGATCGACCACCTTCGGAGTCTTGATGTCGCCCGTAGCTTTCGCGGACGAAATTATGTTGGCAACACCAGTCACTTTTGTTTGAATGGACTTTTGCCGTGGTAATCTTGGCTTTGTTCCGGTCAATTCGTTTGCATCGCTACACATACCATGCCGCCTTCCGGGGTTGGTGGATGAGAAAGCGCCCGCGCCCTAGGGGTCCAACCTTGGACTGACTGGGGTGCCTGAAGGTGCCTGGTTCTGGATCGCCAGACACCGCTCCATACTTGGTATTGTAACCCGTATTTCAAGGTCTCTGATGCCTTCTTTTGGAACCTCTTTCGTCGTCTAAACCACTCCATGTACCAACTGATCGATCAACCAGTGCCTCTCCAAATTGGCCTAGAGGCTTAAGACACTTGATAAAAACACAGGGCTCAACCTGGAAAAATGGGTGTACTGTGATTGCTCCGGCATATGCAACGGTAATTCAAGTGTCTTGGTCTTCTGCCTGCCAAATCAGGCACTCACATACATCCTCAGGCAACTTCAGGCAGCGAGGTGTCATTGGGCCCTTCGTACCCGTACACGCCTGGGCCTAGGGCCCCATCGGCAGCCCAAGCCGTCCCTACCTAGGCACAACTAAGCCCCGAGCCACAGATACTTAGGGAGACTCCGCATCATCGACCAATGTCACTGAGTAACGAATAGCTCGATACACACACACGTTTACTATAGAGAAAGAAGGTCACACTTCAGTCAACGCACACACATAATTAATATTTACATACTACATGGTGTATTACAAAGGCTGAAATCTCAGACTGGCTGATGGATTTGAGGTGGCCAAATTGATTGATTTGTGTTCCTTATGACGGTAAGCATGGTAAGGAGTGTGATGCTAACCCTAAACAGATTCGCCCTTGTCCCTTGGCGCAAGAAATAGGCTATGGCGATTTCAAATGCTGAGAATCAAGCAAAAGTATTGTTTAGGACCTCTCCAATAGCAAAGAGTGTGAGGTGGTTTGACGAAAATCACTGCGCATCAGATATCCGATTAAAATATGTAAGGTCATATGTTTGACCAAAACAAGCGGCCAACCTCGAGTGAAGCGAAAGATAATGTGCTAAATCAAAAACGCAAAGTTTGCAGGGACGATGTCGTGAGGAGAAGAGATTGTCCATGTCCAGTGAATTTCACTATGGCTTAGAAGAACTTCGGCGATCGTGTTGTGCTAGTAGAGACGAGAATCAGCGCTGTGTTGACTCACGGGGTCAAGCGCATTGCTATTAAGTAACGTTCAAGGGGGGTAGCAAGAGCAATGAAAACCGCGAAGAGGGAAACGAAACGTACCGCTCGGAGATGTCATCTATGTGGTTACACATAGCCACGAACAAGTCGAAGAACAATTTGCCCCCTTCCTCCATCTCCATTTCCAGTGTGCCGCTTTGTTTGAAGATTTTCCGGCTTCGGATGATCACGGCCAGATAATGGGCACGCAGTCGAGAGTCAGTCTCGGGAGTATGATCATATGCGTAACGAGCAGATCGCAAGATCACATCGGCCGGAATACCACTCTGCAGACCCTGCTTCCGGAGAGCAAGTCGCTTCAGGTCTTCCAAGCCGTATTTCTCAGCAGCACAGTAAATCACAGTGTCCCGAAGAACAAGGTCTCCAATTTCGGAATGGAAGATTGTTGCTTCACTCGATCCGCGACCACCAGATTGGGTGGTGTCCTGTGCATCCTCGAGAGACCACGAGTTTCGATGCTTTCCATGCAGCAATCGAGGGAAGTATTCGCCCTTGTATAGAAACTCGAGGACGCAAGACAGGACCTCGGGTTCTCTATGTATAACATGAGCTTTTTTCTGTCATTCATTCAAGAGGCACACTACTCTTCAGGCAACGTCAGTTGCTTCTCGCCATTCTCCTGGAATTGCTCCTTGATAGCGGCACTAAAATACGGCGACACAGAAAGTATATCCTCATGTGCGGCAAAAACACTCTGATCCCGGCCCACAATCATGGAAATTATGGGGCTAGTTAGAGGGCTTTTCAACTGGGTCAGCAATCTTAATCGTTATATTGATACTGTCGAATGCCCATGTAAATGGCCCTACCTTGCGATCGAGGGGCTTTCCGCTTTCTGTTTCATTTTGAGCTTTATCAAATCGTCGTACTTCTTCTTAGCAACCCTGACGGTCTTCCCCGCCCGGTCCTTGGATATGAAGGAGCGTTTGAACATAGCAGCAAATAGTGTGGCGCTGGTCAAGGGTCCCTAGAATTGATGTCTAGTGGCGACCATATGAACCCGCAACCACTGGAAGGAATGATACTAGTTGGTCAAAGGAGAGACTGATTGACGCTGCTGACCATGCATACGAAGCATGTGAGTCTGGGAAGCTTTCCACATAAACCGAAGATCCAGAGTCTTATTCAAAAGACGAGGAGTTCACGGTTTCGGGATGGCTTTGCACTCGAGAATCTTTAACAATTCTGAGTGCGAGAATTTGTCAACTCTAGCAGGCGTGGAAAAAAAGAAGAAAAATGTAAGCGGAGGATGCGGGGGTTTTAAATGCGTAGGTCAGGTGATGGCGATATCAAACGTGACCGTGTGAAAGGTGTCTGACTTCCCTCAATGTACATAGGAGGTCATCTGCCAGCGAAGAACTACATTAGCCAACTTACCAGTCGTTGATTCCCAAAGATGTGTACGCATGAACTTTAGAACATTAGCAGTCCCATCATGTTATAAAATCTGAAGATCGCCCCCAAGTGAGTGAGACCTGCGCACCACACGTGTAAACTCAAGATTCACTTCACGCTGGATTCATGCATATTCTCTCAAAATACTACAATGAAGAGTTAATGCGATCTGAATGACATAGATTTGCTACCAAAATGTCCAGTGTCGTGTTTACCATGTTGGATGGCCGACTACCCACAACTCCAAATGTCTACCTCACCTCTTCACAGTTGAGGTAACACAATGTAGGCAACGACATACTAGCCTATCCATATACAGATGATGACTTATCTGCAACCAGCGAGAGCCATAGTAATGCCAAAGCTCTGGAAATGTCCGACGGTAACACCGTACATGAGATTGCCCGCCGAGCAAAGAAGGTCTCGCTGACCTGAACATTTGAAAGTGTTCAGTGACAATCCAGAGCTGTAGTATTCCTGTCATAGAGTTAGAAAATCTTTGAATACAAGCTTGATGGTATGACCCACGGTTCCGTAGTGCTGGAAGTTGAATAGTCCGCTCACGTACATGTTCTATAAGCTGATTAGTGGAGTCAAGGGATTTTTGTTTGTAGTCAGGGCTCACTGGAACACCGTCCAAAGCATTGTTTCCACGCTTCAATGTGCCACTTTGGGAGCTCGCGAAAGTGGCCCAAGCAGAATTCCCGATGGGGAAAGCAGCGAGGGCAGTGCTAGTCAGTGCTTTGCCCGGGAAGTTCTGAGCCAGAGCAACGTGTGAAATGTATGTGAGGGCACCACCGAGGGAATGGCCAGTCGCTTCCAGTGTGTAAGTGGGGTATTTGGCGATGAGTGCCTTGACCTCTGCAATAACGGTATCATGTACAGCGGACCACGGTCGGTTAATCCCTCGCATAATCCTGACTCCAGAAGGGAAGTTGACCCCCGAGAGAGAGGGCGTGACAAGAGTAGTGTCAATGTCGTTCAGAATGTCGGTAACTAGATCACTCAGTACTCTCAATCGATATCCCACCGATCATGGAAGCTTACTGGTGGTGGACCCTTTCATTACAACAGCAATTGTCTTCTTGCTATCGGAATAGCCAATGTATCCCTGGAAGGTCAGCGTTCTGCCCAGAGCCAAGATAAACACACCAAACCTACATTGGTGTCTGTCAAAACATCATATATGGTTTTCGTGATAGTGACATCGAATGCTGTTCCACTACAGCCGCTGTAGGCAGCAGATGAGAGTTGAGCCGAACGACGAAGATCAGCAAAAGCGGATACGTCTTGGATGGCAGTCAACACAGCTTATCCTGTACTCCCGCAAATAGACATACATACCCAGTGTAGCTCGTGGTTCCAGGATAGGAGCAGCGAATGTTTGGGCAATCATGGAGACTCCCACCAGCAGGCCCTGGGTGTTAAACTTCATCTTGCGTGTATATATAGAGCAAATGCTCAAGGTCGAAGAGTCAATTTGAAGTTTATTCTGGAGCCGGAGAGATGTCTGCAAGTTTTCGTGATGAAAAGAGGGAGTTTAGAGCTGGTCTCTCCGCTCTTTATATACTGAAGTACCATGAGCATTGGGATCCCTCCAATATCACCATACGAGCTCAACATATGCCGAGAAAAATTTGAAGTTCCGTGTCAGATCGAATGCATCGGAGCATATTCTCAATAGGAAATCCAATATGTGGCCAAGTCATTTCGATGCATGTTGCATCCACTCATACCCGATTTGGAGGACCGCCGTCCTGATGTTCTTGGGCTCTTCAAGTCATGCGGCGATGATAGCGCTCGGGTACTACTTAGGCATTGTTCGAGCTCATATGAAGTACTTAAGTAGACGCACCGGCAACATCAACTTGAAAATCATTTACTCATATATATAGAATACTGTCTTGCACACAAAATGTTTTGTGACCTTGCTTCTTTTGGGATACCACGATGGAACATTGTCCATGGAGTACGAGTTGCTGTATGAAAACGACAGCATCAATTCCAAGAACACTCAGATGACTAGTGTACGCCATGGTTCGAAATTGCAGAAAGTGGCTAGGTTATTGCGGGGAAATCGGGCGTTATTGGCATCGTTTCAATGCACCCCAAGTCTTCATTTGCTCCTACAGCCTCGGTCTGATTGCAACAAGAGGTCAGCAAAGCTTGAGTGATAGAAGACCAGGCGACTCAATTGGAATAAACCCACAAATGAATTTGCACAGTAACCAATAAGCACCTAGCGGGGCATACCAGGGGTTGGATACTCCATGCTTTCAGTGGTCAGAAGAAAAGACATTCAAGTAGATCTGCAGTCCGAGTATCTCCGACCGTGCATTCCCCGAACGCGAGTGAACGTTCTTGTAACGGGGAAAATTCCCGCGAGCTCTGTGCCCATCATTTCAAATATCATTCTGGCGAATTGATTGAAGCCTTCGGTAGTTATAGATTCGGTAGTTGTAGACCGAGGTGCTTGGCTTTGCGGGGTTGTCCCGAGCGAAATGAACATGTTAAACGTAGATATATTAAATCATGCACGCAGCGATATTAATCACCTTGTTTAATTTGTGCCTGAAAGTACGCATTCGCAATAATTCTGGAACTACAGGTCCTGGGCGTCTTTCGCTGTTGATTTGGTACTTTCTTGTAAGTGCCCTCGTGTATCTGTCAGTAACAATAGCTTTGGATATGGAAGTGTGATTGGTCTATGGATGTCTCGAAGCTTGAAGAAGTTAAGACCTGAAGACATCAATTAATTCTAACTCTCCTTCAAAGTAATATGACCGCATAATGGATGCATGCGTATGGCATATAGAACCTCCAGCTTACATACTCGGCAGCGTTCTGCAGATTTATGAATTCTGTTTCAACTAAGACCTTGAGTCTCAGCAGAAGTATATCAATCAGCCTCTAAATATAGGTAGTATCTACACTTTTGCACTGGAATCTCGAAACAAAAACATCCTTACTTCCAACTTTAGAATCTATTTTACTTGGTGATTTCGTTGGTGGCAGTTTCACATGGGCTATTCGCCGAGCCAGGGGCGCTTTCTCTTATAAAAGCAAACTCCTAGCAGTAAGTTTGACTCGAGATATCCCGCGAGCAACATTATCAATATTTATCCATTCTCACTTGGGCAGGGAGTTGATGCTGCCTCACGTTGCTATGATTCGTGGAAGGCAGATTAGTGGAGCCACGGACTAACAGCGGCAACTCTCGCACTTCCATTGGTTGAGAATGATCAACACAGCCCTGGGAGACCCCACATCTGTCCATGTGGGCAGTCTCGAAGCCCTCGCGCATGCATGCCAAACCCCCAGCGTCTATCCACGGATGAACGTAGGTCCGCAGTCCACGGTTCAAACCACGACCCTATGTACTCACCTTCCCTTCTGAATATCAGTTTACAATGTTGCCGCCCTCATTCGACTGCCGCTATCCTACGATCTTCCATGGCGCTGCATATCTATCTCATTTCATGTTAGCTATGAAATCAGAAATATCAGAAATCTACAACTAGAAAGTCAGGATTATTTTCAAGGTCTCATCTGAGCATCCCAGTCAATAAATGATTACTCCACCAGCAGTCATATGTCCCAACAAAGGATGAAACACAGAATCCATGGCCATCAGACTTAGTTGGTGGAATGTTGTATAATAACACTGGCAATATAGTTGCGAACTATTCTGCCAGGGCTGAAATTGTTTCTTTTGCTCAGCAGTTGGCTGCATTCTCTAAAACATCAAGTCTTCGCTGTCTCGGGCTTGGGATGCCTTCTAAGGCTTGATTTTCCACTTAGGCATCTGTCGGTCTTTTTCGTCATGACAGCCCGTCAGATAGCGGCGTCCTTTTTCAAGTATGCGTCGATTCCTGTGGCCATTTTGATTGGTCTATATGCGATTACCCTTGGGTTACTTACGACGGCGACCTTTCAATCACATGTTGTTTATCTTCATGCGATTCAAATGACATGGTTTAGAGACCTCAATGTGCCTGAAAGGTTTGGATTTCTTAAAAACCAGGTTACTTCCTTCTCCATCAGGACGCCAGACGGCGAGCGATTACATACTTGGCATATACTTCCCGTGGAATTATACCGCAAACATGAGGCTTCTCTTCTTGACGAAACTGTGGGTCTAATCTCTGATGTGAAGTCAAGACTGGGGTTCCAGCTGTTACGGGATGACCCCGACGCTCGGTTGGTGCTCCATATGCACGGTGCGGGAGGAACCATTGCCTCTGGGTACAGAGTCCCGAATTATCGAGCGCTCTCTGCAGGGCACCCTGGAAAGATCCACGTGCTCGCATTTGATTATCGGGGATTTGGAAATAGTACCGGGTCACCATCGGAGACCGGACTCATTATCGACGCGCTTGCAGTGGTGAATTGGGCAATGAATGTCGCCGGCATCCCTCCGGCCCGGATTGCTATATTTAGCCAATCCATGGGAACAGCTGTCACCGTTGCAATATCTAAGCATCTTGCCACTCAGACCCCACCGATAGTTCTTGCGGGGACCGTTCTCGTTGCCCCTTTCGTGGACATTGCCACGCTTGTCTCAACGTATCGAGTGGCAGGGACCATACCAATCCTATCGCCGATTGCAAGGTTTCCACCCCTGTTCAGGAGTCTTCAGCGATTTATTAAAGATAAATGGATGAGCAAAGATTCCATTGCGGAATATGTTCGGGCCAACGAATTGAATGGAGAAACATACCGACTGACAATAATCCATGCGGAGGATGACTACGACATCCCATGGCATCATTCACAATTGCTCTTTTGGCATGCTGTCAATGCTTCAATGCCAGCTGGTATTAGCTATGATGAGCTTGAGCAAAAGAAACTTGACTCGAAGAAAGATCTCGGTGCTGCTGGGTCAGTGATGGAGTGGAACACGCAGAACGGGAAAATACGTGAGGAAATTCTGAAGACCGGACTGCACGATGTTGTAATGGGGTACCCGGTAATCTCTATGGCTGTGATGCGGTTCTTTGAGGCGGCAGACCCATCGTTCACCATTTGAAGCGATCAGCATCATATTAAAATTACCGTCAAGGATTGAATATAACCACAATCTTCAAGCCCAGTTTTTTTTTTTTTTTTTCCTCATCGCCGTCTTGGTAGAGGTATCTGTATTCATTGACTTCGATTATTTATCAAGTTGCGAGTAAAAGGAATTTCTGAAAGTTGATTGCGATCTGGGGCATTTGTTGATATTGTGGCGGTGCGTTGATGCAGTGGCGCAGCAGCTGTGGGGGGACCACATGTCAGCCACTGGTGATGTCATCACGAGGAACAGCGCATGTGAACCAACACAGCACTCTTAACGGCACTACGAACTATACGAGGGCTAGAATCTCTATCTGGTGATTGGATCTTTCATCTGACACATCGGCAGTCGAAGAAATCGACATATCACGAAAATACATAGCGCGCGCGTCCCCTTGCCGGCTGCACGCGCCCGCCTGGTTTCAACCTGCTGTTTTTGTTTTCCACCCAAAATCCATCGGCTGAACCAAGCATTCGATATCTCACTACACAGTCTTTGTCTTGTCCAAACTTGGTCAAAATGGCTATGCAGTACCTCAACCAGATCAAAAACCTCCGGCGTTCGTCCCAGATGATCAGCGCACCGAAGCCTGTATTGACCCCCGAGGAGGAAGCATACTTTCGCCAAGTCACATCCCAACCCGACTCTGTAAAAGACTCAGCGGACGCCCCCCGCGAGATCCAAGTCGAGATCCCTTCGGAAGAGCCTCAACAACCTGCACCAAGTACACAAGCCGAAGACATACCCTTGCCCACGTCGCCGGTAGAGGAATTTGGGAAAGAACTTGGCGAGGAAGGCAGACAAGAGCAAAGGGAGTCTCAGCCAACTTTGACGAGATCTGAGACGCCAAAATCAGAGGTCTCGAAAGCTCCTCCGAAGAAGAAGAGATGGAGTACTATGTTTTGGAAGAAGAACACGGACAAGAAGGTAAGCTAATGGCCCACTCACAGCTGTCGCATCATACCTATGCTTTCCTGTGAACTACGCTCACCCTATGAATCGTCTCAATAGAACACCGATACTAGCGATGCGGATAAGTCGCAAATCGAAACCTCAACTCCTCCGAATGCATCGGACGCCTCCACAAACGGGAAAGAGGCGGACAAAGATAAAGATGCTGAAGACATGACCGATATCCTTGAGAGACTGAATTTGGCCGCAGATAACAATCGGGTCTTCTCAGTCAGCGATGAAACGCAGGAGCTTTTGCGCAAGTTCAAATTAATTTTCAAGGACCTTATCAATGGTGTCCCAACCGCCTACCATGACTTGGAAATGCTTCTCACCAACGGCAATCGTCAACTGCAAGAAACCTATACCAAGCTGCCTGGTCCCATGCAAAAGTTGATCGAGAAGCTTCCTGAACGCTGGACAGAGACCTTGGCACCGGAGATGCTCGCCGTTGCAGCCGACCGCGCCGGCAAGAGTGGCGTCAATATGGAGAATGTTGGCAAGGCCGCTGCTGCCGCTGAAAAGATGGGCATCAATGTTCCAAGCCTGAAAGAGTTGGTGTCAAAGCCAGCTGCTTTGGTAGGAATGCTCCGCTCCATTATGGCGTTCCTCAGGGCTCGGTTCCCTGCCGTGTTGGGAATGAATGTTCTCTGGTCATTGGCGCTGTTCAGTAAGTGCATTTTCTTTTGTCGCTAGTCCGTCTTTGCTAACTTTGGCCTTCTTAAGTTCTTTTGTTTGTCTTGTGGTACTGTCACAAACGTGGGCGCGAAGTTCGCCTTGAGAATGAGCGTCTAGTAACGGAAGAAGAGATCAGCAAGCTCAACCAAGATACCTCGGAGGGATTAATACGTCCAACCGAAACATTGACGACAACAGCACCCCAGGGTGCCACTCCAGAGGAGATACGTGAAGGTGTCAGAAAGGTGGAAGAAGCGCGCTCCGGTGCCCCAGAAAGTGTCTCACCGGTAGAGGCTCAAGGTGATAGTCAGGAACCATCTCGACCACCTTCCATGCCCGCCCGGTCGAAATCCCGTCTTTCTATCTTTGGCCGGGCTAAAACAGAGCCGGTGACAAATACTGTCGCGCCCTATCCTGGCACTTAATATTTTTGCTCGATTTGCTCGATTTGCTATACCCGATGTTGATTTAATATTGTACCATGGTTGGTGGGCGTGCAAGCCAAGGAACCCTGGCATTGAGTGGGCGGCCCAGAATCGCAGAATGTTAATTAGAACCTATTCATTTCATCTTCACTCTACCTTCACCGATGGATCTACTAAATCCTGAAGTCGTTTTGAATCTTTCTAAAGTTTGAGATCGCACATATGATCCGAAATATTGCTTCTTCCAGCTAGAGGCTCTGTACTGCCCTGGGAGCCTCCGGGCCTCTTCCAACCTTAGAAGGTTCATGGAGTAATCCCGACCTCGACCCATGAAATACCTTGGTAATTTATCGAGGTCAAGCTTGAGGTCATCTCTCTAATTAAATGCATCCACAGGTGTCATGTTTTTCTCCGTTATGTAGTTCTAAGGTTGGAGCAGGTTTCGGGATGACCCGTGAACATTTGAGGCACATTTGCAGAAATATACCTTGCGGGTCTATTAACCTTCATTCTACTTAGCCTGGGAAGGTTTTTCAATGAGACTACGTACGAGTAAGTAGCAGTAACTTTGAGCCCTGGACTCCAGCAGGACATCATTCCCATTTTAAAGTTCCACTCCACTCGAGCAGCCTTGAAGGGCTCTTGTCGACCCCAGGACAGGAGAGCTGACTGCTAAAAATGTACTTTACACCTGGGCAATATTCATGAACCTTGGAACACTATACACCCTGACTTAAGGAGTATTCTCGGGGACCAATAGAAGCTTTCAATCTGTAGACCTTGGGAATATTATGTGAAAAAGCCACTGGACAACTTGAAGGCTGACTTTGTGTTCTCTTTTGGGCCGACTCCGGGAGCAGGTTGAGGCAAGTCAAGCCACCTGTAGACTTGGGCATGGTGATAGTTTGCTTCTGAAGTTGGTTGCTGTGAAGCTCCTTGAAACCCCGTAATGCGTCTACTTAAGTATGGACAATCGCTCATTTTTAATCCAACCTGCTTGCTTGTTCGGCTGAGAGACTTGAGTGTATTGGTCACAATGGAATGGTGCGACACCCGACACCAACAGCAATTCATCTGAGTTGTGCCACATTGCCCGCACCAACCGAGGTTGAGCGGCTTACGACCTCCGAGTACAGATTATATGTACAAGGTGGGAATAGATCCAGTGACGAAGTGGGGGAAAATTTTAGGCTAGAAGTCTGTGGAAGTGGCCAGGTGGAGGATTTGCAGACGGTAAATGATCCGCAGCTGAAAACACTATAGCGTAAAGTAAAGCGCCGCTCCGAGGATGATTGGTGGTTGTAGAAAATTTGCATCGTGGGGCTCAACATCAGGTGGCAGGGGCAAGAATGACTGAAAAAAAGAAACGGAAAGATCTTCCGTTTGCCCCAGGACCCGCAATATCTGATTTCCCATTGCTTTCCTCAGGAGTATTCGAGAGTTCTACTCGTATGATTAAATTTACGATCAAAAAGATAAGAGAGATTGATAGATCTCATGCAGGTTAACCGCGCCTATGCACTGTTTTGTCTGGCCCCTTACCGCCACTTGTGATCATCTCTAGAGTGCCCAACTAGAATTTGGGGCAAGCAGACCTGCAGGTTCCCGCTTGGGGACACGGCAAATGCTGCCAAGCCGGCCGGAATGGAGCCCATAGTACTCGTATTGCCACTGCGAAAGGAAAAAAAAAGCAAAAGAAAAATACAAGCAAAGGTGGCCGGATCTATAGCTCGGGCCAATAACGTGGTAAGGAAGGGATTATTGCAAACACGAGGGAACAATATGATTCATTCTCGGATGTGTCATAGATAAAGATGACAATCCCGATCAGAGGGTGAATCATCGGCATCATCATGCATATTCGCACGGGTCAATTGATGCACCGAGTCTACAACGTAATGTACGAAGTGCATTGTAGACGTTCAATTCCAAGAACTCACTTACATTGCCACAAGATTGAAACTGATCTTGAAAATGGCAACATCTGAAACGCAGATTTTGCCAGAGACTCTGCGCCGAGGTTCTGTAATGACGTTTTAGGTTTTTTTCCTCAGATTCTCCGATGCTCACTGTCAAGCCACCCGTGCGGCTTGGAAATTTGTAGGTTTGACGAGAGAGTAGAATGTGCATGAGTAGACCGAAGAACCCCTTACACTTGTAGTCCAACCTCTGATCTCTGGTCTGATCTATTTATGAATGTCATCAAAACGGGGCATTTCCGTTGCAACTTTTGGCGATCGCTGATTGGTTCGAAGGAGCGGTGAGTGGTGCCAGCAAATGGGCTGTCGTCCTCCGTGGCCAATCACGACCGCCCCCCGCTTCATAGGGAAAAAAGTCGTCCCCTTCGCTCTTCTTTCCCCATTCCCATATCACTTCTGCTCCAGCGATTCAAAGAACCCTTACCAATCCCCCCTCCGGTTTATCCTCGAATACCTTTCCAATATATCGTCAAGAGATCAGCCAAATGGCCTTCGTCGAGCTGTAAATGCCTCGCTGGGGAGCCTAGATACCAGGCTCCCCAGTCCTGCAGCTCCGATCCTCAATTTGACTTGACGATATCTGTTTCTCTTTCGACGCCTCTAGCAGAGCGTTGGAATTGCCCCATAGCAAATCCCTAAAAGGAGCACTACAGCGTCCGCAACGGACTGCAGGTGCTTTCGTGAAAAAAAAAACCCTTGACACTCCCCTCAACTCCGCCTCTCTTCCGAATACCTCCACTCAGTCCCACTCCCCCCTCTCGACTCTTCCCCTTTCAGAATTCCTAAATTGGAACCGATTACGAATATCCTCTACCCCCCTCGGAAGGCCCACCTACCTTTCTTCCTGCTTGGATCCTCCTGGAACAGACCAGTCTACCTGCACTCAAGGCAAGGACGAAAAGACCTTGAGCAACATAACATACTTTTACTTGATCAATTCTCAACACCTCCTTCGATATGCCCCAAAGCTCTTATGCCTCCAAGCGGGCTCCGAAGGGTCTGGCAAAAAATGCGCACCCTCGCCCATCCACCCCGGAGACAAATATCATGCGAAACCTCGACATGTCTCCCAAGGGTAAACACCCCCGAAAGTCCGATAATGCTCGACCGGATCGCAAGCGGAGGGTATCCACCTCGTCCGTCTCGAGTGTATCCTCAGTCTCGTCCCTAGAAGAACTGAGCGACGCAGATGATTCAGAAGAAGATGCAGACGACGAGCAAGAACCAGCCGTCCGGGCCCCGTCTTATGGTCGTCGTAAAGACAGCAAGGCGGGGCGCCAACAAACAAGAACCAAGAGACGTCGTGTCGTGCCTGATGACAGCAGTGATGGCAGTGACTCCGAGAGCTCAGATGATTATGCCGGTGTGGACTACATCACCGACGCCGAAGACGAAGAACAGGAAATGGAGAAAATGGAGGAGATGATGATCATGGAGTCAGAAAAGAACCCCAGACCTCTCCCCAGCTCCGAATTCAATGATGACATGTGGACGACGAATGCTTTTGACGACAACATGTTCCTCCCAGCTGCCTCGTTCTTTGACGAAGAGCACCTTTACAGCGCCATGGACACTTTCGGCGAGCCTGAAGTACAGAGTGAAGCGGTGGAAACACCTGCCACTCGGCGAGTGCATTTCGAAGATCGATCTGACTCGTCTTCTGATAGTGATTCACACACTGATGATGACATTCCTGGAGACTTTTTGCAGCAGGACAGTCTGGATCCCCAGCTCCGTCGCATGATCGAAAACGACAACGAGAACTATCAAAGAAACAACCGCCGTCAGTCAGAGGAGATGTTTGGCGATGTCGACTATGGCCACGGGAACATCTACCACGTCGAATCCGAGGGATCTTCTGAAGGAAGCTTGAGTGGCTATGAAAGTATGATGCATTCTTGTAATTCATTTCGATTTCTCATTATGCTAACTGATCTAAAAAGGCGACGATGGCGACACTACAGACGAGGATCTACCCCCGCCTGCCACAATCACTCACCCTCGATCCCTTCTCCGTCGCGATTCGTCCGACTCCTTGGCCCCTACAGGGGATGACAAGAGTGAAACTATCCCTCGTCGCCGGGGACCTATCATGGGAACCTTCACAACGGACCCCCACAAGCCTGTGGCTTTGGTCGACTGTACCGGCAAGCACCTCGTCATCATTCCCGCGTATGCTTCTTCCCGCCACGATTGGCTGGACTCTGCTGCCAACAGCATGCCTGGAACCGCCAACACCAGCCCTCGCCAAACAACCCTGCACCTGGTTGATGAGAGTGATACCGACGCACTTGCATCCCCGAATCAAACTGACTTCAGCCCTATGCTGGCCTCAAGTGCGAATCTCATGATGACTGCCCTGGGTAATGACCTCACTCCAGGAGGCCAGGTCATGGGTCCACCGGAGGCATTTTATCCCTCCCAAGACTTCACCATCGATAGCTCGTTTGAGGAAGACGACGATGAAGACCCTGAGTCTGCTCTGAACGTTGACGACTTCATTGACTTTGGGAATGGCTCCTCTGATGAAGACGAGGACTCGAATTCGAACCATCACTTCCAGGAATCCGCCCAGGCTTCTCCAACAGCTGCTCCTTTCGCCAAATCTATGGGCACACCTACGCCGACTCGCAAGTCAGAGTCCCAACCCGCCAACAATGAAGAGCGGTTCCTCAATCATCTTGACAAGGGCATCGTCACCGCCTTCCGTCGTAACCACAACCGTTACCAAGCTCTTCTCCGCCTTCCCCAACACCGCGAGTTCATGCCCGCAAACTCCCCGGCGCGGCCTGCAAGTGTCTTCCGACACGCCAAGACCAATGACCAGCGCACTCCCACTCGCAAGCGCAAGTCCAACACCATTGCTGGTGGTGAAGCTGTGCGGCGTAAGCTGATGGATGCCCAGCAACGCCGATCTCACCTCCCACTTTAAAGCCACCATTCTCACGATTATACGAGTTCTGGATTGCAAGCCAGATAACATGATAAACACGGCCGCTATTTATTCTATCTCTATTCTATCACTGGCAGACTCGCCTGTCAAAATTGAGTCTGCCAAGACATTTGTGACATTGAACACCCATCACCAGGGGCCATGATTCGGACGCAAAAGTCTTTGCTTCGCCTCTGATCTGATTACATCGCATAGTGCTATCATTTCGCCATTGATGATTCTACTCTGCAGGTATGACCTCAAGTGGCACAGTTCTGCATTGTTCCATCAGCCTTCGAAAGATCGATCTTGGTTCTGAGAACCCCAAAAGCGATCCAATTTTGTTGTTGCATTTGAATTATCTTTTCCACCATTCTTCCGCTCCCTCAATTCTTCCCTATTGTGTCATATTGACTGGCTATTTTGTCCCCTGCTTGCCCCAGGGGTCGGTGATACCTTGGATCTATGGAGTTAAAAATTTGTTTCGCGTTTTAACGAGTGACGGCTGTTTCGAGTTGCTTTTTTTTACCTTATCCTCTCAATTCCAAAAACATTCGAAATCTCTATTCAATATCCATGGATTCTCTGTAATTTCGCGCTAGTCATGCTAATATATTGCCGAAGACAACGTACTTCCGCATTAGGTATCCCCACTCATGCCCAGATGGGTTGACACCTGCTCCATCCATATATTAATACGTGCTAAAAATGCCCAATGTTCATGGGTTTATCACTCTCGCACCCTATTGAAATTGGTAAGATAATAGTACACTAGCTGTTGCCCCGACACCAAACCCTGGAACGCCTTCCACCGTGCTAGGTAAAATCCGACACTCTTAGCTTCTCGGAGTACAGCTCCCGTTTTCGATACAAAGATCCACCCTGTCAATTGATAGCCGAAGCCTTGGAGTTTCAAGTAGATGGATGCATAGACCACCGCTCATAACGTCTTAATTATAAGTGGCTTGTTGTTGGTCAGTGCTGTTGATTCTTGTGGTCGAGGCTGAAGTACGAGTACGAGTAGGAGTCATGTCTGCCTCAATTGAGACGTAACGTTGACAACTTGAGAAGCCTCAAGGGCCGTTTATGAACCTATCACAAATCAACTACTTAGTACAAATGAGCCTTGGAGGCAGATCTGGATTTTGGTTCATCCCACGGAGCACTCCGTAATCCGTGCTCCGTACGGAGTATATTGTTCGCAGCCAGGTATCCCCCAGGATGCTTTTCATAAAGATCTTACAAAGTTGTCAAGTCCGCTAAGTGACTTAGAACTTGAAGATACTCAAGTGCATGTAAAGCTAGATTTATATAGCAAGATTGCTCAATGGAATTGGATAGACACTACGAAGTAGCCTGGAGATTGGTCATTGCTAGTAAATTGTGCCTTGACAGGACAACGATTCCCAAGGTTCTCAATAAGCATCGTGGCACGGACTGCATGTGGGACAGTACCCATCAGGCAATTGGAGGTATCATTCCCTGATTTACACACCCAATGGATGGAGCGAGGGAATTCGACCTGGCTATATTCCGTCTCAATTACTCCGTAGAATAACTCCAATGGCCAGAAGGTAGAGGTCTAAAAGGGTTGTCACGTAGCATTTGGGGTGCATGGATTTCATTCGTCGGTATTTTTAGTGGGCGTTTCACGGCGGTAGATTGGACTCTGGTCAACAAAGGGCTCACCATCAGAGGTTTTGCGGTTGAGTGAACACGATATGGGCAGTGTTGAAACTGTATGACCACGAAGACCATAAACACGAAGGCTTCGAAAATTGCGATACTAGGATCTAGCATCGAATATGTCGAGAGTCGAGGTATCAAATCGCCAAGTGACAAGTGAGGTTTCAGCCTCTCTGCAGGGCTGTTTGGGGCAGTCTTGGCACCAAAAGCGACTTGAAGCCCCTGAGCATTTGTAAAGGTATGGGGTACGGCATGGGCTTAACCAAAACTGATTGCACTGCTACACAGCAGGAGTTTCCTGCAGGGTCTAATTTGTTTTTCATTTCTTTTTCTAGATATTGACGCTTTGGGTGGAGAATCATACTCGGTGTGAACGAGGCTACATAGAGCAGATCAAAGAAAAAAAAGAAACAAAAAAAGAAAAACAATCCAACCCTACAGAAAGTGGAGAACGAACACCCAATCTCCGACGCGAACGTCTCAGGGCGAGACGCCGGCGCCAGCAGCTTCGTTCTGACCGGTCGCATTTTTGTGGGTCGGACACTGACCGGATTGCACTCCGTTCTCTCTCTCTCTCTTTCATCACTGATCTACACGTGGATCTCAGTTCTCAGCATGCAACATATGTCGATCGAGCGCTTGCACGCTGCCTATTTATACCATCACGTTAACTTCTGATTGGCTGAAGATCGACTAATCGCATAGGCCGAGAGTCTGCAGACCAAACAAAAGAGAAGAAGATGGACGGGTTTAGACTCCCCGCAGGCGCCGTAGTCAACGGCCCCTCCATGCAGACCCTGAGTGGTCCTCTGGATGCCTCTTCAGCCTGTTCCTGCACTAGCCGGCGCCCAGCTTGGAATGGGTCCTAGCTCGCCTCCTCTGGAGGGTCACCACCGTTTCATCTGCGCCTCCATATTCATGCCGATTGGAGGAATCTCCGTTCCCTCTGACGATGGCATGTCTTACTCGCTCCCCTGGAGCTAATATACTTTGGCCTAGAGCGAGGCTTCCCTGCTGCAGACCCTTTGTCTGCAGGAGTTCATGGTCCAGAAGGTTGGACAATTGTTTAAAGAGCGCTACGTCTCCCCCGGACCCTGCACCACCATTCTTTCTCGCCATTGTGCTGCTTTCTTTTTTTTTCTTCTTTGGGCTTCTTGGCCTGATTGGTTCGTCTCCAACCAAAGACGCTCGTTCAGGGATCTGGAATTCCCTCGTCCCACCTCCTTCGTTTGATCCTGGCTTATTTTCTTTGAGGCTTTTCACTGTTGATCACTGATAATCCTAATCCCAATTCCATTTGCCTGCAACGACTATATCCAAAAATTGCGGCTTCCTATATCACTTCTTTTTCCATATCGTGACTGACTCGACTGGGACCCTCTATCCTGAAGTCCCACTTCAAAACTTCTTTTGTCTCTTCATCTATTCTCTTATATTCTGCTCAATCTTTGTCTGGTACAGTCTCATCATTCATTGTTGCTCTTCAAGATGAAGGTCACTTCTGCTGTTACCTTCTTCTCTCTCCTGGCTTCGAGCCAGGCAACATACTGGGGTTCTGAGAAGTGTTACTCCAACCCGGGAAGATCCCCCAATAAGTGCAACGAGCATCAGCAAAAGGGCTTCAGCTGGTCTGATCTAGCTGCCGGTTCGTTCTCTGACTATGGTGGCTTTTCCTTCTCCGGTTTCACTTGCGGCAATGGCTTTGGATCTAGCCTTGGCAAGCGCGGCGTAAGTTGTGCCTATCCCTTCTCATCCATGCATACACATGCTAACTGGTTTAAAGACCCAGAAATGTATCTCTGGTACTGTCTCGAAAGGAGGATCTTCGAGCTCAAACTCTGGATATGAATCTGGATCTATCTCGGGATCTAGCTCTGCCTTTGGAGCTGGGTCTGTCTCTGGCTCTTCCAGCTCCGGTTCCGGTTCCTCCGCCCCATCCTTCTCATGCGGCTCCGAGGAGAGTGGTTTCTCTGTGACAGACTTCCACGTTGCCACCGAAAAAGACACAGAGCTACACATCATTTACAGCATGCCCGATGGATCGACCTGTAAGAACACCGCATCTTGCAACTCTGGTGGTACCGTCGTGAGCAACGACCAGTGTGGTGGTGCCACATCTGTTCACTTCGAGCTTCCCGAGGACAGTGAGCACGAGAGCTGTGGCTTTGGAATTTACAGTGTTGGATTTGACTGCACACCAGGTTCCACCAGCACTGTGCCTGTTGCCGCCACCACTGTTCCCGCTGCTTCGGTCCACTATTCATCTGTGGCTACTCCCTCAAGCCCTCTTATTGTACCATCCATTTCTGTCCCTGGATCTTCGGTTCTGCCTGGATCTTCGGTTCTGCCTGTCACCACCCCAGCTGGGACCACTCCTGCCGCGAGCACCCCTGTGCAGATGACTACCTCAACTGTGTACACTACAAGCGAGATCACTATCACCAGCTGTGCTGCTAGTGTAACCGATTGCCCGGCCGACTCCACTGTCGTTACCACCTCGACTATCGCCATTTCCACAACTGTGTGCCCTGTTACGGAGATCACTCCAGTCGGTGCAAGCTCTCCGCCTGCCCCCACCGGAGCCAGTCCTAGCAGCGTCCTTCCCGTTGGCTCATCCGTCGTATCCTCCTCCCCTAACGGCACCCCAGCTATCAGCATTCCTGCTGCCAGCACCCCTGTTCAAATGACAACCTCAACTGTGTATGCCACAAGCGAGATCACAATTACCAGCTGCGCTGCTAGTGTCACCGATTGCCCAGCTGATTCTACTATTGTGACCACCTCGACTATCCCTATATCTACTACTGTGTGCCCTGTTACTGAGATCACACCCGTTGGTGCGAGCTCTCCGCCTGCACCCACTGGCGCTAGCTTCAGCAGCGTCCTTCCCGTTGGTTCATCCGTCGTGTCTTCTTCCCCTAGCGGCACCCCAGTTATTAGCATTCCTGCTACCAGCACCCCTGTCCAGATGACTACCTCCACTGTCTATGCTACTAGCGAAATTACCATCACCAGCTGCGCTCCTGAGGTGACCAACTGTCCAGCCGACTCCACCATCGTTACTACTTCGACTATTCCAATTTCTACTACTGTGTGCCCTGTTACTGAGATCACTCCCATTGGCGCAAGCTCCCCGCCTGCATCCACTGGAGTTAGTCCTAGCAGCGTTCTACCAGTTGGTTCGTCCTCCGGCTGGGGTTCTTCATCTGTTTGGTCGTCCTCTGCCGGCGAGACCACTGTTGGAACACCTACAACTTCTATTCCCGCAATCACTAGCCCCGTGCAGATGACCACATCGACTGTGTATGCCACCAGCGAGATCACCATCACCAGCTGTGCTCCTGAGGTGACCAACTGTCCGGCTGACTCCACAATCGTCACTACTTCAACCATCGCCATCTCCACTACGGTATGCCCTGTGACTGATATTACCCCAATTGGAGCAAGCTCCCCGCCTGCACCCACTGGAGTTAGTCCCAGCAGTGTTCTTCCCGTTGGTTCATCCTCCGGCTGGGGTTCTTCGTCGGTTTGGTCTTCTTCTGTCGGCGAGACCCCCGCTGAGACACCTGCGCCTTCGACTCCCGCGATCACTAGCCCTGTCCAGATGACTACCTCGACTATCTACACTACCAGTGAGATCACCGTCACCAGCTGCGCTGCTGATGTCACCGACTGCCCAGCTGATTCAACTGCTGTCGTGACCTCGACTATTGCCATCTCGACTACTGTATGCCCTGTTACCGAGACTACACCTGCTGCCGCAAGCTCGCCCCCATCTGTGCCTGCAGGCCCAAGCCCCAGCAGCGTGCTGCCTGTCAGCTCCCCTGCTGCTTCCGTCCCGGCTGGTACCCCCGAAATCCCTAGTGCGACATCCGTTGGATCGACTCCTGTCCCCTCGTCTCCCACTGGCACCCCCTCCACCCCGGAGGAAGCTACAACAACTGTTGTGACTTATGAAACTGTGACCACTTGCCCCGTTACGAACACCGTGACCTCAGGCTCTTCTACTTTCGTCACTACCTCGGAGACTGTCTCGACTGTGACGCTGACTTCCACTGGAACAGTCTGCACCCAATGCTCTGCTACCGCTACATCGGTTTCACCTGTGGGCAGCTCTTACATCCCATCTGGTCCTGGCGAGGCTTCTACTCCAACTCCTACCGGAACACCCGAAGCTTCGACTTCCGTTCCCTCTGAGACTCCTGAGGGCTCGTCTCCTTCTCCCTCGGAGACACCCGAAGGCTCCTCTCCATCTCCGTCTGGAACCCCAGAGGGCTCCAGTCCTGTCTCGTCCGCAACTGGAGAGGCATCCAGCCCCGCTCCTAGCAGCCCAGCCGTCTCCAGCTCCATTGGCTCCAGCGTTGGTGTGGAAACTACCCCCGCCGTACCCCAAGATTCGACTGCTACTGTTGTGACCTTTGTTACCGTGACCACATGCCCCGTCACCAACACTGTTACATCTGGATCCTCAACCTACCTCACAACATCTAGCACCGTCTCGACTGTCACTTTGACTTCTACCCCGGCTCTCCCTAGCTCCGTTGATGCTGCCAGTACTCCCGCTCCCACTGGTCCAGCCGTCACCAGCGCCATTGGTTCTAGCGTCGGTGTCAGCTCTACACCCGTTGTGCCCGAGGGCTCCACAACCACCGTAGTGACTTATGTGACTGAGACCACCTGCCCTGTCACCAACACTGTCACTTCCGATTCCTCCACTTATGTGACAACCTCCCAGACCGTGTCCACAGTGACTCTCACCTCTGTTTCAACGATTTGCACCAAATGCGCTGCTACTGCCACAGAGACTGCTGCTGTCTCCATTGCCACCTCCGTTGTTTCCACCGGTACCTCCCCAGCATCGAGCCCAGCTCCCTCATCTCCTTGCCCCAACACGGTTCCCCAGTGCATCAACACCTGGCTCAGCCTTGCACCGAAGTGTAACTCCAACAGTGATGCCTCTTGCTTCTGTCCAAACAAGGAGTTCACCTCCAAGGTTATCTCCTGTATTCAAGCCTGGGGTGCAAACAAGAGTGAGATTCAGTCCGCTCTTTCATACTTCACCGGTATCTGCGCGACTTGGGTGCCGGAAAACCCTGGAATTGTGACCGATATTCCTTCCACCATCACTCTTGTCCCAACTGTCGCTCCATCAGTGCCTGCCTCCAGCGTCGGAGCTGCCTCTGGTGCCGTGACCGATAGTGCTGTGGTTCCTGTCACTTCCGCTCCCGCACTCCCTGTCACCACCATCACTTACTCAACCTACACCCTCACCGTCCCCCAGGTCAGCTTCGTTACCGGATCTGCAGCCACCTCCGGCGGTGCCGCTACTGTCGGCTTGGTCCCCGCTGCTCCTAGTGGTGTCTCCCCCGCTAACACTGGAAACGTTCCTGCACCCGCCTCGGCCACCTTTGTCACTGCATCAAGTGGTTACCCCTCGGCTACCGCAAGTGGCTCTTACAGTGCCAGCGCGTCTCCCGTTTTCAACTCCGCATCAAGCTTGTCTGTCGCTTCCAGTCTGGTGCTGGCCTCTTTTGCTGCTTTCTTCAGCTTGATGCTGTAAAGACTTATGGGTCTTACATTCCCTGTTGATATTGCCTTGGTATAAATGTGCACCGTGCAGCCTTGATTTGATTTTTGAGTTTAAATTGGATTGTCTTCATTGCGATGTGTACTGATCCTGATTTGGATTCAGGAAGCATGAGGCTTCGAATTGACTGAGATCGTCTACTGTGTATTTACCAAGGACATGCTTGTATTTTATTTGATCGATCCCTAATTGAATGCGATAGACTTTCTACTTTCTACCACCTTTCAGTCAATAATATACCAAGAAGCTCAAAAGACTCGTGAGGCCTTTTGGTAGTTCGGAGCCACCTTGGTGGCATTGCTCCTGCATATTGAGGACCTTGAGGTTACGGTGCCAGCGGCAAGGTAATTGATAACAAGGTGCTGCCTCTGGGGACCTTGGGATCTGGATTGATCAGTCAATTGTTTAAAGGAGAATACTACTCCTTACTCAAGGGAACAGATCCCATCGTCTTCAGTTTACCAAAGGCAACCCCATTCCAATCTCTTTCGCCAACCTTCACGCTCGGGTTTCTCTTCCCTCCCTGAGAACACAACTACCTCAAACACCACCACCTACGACAGACCGCCACGAACAGACCTTCAACATGTTTTGCATTCGATCACGCTCACTAGCAAAAGGCCTCGTTGATACCCAGCGACTTCGTCCTTCCAGTCTGACTTCCGGCCTCCGCCAATTCACCAATTCCTCCTCTCGCCTCCAAACAATCCCAGTCAAAGTCTCCGCCATCGGAACCGGCTTCGTGCAAAACGTTTCCGTCCCAGGCAAACCATTCCAGTTCTCCACAGATGCCTATACCGTACTCGGTGGGAATGAATCACATCCCTCCCCAATCGCATATTCCCTGGCTAGCTTGAGCTCCTGCAATCAAGTAACAGGTTCTCTCGTCGCCAAAGATCTGGGTATCACAATCGGCAAGTGGAATGTTGAAGTCGAGGGAAATTTACCTACCGATGTGTTTGTCGCGGGCAAGGAAGGAAATCCCAACTGGAAAAGTGTCACCTTGAAAGCACGAGTGCAGACCAACTTGGAAGGTGGTAATGATAACCCACGATTCCAACAATTTGCTACGGAGGTTGAGCGCCGCTGTCCGATGACTGCACTTTTCAGGAACAGTGGCGTGGTCTACTCGAGTGAGTGGACAAATGAGCCCTTATAAGGAGGGTCATTGGAAAAGATTTACAATATGAGATTGATATCATTAATTCAACCAAATTTTCGACGGCGAAGAGTATATGTGAATAGTTGCCGCGGTAGTCAAAAGCAGTATGCTTCATCCAGTTGGGTCAGATGGTCGATACACAGTGACTGGATGACCTGCCAAAACTGCTGCAGCTTTGCTTCAAGATCCTTGGCTGAATAGTTAAACTGGTTCAGGCTGAACGAGTTTGCAACATGTTGTGTATGCCACTTAAGGGGAACTTCAGGCTGAGGTCTGTGTGAGGGCTGGTGAATTTGCGATTCCACAATGGTTGACCGAGAAATGTGGGAAAATGCCAAAAAAACAAGGGGGTTGAAGGGCCAAAGGTTGTTTGTGGGGGTGTTCTGCGGTGCCGGTATCCTAGGGGCGTGTTCCGAAGTTGTGGGTGCAGCTAGGCCTTTGCAACAGGCTGGGTTGGGCCCTGGCCTAAAGCCCATGACCCAAACCTGAGCGCGAGAACCGGGCCCAAAGCCCGGCCCTGAGCCCGGCCCTGGTGTGGGTTGGGTTGGGTTGGGCTGATGTGTTTCATGGGCCGCTGCGGAGGTGGGTCCACTGGATCATCACTTGGGCGCGCGGCATGCCCCATATTCAGGGACCTGCAGGCAAGGAAAGCCGAGTAATTCCCGGGGAGTTTTTGTAACGAGACGTTGAGATCTGTCGAAATAGAAATAATCTTAGTCGGGTTGCGCAGAGAGCTTGAAGATGCGGGGATCTTGGGAGTTGAAGATAGCGGCACGTGCGCCCGTAGTGAAGACGGTCTTCCCCGAACCGTTCTGCAACTCACATCGCCCATCAATTGGACAAAATGAGTCAAATGACGGATACCACAGCCACAAGAAGCAATGGCGTCGACCAACATCGTCCGTTTCCCTGTGATCAATGCTCAAAATTATTTACGCGGAGTGCAAGCACCCCAAAGCTTCCGATCTTCTTTGCCGAGCTCTAACGCGCATCTGCAGGAAAACCTCCAACGACATAAGCGCGCACGTAAGTCTGCATGGATAACCACGAGAGCCACACACTGATTTTTCACAAGGTCACGGTGGCGCGTCGCGCAAGAACTTCCAGTGTAGCAGATGCCATGCCCAGTTCTCTCGAAGGTCTTATTTCCATTCTTCAGCGCATGGCAATGACGCTCATCGATTTGCAGTGACGTATACAAACGGCATGGTAATCGTTGTCGTGCGGCAGGAGGTACACCTGCAGCTCAGACATCTCAACCGCAGGTGCCTTGGGAGGCCTTGCCGGGTATGCATACCCCAGAGGCAATGGCGGGCATATCGTCACCAGTGACCGTCAGCCGCAATCCAACCGAACGTGTCGTGACCGATGAAGATTTTTGGCAAGAGCACAGTACATTTACTGCTGATATACCCCAGAATTACTCTTCTTCTTCGCCGAGGTATGCCCACCTTGACATGGATTCATTTAACCGCCCCCCTGTTCCACAGGAAGGGAGCCTCCTCATCGACTAAATTGACATGTCTGACAATCGAAAATTTAACCACAGTACCCGGGGTAATGGTGAAGAAGCATACGTGAAACAATATTTCGAGCATTTCCAACCGTCTTTCCCTTTATTGCATCGACCCACATTCACAATGTCCTCGGCGCCGAAATTATTGCTGAAGGCTGTGAATGTTATTGGAAGCTTGTTCTCCCCTAATATCTACGACCATAGAGAAACACAATGTGTCGAGCACTGGCGTCAAGATATGTGGCAAACGGGACAGGAAGAGATTCAGCAAATGGTACACCACCCTACCCTGTCTTGAAAGCGACGATCTAATCAACACTGAACCAGGTGTCTTCAAACTGCAGTGAGATCAGACAGCCTTGGGTCATGCAAGCGTGGCTTCTCTATATCATCTACGGGGTATACGCAAGCGAAGCAGGCCAATTCCAAACCGCGAAAAGACGGCTTCGGCAACTTGTCGATGTTTGTATCGTCTTCTGCAAATTCACTTCACTCTTGAGCTGAGCTTACCTTCAATATAGGCTGTGCACGAAGTTGGCCTATTGCAACAAGGTATCGCTATGCCAGATGCCCAGGCTTGGATGTACCAAATTGCCTTCAATTCACCCAGAGATGAGTCGCAAACTCTCTATACACGGTGGACATCGTATATCACCACTGAATCGATGAGGCTGTCTCTGTACACCCTAGTTTTCCTGGACTCACACATCTTTTCGCCTTGCAATTCCCGACCCTTGATGTCACCGGTAGAGCTTGGCTGGGAACTTCCTTTCCCTATCAGTCTATGGGAGGCCAAAAACCCTCATATATGGCTTTTGAGGTTCAATGAGAACTTTGGACTTTCGACCTTTTCAATAGCCAACAGTCTGTTAAATGTGCCACGCGGCCTGGGGACTGCTTCTCTGACGCTTGCCACTCAGCAACTTATGACTGAAACACCGGACTCGGAACTGTTGGCAGCGATAGAAGCATCCCCGTTTGCCGCGTTTTGCGTTTTGACCAACATCAGTGCTTTGATACGAGACTTTACGCGATGTTACTATCAAATGCCACCAAGCCCGTCCGATCCGAATCCGTTCCATATACTGACCCAAGCCCAGAATAAACAAGTACACGCCGCAATCGAAGCAATCGCCAAAATTGTCAAGAAGCAGGCTTACACTAGTGACAGCCCGCAGTTTCTCCTGTGGAGAACAAATGAGCTCTTTATCTCTTCTATCAAGATCAGTCTCTGTCGTCCGGATCAGCTCCTGGTAGCAGGCATTGTGGATAACAGCTTGATAGCTGGGATGGCTGCATCCACTCATCTAACCCAAGGGAACCTTGTTGCAATTCGGCGATCAGCGCCCCTTGTGTCTCATCATGTCGGTGGGGACGAGGGCATTGTGGCTCTTCTGAAAGACTTATCGGTCGCATTGTCCAGCATATCCGGAGAGGACCAAGATAAAGTGGCACGTGAAGCTCCATGGGTCACCGTGGCCAGTTACAATATTTTGTTATGTGTTTGGGGAGCCCTCAGACGCGCAAGCAGTGATATTCGCCATCACTTGGACACCTTCAACGAACTTCCAATTACGTCGGAATCCTGTATCCTGATTTTCAACACCCTCATGGAGTCAGTTCTTCTCCATTCTTCCTCCGAAAATGAGGGGGCAACACGAGACCCCCGCTTGTGGACCGTGGATCGAGAGGCTTTCGTTAGTCTGCTCGATGAAGGCGAGTCGCTATTTGTCTATTTGCTCAAGACATTCTGTCAGCGGCGATCCTTGTGGGGAATCGGACCTTCGATGCTAGCTGTGTTGGGTGAAATTCCTGGTCCTGGAGCTGGGTGAACTGCGGGGTGCCAAGTTGTTATCAGAGACGGTGGACTGTCCGCGGGTGGAAAGTGGACGGCGAACACGCCGAGTGGAGCTCCACACGCCCGCTTTGAGCCCTTTATCGTTATAAACTCGCCAAACAGCGAACAGCGAATAACTCTCAGGAAGCTACCCAAAGCAGTCAAATATTTTGAAAATAATTCAGGTTGACTGTGATTCAAAGAGCCGGAATGACATCATCCTCACTGAGAGTTGGCTGGGTATGTTATAGTCCCATACTTTATTGCCTATTTGCTGATTGTGATAGTATGGCCTCGGATCAATGGGGATAGGAATGTCACTGAACCTCCAAAAATATCTCAAGAGCAACAATATATCGCCGCTGCATTACAGTAACCGCACTTTGTCAAAAGGTGATCCTCTTCGTGACGAAGGCGCCGTACCTGAAGAGAAGTTCGAAGATCTCGTCCATAATTCGGACATTATTTTTACAATGGTAAGAAGCTTCAATGTGCCATTACGAGCGATAGCATTGACGATTTCAATTAGATATCCATGGACAATGTCCTAACCGAACTATTAAATACGGTGTTAGTCGCGGGCGATGCGTTGAAAGGCAAAATCTTCGTGGACACTTCTACTATCCATCCAGATACGTCGGAGTGGGCTGCATCGCGCCTCGGTGAATATGGCGCCGCGTTTATCGCAGCTCCAGTTTTCGGCGCTAGTGCAGTGGCAGCCACCGGGAAGCTGATCTTCGCGGTATCTGGACCTACTGCGGCAGTTCAAACAATCACACCATTTATCAAGGACGTCATGGGACGCAGTATCATCGATATGGGAGAAGATGTGCGGAAATCCAGCCTTCTCAAAATCTCTGGGTATGTACTCGACCTTTGGAACGACCACCAGCATTGAGCCAACTAACTCCTTTCTAGAAATATCCTTGTCATCAGCTTCATGGAAGTGATTGCCGAGGCGCAGGTATTTGCCGAGGCGACCGGGATTGGCAATCAACAGCTGGAGGAGTTCATTGGCAATATGTTTGGTCCTGTACTCGAAAGCTATTCAAAGCGTATCACCACCGGCGCGTATGCACCGCCCCTGGATACATCCCCGGGATTTGCAGCAGCTCTTGCAAGCAAAGACATGAAGCACGCTCTCTCCATTGCTGCCAGTAATGGAACTCGTCTTCCGACCCTCGAAGTTGCATCAAGCCGTCTTGCATCAGCACGGGAATATGCTGGTGAGTGCTTGGATAGCTCGGCAATCTATGGGACAGGGCGATTGGAAGCGGGCCTTCCGTTTTGGAGCGAAAAGAGTCGACAAGGAAATTGAGTCTATTCGCTGTGATCCGATAGATACTATTTTTTCCCTTGAAAAGAAATTCGAATAATGATTGAAATTTACCCAAGCGCTTTTTGTCACTTCGCCCAATAGCCACTTCTTTTCACACTGCGACTTCAGGAATTGTGCGAATTGACTTCCAAGCGCATTATGCTTGAGAATTCGTAGAAAATATCGACTTTTATGTCCCCATTTGAGGACTTTCAGAAGATATACCACACCCTTGTATTACTTGTCTTTCATCAACAGTAGAAGATAATGGAGAATTGTTTTTCTATTCTCTACAAACCAATGATAGCTGGCGGAAGACCAACAAGCAAGGCATTTATGCACCTTGTCTCAAAAGCTTCTCCAAATCAACCACCTCATTTATTGGTGCCACGGCTTCTTCACTCATACTCGTAATAGTTGTGTTCCCCAGTGGCCTGCGTCCACGGCCCGTACCGTATCCGAAATGGTGGGACACAATAGCTTTGACGCCGGCAATACCCACCTTGGTGAGAGCCCAGTCGGCATGGCTGAGTTTAGATTGAAGCTCTTGTGCCGCCTTCAGATCACCCTTCTCATAATAGCGCAGCACCTGTACATGCAACTTGGGTACTATGTTCGCGAGAGCGGCAATGATCCCGTTGGACCCGGCGACGAGCGCGGGTAGGAAGAAATCCGACTTTCCACCAAAAGTGGCAAATGAGGTCCCTGAAAGTGCCGATGAGACACGTTGGAGCTTCCCGACATTGCCACAGGTGAGTTTGCAGCCGATAATATTGGGGTTTGACTTGGCTAGGCGGATGATCGAGTCGGAACTGATGTCGATGCCTCCCGTCACGCCAGGGAAGTTGTAAATCAGAATGGGAAGCTCGGATTGAGATGCGACCTGTGTTTGAAACCAAAGTTAGACCATGTAAGAACCAACAAAGTTCTTTTCATTCTGGGATATGGAAGGATCTTACATCTTGGAAGAAGCCTTCAATGACAGGTGCATTCATGGCTGCAACCCAATATGCCGGTGGCAACACAAGGGCAAAATCGGCACCAGAAGCTTTAGCCTCTGAGATGTAAGATAGTGTTTCCCGCACACTGGGCGCACCGCAGCCGACAATCAACTGCAGCTCCGTATAGGCCAGATGGTCTAGGTGATCGCGAACAGCGCGAACCAAAGATTGGCGCTCGCTATGATCCAGATGAGGAGCCTCTCCATTGCTTCCCTGGAGCACGAGTCCGGTAACTCCGCCTTCAGCCATGCGCTTCGCATGAGCTAAGGTACTTTTCAGATCGAGAGACTCGTCCTCCTCGAAGAATGTGACCAATGGCGTATAGACGCCGAAGTTGGGCTTTGTTGCCATTTTGTTGCGGTGTTTGAACTTGAATGATTAGATAGGCGCCATATGATTGACCATCTGATTTTTAACTTAGAAGCATTCATTGCCTGTCTTTAGTCTCTTCATCGAGCTTGGTTGGTATATCGGTCGGTGGAGCTCCACGCGGTCGTCCATCTCAGCGCTCCGTTCTTGTTGATCAGGAAAAATACCATACCAAGTGATAATGCAACTAGGGCTAATATAATCAAGTCCATTCGTTTTTCTTGTTTTCTGCTTTTTGATCATTTCAATTCCATTCAAAAGATCAAATATCTCAAAGCTTTGTTGGCCTCGGTGAGTATGTTCTCGGTTGCTTGCAGGATTTGTATAGGGAATATTTGTCCACAGGTGGTCCTAAAAGTTGTTTGTCAAGTGTTTGTGGAGACTGGAAGCGCACAGCTGCGCAATCGATAATGATACCTCGAAATCATGCCCAGGTGTACAACATTTACAAAATAAATTTAGGAAACATACTCTGTGCATTGAGGGGGCCAGCTGACATGCAAGTCATGAAGGAGAACCATATCTATACGCCGAGAGCTCGATTGTATCTATCGCAGGGCCCCACAGGCCCAACAATCGGTATGCGGCCGAATGCATAAATGGATCATTGAAGCGATAAGCTGGGTTGGTGTCAAATCCGAGCAAATTTGAGTTCCGAGGTCAAATTGATACCAGTCAGCATGATAGCCGAAGGCCATGCACCAGGAAGAAAACCCCGCAACCAAGATATGACTTTGATTGGGGAGCAGAGAGAAAGAAAGCCATCGAGGAAAGCCCTAATGTGGCTATGCAAACATGTCAAACATGTACCCGCCTCTATCAAAGTCGATAAGCCCGTCCACTTCCCAAATGGAGCTCCACCGAAAATTGTCCACCTCCACAAATTCTGGGGTACAGCTTGGAGCTTGGCCAACTTCCCCATAGGCTGTCTGACAGCCCTCTCGATAACCTAATATGAGAGGAGAGATTTAAAGAGGAAGTCATGGCTAGATGACCCCGGCATCCGAAGCTCGGTTGCACAGAGCTGCATCGATTGATACAACATGGCCACCGGGTCGAATGATATGAAGCTGTCTGAGGTTTCAAAGCATGATACAGAGCAAGCGGTCATGGATCTCCAGGATGGAGACTCCAAAAAGCATGAGATACGAGACCTTGATCCTGCTCTCCTGTTCATGAACGCAGAGGAGATTGAATATACCCCCGATGAGGCCAAACATGTTTTGTCTAAGATCGATCGAGTCCTCATGCCCTTGCTCTGTTGGGTCTATTTGATTCAGTTTGCAGACAAGACATCACTGAACTATGCTTCACTCATGGGCATTCGGGAGGATACCCATTTGGACCCCAACTCGCAGCAATATAGCTGGGTCTCGAGTATCTTTTATGCCGGATACATCTTTTGGGAGTGAGTTCTTTCTCCGGCCGCGGTGAGGTTTCATATTCTAACGCCTGTTTTAGATTCCCCACCACATATTTCCTGCGCCGGCTGCCCCTAGGAAAATACACCGCAATTAACATCCTGCTATGGGGCGTTGCACTAGTCTGTCACGCTGTCACTCACAACTATGCGACTCTACTGTGCGTTCGCTTCTTCTTAGGCGCATTTGAAGCCACAGTCACACCAGCTTTTGTCTTATTCACATCGTGCTGGTATAAACAAGAGGAACAAGCCAGACGCATGGGGCTGTGGCTCAGTTGCAACGGATTGGCTCAATTGCTTATTGGGCCCGTCGCCTACGGCCTAGCTGGTGTTCAAGGAACCCCTATCGCTGTGTGGAAAATCCTCTTCCTAGTATTGGGTCTGCCCACTGTCCTCACGGGCGTGGTATACTTTTGGTGCATGCCCGACAATCAAGTTCAGGCCCGGTTCTTGAATCACCGCGAGAAGCTTATTGCCATCGATCGCATTCGGGGCAATTTCCAAGGTATCGGCAATCAAACATGGAAGTGGCCCCAGTTTTTCGAAGCATTCCGTGACCCGCGCACTTATCTTTACGTGCTATTCTCGCTGCTGATGAACATTCCCAACGGGGGGATCACCACTTTTGGCTCCATAATCATCAGCTCCTTCGGATTTTCCAATCGCATGTCTCTCATTTTGAACATGCCAATGGGCATCGTGGACATTGCTTGTAAACTGGGACTGACCTATCTCTCCGATCGGTTCTTTGATCGCACCATGTTCGCCATAATCGCTATTCTGATTCCCATGATCGGCGGAATCATGATGATTGTAATCCCCCTTGAAGCCAAGGCTGGGTTGCTCATTGGATACTACCTCATCGGAGCCGCCGGTACTGCCTGGTGTCTTGTGATGGTAATGATCTCCAACAACACCCTCGGATACACCAAGAAAGCAACAGTGAATGGCCTCCAGATCGTGGCGTACGCAGCCGGAAACTGGATTGGCCCTCAGACATTCCGGTCAACCCAAGCGCCTGAATATTTTGACGGCAAGCTAATGGTCGCCATCATGTACGCTATGGCAGCGGTCACATTGATGACGATCCGGGTGGTCAACATCATAGAGAACAAGAGGCGCGACCGGAAGGCGATCGAGGAGCCTGACACTGCACATGCTCCCCCTGGGTCTGAATTCTTGGATTTGACAGATTTCGAGCAACCAGATTTTCGCTATGTGCTTTGATCTTATAGGTTTAAACGACGCATCACAGGCACGGGTCAGAGCAAATAACTGCTGTTCATTGTTAGAGAGAGATGGACAGAGGAAGAGAAGAGGGAAAAGAGTGAGAGCGAGATATTGTTGGGATAATAGGTCGTAAACCTCCCTTTTCTTGTATACACACACTCTCCTTATCCCTGTCTTTTCTTTTCTCCATCACTAGATCCTTTTTCCTCGCGTCCCCGTTTTGTCGTCACATAGTCCAATACACCACTAAGAACATGAACCTTCCTCTCGCCTGTAGAAAACTGATTTCCCTCCAGGGCTGTGTTCCATCTAGGTCCAAGACTGTGCCAACATCCAGACACACAATAATTTTGATCAAAATCAAGAATTAGAGGATATTGACAAAGACGCTGGAGTCAACTGGCCTGACGCCTGTACCGGAGCTAGCGCGGAGATATCCCGGAGATAGCCCGGAGATCTCTACACTCTCTCACTTGACTCTTTTTCTACAGTTGAATTAACTCCATTTCTTGAAGACATAAGCCTGCAGTGATATTTTCCATCATTTTTACAGCTAAAAATGCTCCTACACTTCTTCTGCCAAGCTCCGATGCGCAGCCACACTGCCATTGGCGATAGGAACAAACGACGGCATGATCGTTGACTGATCGATTGTGGACGTATCCGTCTCCCCAGGAGCTCCATACCCACCACCACCAGGAGTCTCGATGACGAACCTATCCCCAGGCTGAACACGGATTGAGTTCTTGCCACCAACAGAGATATGCCGGCCAGCTTTGGTGATCCACGTGTTCTTCCCGCGCTTGCCATCCATGCCGCCTGCCATACCGTAAGGCGCGAAGCTGCGGCGCTCAGAAAGAATGGATACAGACATCGGTAGTCGCAACTCGACATCTCTGATGACACCATCTCCTCCGGGATACATTCCAGCGCCACCACTCCCATCGCGAAGACAGAATCGACGGAGAATAACCGGATAGCGACGCTCTAATGATTCAGGGTCGGTGATGCGCGTGTTGGTCATGTTCGTGTGCACGCCGCTTATACCAGCCCAACTGGGGCCTCCGCCACTGCCACCAGCAATGGTTTCATAGTACCCGAATCCATTTTCTCCGTCATTGCCGAAGGTGAAATTATTCATGCACCCCTGACTGGCGGCGCAAATCTTGAAGCTCTTGAAAATAACATCGACGATGCGCTGCGACGTCAACACATTACCTGCGCACACGGCGGCTTCGAAGCTCGGCCGCAACAGTGACCCGTCTGGGATAATGAGCTGTACCGGTTTGATGCAACCCTGATTGAGGGGTATATCGGAGTTGACCATACAGCGCAAAGCGAAGATGACGGCCGAGTTACAAATCGCAATCGGGGCATTCCAGTTTCCTATGTTTCATCAGTTCTTACGTCTATAAAGTGTCTTATCAACATCAACTTACCATAAACCTCTGGACCGGTTCCTGTGAAGTCAAAGATGGCGGAACCATCGGATGGATCAATGGTTACTTTGAGCATGATCGGGGTTCCGTCGTCCATGTAGTCGACCGCGGATATCTCTTCTCCGTTGTGATTCTGAGAGACACGCTTCAGAAGATTCCGCACGGCGAGCTCGGCTGAGTCTTGAATTGCGCGCATGTACATCTGACTCAGTTAGTTTGGTGATTCGGTATCTCCTTGCATCATCAAATGTACTGACCTGGACCACGTCCATGGAATATTCCACGATCAGCTGGCGAACGAGTCTGATACCACAGTGGTTTGCAGCGACCTGTGCCTTCAGGTCTGTCACATTATCCTGGAAACATCGGGACCCACTGGAACCTGGGAAACGAGCAGGCTCTACGCACAGCATGCGGTGGAGCTCTTCCTCGTCGAAATGGCCAGCGCGCACCAGCAAATAGGAATCAAAGACTGCACCCTCTTCAGATAGAAGCTTTGACAAGGGTGGCATTGAGCCAGGAAGTATGCCACCAACCTACGGATGATACGTCAGCCATCGGTCTCATACCTCTCAGAAAGAACACAACTTACGTCGGCATGGTGACCACGAGAAGCAGCCCAGAATATTATTTCCTTGCCATCAGAGTCAAATACAGGTGTAATAACTGTGAGATCGGGAAGGTGGACACCTCCGAATGCTGCATTATGACGCATTAGCTGCTGAAACCACTTTCAAAGTCGATTCAAGGTACCTACCAGGTGTGTTGGAAAGCAAAACATCACCATCCTGCAGCTTATCCTGCCACTCCGCAATTTGAGATCTGACTGCAAAGGCCATACTTCCAATCATGGCGGGTACATGGGGTGCGTTGGCGACCAGGTCTCCTTCAGGTGTGAAAATCGCACACGTAAAATCCAACCGCTCTTTGATATTGGCACTGATGCTGACATTTTGTAGAACGCGCCCCATTTGCTCTGCGACGCCCATGAACCGATGACGGAAGATCGAAAGCTGGACTGGGTCGATGATATCCGCGCTTGCTAGTTTGGAGCCCGAGGAGCTCACATCCAGGATGAGTATATCATGAGTCAAGGTCGCCTTTGAGTGCGGGCTGACCAAGATTGTCTGGGTTTTGTCAATCACGATGGCCGGTCCTGAGATCTGAATCCCATCTGTCAAGTTCCCAAAATGGTAAACGGGCGTATCGACCCATCCAATTGGATTGAAGTAAGTGGCTTTCCAAGATTTAGGTACTGGAGCCACTGATCCAGAAACCATTTTAGGATGGGGATTCGAAGTGGTGGCCGAGAGTTCGGAAAATACACTGGAGCCAATTGCTCGAGCGCGAATAGTATCAACATAAATAGCACGATTGGTAGGTGTGAATCCAAACTGCTGTTGGTGGGCTTTGATAAAGTCTTCCCGGGGGTCCTCGGAGGTATCCAGGGAAATCATGATTGCAGTCTCGCTGCCATCATATCTCATATTCAGGAAACGGCGGATCTGAACATTGTTGAATGGTTGCATAGAATCATTGTCTTGAACAATATTCGCGAGGAGTTCCATATCGTGGTATATCGTTTGAGACGTAGTGTCATCAAAGGCTTTTGCACATACTCGCTCCTCCTCGTGCACAAGATCCGCCAAACCAATTCCATAGGCAGAGAGCACAGAGGAATACTTGTGGATCAAGACTCTCTTTATACCTAGGGCTTCGGCGATAGCGTAGGCATGTTGACCTCCAGCGCCGCCAAATGACGCGAGGTGATGCTTTGCAACATCATGACCTTTGGCCTCGGTCAAACTTCGAATGGGCCCGCACATTGCTGAGTTGGCGACCTGGAGGAAACTGTATAACACATTAGTAGCCAGCCCTGCAGCTTGCATTGCTTGATTTTACTCACCCATCTGCAACTTCGGCCCAAGTCAACGATTTCCCTGTCTCAGCATTGATGGTTTGTGTGAGATCCTCGAACTTTGCTAGAACAATCTCTCTGTCTAATGGTTCGTCTTCATTGACACCAAAGACTGAGGGAAACTCCTCTGGAAGCAGCCGTCCCAGCGCTAGGTTGGCATCAGTCACAGTCAAGGGGCCCCCTTTACGGTAACAGGCTGGTCCCGGGTTGGAGGTAGCACTCTCGGGGCCAACAGCCATGAGACCATCTTTCCAAGCCAGTATGCTTCCTCCGCCGGCGGCGATAGTATTCACATTGAGCTGTGGAGCTTGAATCGCAATCCCGGCAGTCGTTGTTTCAAAAATATGATCAAGTTCGCCATTGTATCTACTAACGTCGGTGCTAGTACCTCCCATATCAAATCCAATCACAGGGGTCCGCTCTTGTGTGTCGAAAGATGTTTGTGAAAATCCGATAACACCTCCGGCTGGCCCAGAGAGAATGGAGTGCAGTCCCGAGAGCTTTGAAGAGGGTACCAATCCACCATCAGACTGCATGAATTCCAATCGTGTCCCGGACCGATCGATATTGGGAAAGTTCTTTAAAAATTGCCCCAGGTATTGTTCGATATTCGGAGTAAGGTAAGCGTCGACCACCGTGGAATTTCCACGGGGGACAAGTTTTGGTCGTGGAGACGTTTGATGTGAAAGAGAGATGTATTTGAAGCCAATCTCCGAAGCCAACTCTCCAATCTGCAGCTCATGGGCTGGGAAGATATAGGAATGCATAAGGCACACTGCCAACGAGCGGAAACCTTTGTTATAGATATCTTGCAAATAATCCCGAGTGCTTGCCAAGTCAATAGGCTGGAGCACTTGGACAACCTCACCAGAAGTAGCAACGATCGACTCAACTGGTTCTGGAGATGGCAGCTTCACAGTACGGAGATTTGAATCACTGCATGCTCCAACTGTCACGCGCTCTTTCACTTCGAATACATCCGAATAAATAGGCTTTGCTCGGCGAATTGAGAGATCGAACATGTACGGTCGGCTTTGGTTGCCAATATACAAGATGTCTTTGAAGCCTTCGGTTACAAGGAGGGCTGTGCGCTCGCCTTTGCGCTCGAGTAGCGCATTGGTTGCAACCGTTGTACCCATGCGAATCCATTCTGACCAGTAAGCAAGGGCTTTCAAGATAATTCTGGACGGTCGCTCTTACCAACATCCTTAAGGTCTAGTTCCGAGCCTCGTGGAATTGCGGTTTTGTAGTGTATCTCCAAAACGCGTCGAATCGCCTCGGTCGGCGCGTCGCCATAGTTCTTTGGATCGACAGACAAGATCTTCACCAAAATATCGTCCCCATTGATCACTTTGCAAATACAATCGGTGAAGGTTCCTCCTCGATCTGATCACACCAGTTAGCCCGTCTCATGCAGCAGTAGGCCATACTGAGGGGTTTGATACTCACCGATGGAGATGCGCAATGGCTTTTTGTTAGTACCTTCAGGCATATTGAATATGACAAGAAGGTCAGGGGAATGTATACGAATTGGTAGGTCGGTCGGCACAGAGGCAGACGGGGGTAAGCGGGTGTATTTGAGGCCCCGAGAAGCTTATCATGATTGGAAAGCTCGACATGATGCTTTTAATCCCTGAAAAAAGCAGCAAATCGACAATCACTCTCCCCGCTTCGCGCATCTCTCCGCGGTGGAGTTGGAGAGGGGAAAGGAGGAGCACACAGCAACAGAGATACGCGATAAGACGTGCAGTGGAGCTCCACCACTCCACCGGGGTAGAGTGTGGGAGCACAACTGTCCACCCTCTACTCTGAAGGCAAAATGCAATATTTAGTAGATTGTGCTCGAGTGAGGATTGTTCTCACAAATGAATCGATCCCGCGCTCTGAAGTGTTCGTGATTTGATACGCGAAGCAATTCAATCACTTTTAACCCTTTCAACCCTGCTTCTCCGACCCAAGATGGGATCTATAGGTAACTACCATGAGGTCAAGCCTTATAAAATCGTGGAACAGCCAAGTCGATACCGCCGCAAAATCCGTATCATCGTGATCGGAGCAGGCGCGAGCGCATTGAACTTTGCCCATGACATCGACACAAGCTCGCTAGATACTGAACTGGTCCTTTATGAGAAGAATCCTGAGATCGGCGGCACTTGGTACGAAAATCGCTACCCTGGATGCGGATGCGACATTCCTTCCGTCAACTATCAGTTCTCGTGGGCTCCCTCTCCTGACTGGACCTCCTTGTAAGTGCAACTTTGAAATTTAGTACTCGCATCACCAGAACAAAGAATTGGGCATTGAACTCATCATTTTCAGTTATTCGGGCGCACCGGAAATCTTGAAATATTTTAAGGGCGTTGCCGACAAGTACGGGCTTCGGAAATATGTCCGCCTGGAACACAAGGTGGTTGGCGCGTTCTGGGATGATCAAGATCAACAGTGGCATGTGAAGATCCAGAGAGGTGACAACCCCGAAGATATATTTGTGGATCAGGGTCACATATTGATCAACGCAAGTGGCGTGCTGAAGTGAGTGCCTTATCATCTATAGATCCAGAGTGGTCAAATGGCGAGGCTGACGCGCTTTAGCAAATGGAAATGGCCCGCAATCAAAGGCCTAGAATCCTTCCAGGGTCCTAGACTTCACAGTGCAAACTGGGACGACAGTGTCGAATTGCAGGGGAAGCGTGTGGCTGTCATTGGCTCAGGCTCCTCTGCGGTGCAAATCGTCCCGAGCATTCAACCAAGTGAGTTACGTCAAATGAAAGCACGAGCATAAGTTTGTTGACAATCAACGCAGAGGTATCATCTCTCAAATGCTTCATTCGCAGTGCCTCGTGGGTGACTGCTGGTTTTGGTCAACGCTTCGCAGGGAAAGGGGGTGCCAATTTCAAATGTAAAACTTCTCCTAAGCAGACCGTCCGAAATACTGACAACAACAGATAATGAGAAGCAAAAGCAAATATTGCAGAATGACCCTCAGAAGTACTTGGGATATCGCAAGAAGATCGAGTCGGAGCTAAACTCTCGTTTCCGATTTATCCTCAATGGATCCGAGGAACAAGCCAATGCGCGAGCTGTAAGCTCAGCCCACTACACTGCTTGTCTCTTATCAATTTCTAACAATGAATATCTAGTATGCGGAGAAGGATATGCGCACAAAGCTTGCGGATCGTCCAGAAATCGCAGACTCGATTGTTCCAAAGGACTTTGCAGTGGGCTGCCGCAGACCTACACCCGGAAACGGATACCTCGAGGCACTTTGCAGCGATAATACTGAGGTTGTCAGTCAATCAATTGAAGAGGTTACCCCGAAAGGCATCAAGACTGCCGATGGTGTTGAGCACGAAGTCGACGTAATTGTGTGTGCTACCGGGTTTGATGTCAGTTGGCGGCCATCCTACCCGACTATTGGCCGGGAGTCTCGCAGTCTGAGTGAGCAATGGAAGAATATTCCAAGAACTTATCTTTCCATCACAGTGCCAAACTTCCCCAATTATATGAGTGAGTCCTGAAGTCTCTCCGCACCGCCCTCAATTGCCAGGATACTAACTTTGACTGAACAGTTTTCAACGGTCCCTTTGGACCATATGGCCACGGAAGTTTCCTTCCAATCACGGAGACCATCTCAAAACACTTCATTCAAATGCTTGAGAAAATGTCATCGGAAGGTGTGACGTCATTTGAGCCCAAGCCTGAAGCAGTTGCGGATTTCTTTGAACACCACCGAAACTTCATGCCTCGAACCGCTTGGACATCGCCCTGTCGTTCCTGGTTCAAGCAGGGAACCACTGATGGCGAGGTTATGATGTGGCCGGGCTCGAGAATTCATTTCTTTGAGACCATGAAGCAGCCCCGTTGGGAAGATTACAATCTCAATTATACAACCTCCAACCGGTTTGGCTATCTTGGCAACGGCTTTGCCGCACGCGAGTTTGACGGAAGCGACCTGTCATGGTATCTTGGTACACTTGACGGAAATGAAGAGGCACATCTTCCTGATGATGACTTTGAGGCTTTCATGGTTCAGTGAGCTAGAAAACCTTCAAATCGGACATAGCTTTGAATGAATGCACATATCTCGCTGTTATCCGTTTCAAATTCAAATATTTCATGTACATTGAGACTTACTTAAGTAAGTAGTAATACCTAGGTACAGCAATGGGTCAGCCTGGCTCCCTCATCAGTCTATTACATGTCCATATACTGCAATCGGCCCAGGTGTGATGGTTGTATATCTGGAGACGATGGGAATGTGTTTTTACTCTCACTCTAGGGCTCTCTGTTATACCTGATTCATTCATATTATGCTACAAGGCTGATTTAGACCCGAGGCCACTCCTAGGGCTCCGGAATGGTGCATATTCTATCGAAAAAAACAATTGATACGGACCTCGAAAGTGAGTTGGAAAGTGCCCACGTTCCTTCCAGCCCTCGGAAGCTTTGTTGTCTTGGTCAAAACCGAAGGGAGAACCACCTGCACCAGTCTTGTTTCCCGGAAGCCCTGAAGCAGGCTAAGATTCTGACAGTGAAGAATGGGTTAACAAGTATGGAATGACCCTTTTTTAATTTATAGATGTTGTATTCGTGATTTGGTTACAAAATGGTATTATACTGCCCAACGCTCAACCACGTCGGCCAAGGTATTTTCATCACCGACATTGCCCGGGAAAATGATCAACGGTATCTCGGTCCATTTGATCTCCCTTCCCCCTTGATCTTGAGACTTTAAGTCTTCTTCGCTCTGACACCACCAAATGGGAACTCCGGGCGCAGCCTGACCCAGCACTGTTGCACGTTTGATAGCTATACCGGCTGTCGCCACATCAGATGAAGTGACGCCCCCTTTTGCTAGCAGGTATCGAGGACAAACACTCAGGTTCCGCACAATATGAACCAAGGCAGTGGCGGCTACGCTGTTGATGTCCAAGTTTGTGATTTGCTTGGAGGTTTCAGATGCCAGAGTATTGACAGAATCCAGGGTGACAAGGTCTCGACTGGTCATAACCAGCACATCTTGACCACCTCGAAGGTCGTCAGATGCACGAGTCACGACTTCTTGCAACACCAGTGAGCGGCGAAGCATTGTAGGAATGTCGGAATATTTCTGGAGCTCGATCAATAGGGCTGGCACTTCCACGATGTGGGTTGTCAAATTACTCCCTGATCTTTCAATCAATGACTGGATCTGTTTGGTTGACTTCGGGACGTAAGAACCCGCTACAATCAGACCTCCCGTGTGTCTTGTGGGGTTGAAGTTTGGGATCTGGCTCGGTAAGATGACTGGCCTTTCTGGCATTCCGAGACGACTAGAAACAAAGCTCGCCCCCGTTCGATACGCAAAACGGAGCTGGTGCTCTTTGCGTACTTTAAAGGAGAAGTTAGTTTGAGTGAACGTGAAGCCGTAGATGGGCGTGACGAGACAGGGATGCGTACCTTCCAACAAAGCCAGGCTGAACATAAGCATATCTTCCGCCTGGACTGCGTTAACTATACAGATGCCACCTTTGGGCACATTCAGCAATTTTTGTTTGATTGCTGAAATTCCCCCGTTTCTGATTTCTTCCAGCGTTACAGACAGTATGTCCGTGCTAGAGAATCGTGACCCTGCTTTTTCACGTACCCACTCTCTGAGATTTGAGGATTTGTAGCCAAAAGTTTTGTCCTCGGCATATGGAGTCTTTGCAGCTGGGACTAAGACATCTCGGTCGCCAACGTATTGTATATCGTCGATGGTATAGCGAGCACCCGGTCCAAAGAACGGCGCCAGTATCCATGCATCTGGTGAGCCAATTGCATCAATATGCGATTGAACTTCTCCCAGGAAATGACCGCGCAATGTCGAGTCTCCTCTTAGCACAACTTCAAACGTTTTGCCAGTCATATCAGCTGCCTTGGACACATTCCGCAACACTTCACTGACTAGCGCATGAGCCTCATTGGGAGGCAATGCACGACTGTTTGTGAGAATGAAAAAGCCTCTGCTATCTGAGCGGAACTCCGACGCAAGGATATTGACATCCCACATGGTGAGGACATTAATATCATGGCATGTTTGCGTTCCTGTTGGATCATCATCGAGGACAATCAACTTGCAATTATTCTCAGCTTGCAAATGAGCTTGAATATTGCATAGAAGGTTTTGAGGGTTCTCCTCAGATCGAGGTATCCTTGAGCTCAGTTCAGAGAGTGGGATTGAATCATATTCAGTTATATGCAAGGGCTCGACAGAAAGATCTGATGTTGTCCATAGCTTGAGAAGCGCTGCTTGACCTTCTCCACCCAGGCCATAAATGACAGCCTGTTGTAAAAGTTGAAATGTAGTAGCTGCGACTTGCAGGGGATAGCTGTGCGCCTGGGCAAGGTTGATTACTTCTTTCTGTCAAATTGTTTAGTAAATTTGATCTGAGCTTCGGAGATAATCAGCCTACCAGCATGTCCCGGGTCTGGGTAATGGTACACCCAGATACAATATCACCAGCCAAAATTGTCGTTGCAACCTTTTTGAAGGACTCGCTGGCGCCAGCGGCATTTGAAATGATTGATGAGAGGGTGTTGGTTGGAATGCCAAGTTTGTTTCCGAGGGCCAGAGCCTCAACCGCCGCTAAGGTGTGGACGGTCTCCAGTAACCCGCATATCAGCTCAGATGAATGCGAACTTTGGGGATTCTTCATATGTGTTGCTTCTGAAACGAGAGATGGGGTTTGTGCCAGAAAAATTCGAACAAGGCTGGCATCGTCGTCCCTTTCATATCCCATGCGCGCTGCATATTGATAAAGTCGCTCTGTCGCAGATGCAATATAAAGAGGGAAATCTTGAAGGAGGCCTTCTGAAGTCACAATTCGCTTGGAAAGATGTCAGCATGAGATTCGAGGACGGAGCTCCAGTGAGGTAGCCCGAGAGGGACAGAAAACTCACCATGTCCTTTACAAAGATACTGATATCAGAGTGAGGCGTCCAATCATCGAGTAGCATATGAGGCACTCGGTTTTGAAACATCCAACTACACGCTGGGCTCTTGACAACCGTGTCATAAAAGTCTTTTGTGTTCAATCCTAATGTCGCAGCTAGCCCCATTGCCTCCGCAGAAGCCGCAATGTGCACACCAGCAAGGTGCTGATTGATGAGTTTGACCTTATTCGCGGCACCTAGTCCGCCCTCAATCTCATACAAATTTTCGCTCATCGATTTCAAGATTGGCTGAGCGGTACGCAAAACATCCGATCGGCCCGATGACAGAACGGTCAACAGTCCTTGAGCGGCGCGTATCGTCCCACCAGACACAGGACAATCCACCAATTGGATATCCGGCCTTCGAAATTCCCGGTGAAAACGATCCAGAATTTTGACTGGGAATCCTGGAGCAACGGTTGAGCATAGAATGACAACTGTGTTCTGTGCGAGGCCAAACACTGCGCCCGTTGACTCTGCGAAAAATGCATCCTCGGTCTGCATAGAATTTGCGACCATGCAGACAATGAATGATGCGCCTTGGGCGCATTCCCTTGGGCTAGAAGCATCCGTCCCACCCATGGCGAGCAGTTTTTCAAGGGCCATAGGATTGACATCGAACCCGGTCACCGCGAAGCCATCGTCGAGCAGGTGGATGGCCATCCCTATTCCCATAGCACCCAGCCCTATGAAGGCAACCTGTGGCTTAGAAGCCATTCTGGTCATTGTTTTGGGTAGTCAGGATGTGTTGAGATCGAAGTGGCACTTGAGCATATATGTGGATAAAACAGTCCATATAAATCCACTGGTTCAGTGATGGCGACACAGTGGCGGAATTTTTGAATCTGTTCCTGTAAGCAAACCTGGGAAATGAGTGATTGTTCATAGTAAATATTCCGTTGTTGCACATCCAAACAAGCTAACTGGAAGTGTTGAAAATGAGCTCCACCACTCCACCGATACTCCACCACTCCACCACTCCACCAGTCACTTCGCCAGTTCTCACCATAGACGCTACCAGATCGCCTTTGGTGTAATATGTCTATGTCAGAAAGGAAACCTTCAACTAACCCATTGTTAAACTTTCCTTGGGTTCTTCTCTGAGGCCTTTTGGAGAGCATATACAGACAAAATCAATAGTCTTTCTAGTGGTTATCTGCAAAATGTGAATCAGAGCACCCATGCTCATTTAAACGGCGAGAGCAGCCGCTCACCAAGACGCTGCCGGTTCTGGACCCGACGAATTCGTTTCATGACGATTTCATCTTTGAAATCATGATTTGCGCCAACATCCAACAAGAGCCCAATGATACTTCTTCCCAAATCGAGACTAGCGGCCTCAAACAATGGAGCTCGGCCCTCAAAGTCTTCTTGGTTCACATCAGCTCCGGTATGTAGCAGCCATCTGATAATTTGGACATCAGATGGATTGCCAGAGATGGCGTGATGCAAGGGTGTTCGCCCGTTTTCGTCCTGGGTATTCACTTTTGCACCGAGTGATACCATCGCCTTTGCCATCTCCAACTCCTGAAGGCAGATTGCGTAGCTCAGTGGAGTCTGCCCTTTTGTGTTCCTGCACTCAATGTTTGCTCCGATTGCCACGGCCTTTTGGGCCAATTCAGTTCTCCTTTCAATCCAGGCTGTTTTATCAACCCAGTATGCCCATTCTCCAGAGTCAGCGATAACTGATTTTGTCCTGCTTTCATGGGAGCTTCGTATCAAAGCGTGCAGAGGTGGCTCTATGGATGGCGCATTGAGTACCTCGAGATCAAATGCTCGGTCAAGGATAAGCAAAACAATTTCAAACCGTCCTCTGAGTTTGGTATCACCGTGCGGGATGTTTCCAAAAGCGAGACTCAATGGGTTCAAACCATTAGCAGTGCAGATATTGACATCGACGCCGTAGTCAAGCAAGAGCTTGAGCAAGCATGGCTTCAAGTTCAATATGGCTAAGTGCAATGATGTGTATCCATGCCATATGAAATTTGGATCGGCGCCGGCTTCGAGCAAAAGTTGAACTTTCTCCGTGGCTGAAAAATCTCCGCCTTCTTTGTCATGAAATATTTCCCAAACCTGGAGGGAAATGGATGTCTGTTTCAAAATTGTCAACGTGTGTCAGCGTAATTTACTGGACTAGAATTACCATATTAACACGTGGAGTTGGACTAAGCGGAGGCTCGTCTTGATACGGAGGAGGAGCTTCACTGGGACCCATGGCGCTTGTGCTGAACGGGTCGCGCTGCATCAAATCATTGGTGGTAGTGTTGTTTGAGGTGGGTTCAAAACTCGGGGGTTGACATGTCACATCTTTCTTCGTGGGCGCAACGCCGTCTAAGTAAACATTCCACTCACGGAGAAGCGTCTCGGAAGCTTTTGGGCGAGCTTCTGGTGAGGGTCGGAGGAGTTTCCAAATGAATGCTTTGCCGTCAAGACTCACACCATGATCGAGCAGGGCCCGCTCTGGGAATGGAGCCTCGCCCAATGAGTAGCTTCGAAGTGACCTGTATGTATCAAAAGGCGTTTGTTTTGTCAACACATAGTATAACAGACACCCAAGTGACCATATGTCAACTGCACTAGTAAAACTCGAGCTTTCTCTCGTGTCGTCGAGGAGACCAAGGACTTCTGGTGCGATATAACACTCAGGTCCTATCTGCGTCTGTAAGTCGGTCTCCTTCTCTGTTGTTCCCTTGCTTGTTTGTTTGCTAAATCCGAAGTCCGCGATCTTGACTCTGGTTGGAGATTCTTGCACGACGAGTATATTCTGGCCAGTGTTAGAAAAACAAGCGAGATTTAGGCAAGATCCACTCTTACCTGGGGTTTGATACCCTGGTGGGTGATACCCAGTGAATGTAGGATAGCCAACCCCTTTAGTAGTTGCCCACATATCGAGCGCGTCTCGGTTTCCGACAGCGGGTTTGGATAATAGCAAGATAGATCCCCAAGGGGACAGTATTCCATCACGAAGTGAGTGTAATGGTCAAATTCAAACCACCCTATGAACTTCACAAAAAGATCACCGCCTTCGCCTTTTGTCGCGCTTGTGACTTGGCCCATCACATTTAACTCCGCCGGGTAGGTTGATGTAGAATCCCGATGCGCAAGTCTTTTCACGACCCGGAGCTGGCCATTTGGAGACCGGTCCACATAGACATTGTCCGATAGCTCGTACTTTCGCGTCCAAATAACGACGTTTCTTTCCGGTGTCGAGGAGTTGCCGGTAGACTGGAAAATGACCTCTTTACTTTGGTTATTTGGAAGGACAGTGAGATCGAGCTTGAGCTGCTCCACTAGAATCTGAGTACCCATGGTCAGAAGATCCTTGCAGTGAGTTGTTTCGAGAGCAACTTTCCAAGGATTCGAACCGGGGGCCAGATCACCTGATTTTGTCTTGGCTGACAGTGTTCTTTGTTTGTACAGCTGAGGCCAGTGCAGCGTCGATCACCCCGGGCTCGGCTCCCGCTCCGGGGTTCGCCTATGAGCCAGCATACGAAGGGTAATGCAATAAATATTTGACTTGCCGGCACCAATCTTTCTCTCTTTAATTTTCACTTGAAGTTTAGACATTATTTGAACTATTCCAATCCGGGCTAGTCTCAGGGTATTTTCTCCTGTGTTTGAAGTAGCCTTGCACTCATGTCATCCTGCACCCATCGCTCAATGTTGCTCACGGCGTCGCCAATAAGCCTGTCGTACACGTCACTACCTGGCAGAAACATGGACTGATGTGCTCCCACTTCATCCATATCCTCCATTTGGATAGCTTTCCAAAGTGAATCATCTCCGTCATTCCAATGATGCGATGGTTTCAGCACAAATGTCCGAGTTTTTCTTGTGTCGGATTCAACCCGCGAGTGGGAGGTGTCGATGGAACTGCTCGAGCAACAGCTCACTAGAGATTTCGGTTGATATTTAGGAGTATCAATATAAGTGCGGGTTCTGTCTTCGAGGCCCACTTTCGGGATGTTGGTGCAGCTGCTCTTGTGGTCGTCGTTGTACGAATCCACCTCCTGTTTGTTCGCTTTTGCCGGGGGCTTCCTACGGCCAGTGCTTTCCGTGTAATAGTTCACGAAACGAACCCTGCTGTTCGCGCTTTCTGCTGCTTCCAAATTCATCATCTCTTTGTATTGACGACGGAGATGAGGCAGCCGATTCAGATAGCCCGGAAATTTGTAATATGACATCAAACTGTCAAAGATAGAGCGCGGGAGGTGATGAATGTTTTTGTGAAGAAAGTGCCCGACATCATGCAGAAGGCCTCGCGCTGGCAGCCGCACGTCATTCTCAAAGCTGGGGTCGAAGTTCGGGTTCGTCACGGTCGGAAAATAAGAGGTATCCATTTCCTCCAGTCCCTGAAGCTCGTCTGGGATAGTTTCTTTCATAGCATCTTTTTTCTGAAACAGACTCCGGATGCCCGAGAAAACAACATGTGGGTGAAGGCCCAGAAATGGTACATCAAAGTTGACCAGTCCCAGAATACGATGTCTTTTTGTGTGTTGAGCACTGTCACCCAGGGGTGGCAGCAGTGTAACTCCAGCTGCCAGAGCGCCTCCAATAGAATGGCCCAGCAGAATGATATCAAGATCATCTGCTTCATGTGGAGCTAGCCTTGTATCGGCTTGTCAATAAATCGCCTGATGTTTTTTTTGCCAGTGAACTTACCAGGTGCTGAACTGATCTATCGCATCTTTCATCTCGCCGCGACATTTATATTGGGGGTAAATCCGAGTATAAATAATGTGAGACCCGCCCAAAAAGGTGTCTAAACAGTCATGGACGTGGGCTGGGAACTTGAGGAAACTAGCTTCTGATCCCATGAAACCGTGGATATAAACCAGCAGCAGCCGGCGTTTGTGCAAATCAGTATGGTCTGTTGGCATTGGCAACGAGGGATTCCAAATCGTAGAATCATGACTTCTAACGCCAAATGTCTGCCTCGATAATCGGGACATCCGGTACTGGTCGCGAAGTGACAGTGAAATTTGATCTGGGGACAAGATGTTGCCTGTGAGGTGGAGAGTAGGTGGCTGGAAATAATTTACTTGACTGAAGTGAAAAATTGAGTAAATTTAGGCCGCGAGATACTATGTGATTCTATTTTTACTTGTCTTGATTTCCTTTTCTTTTCTTTTGAAAATCGGCGAACCAAATGCAAAGCCGCTTTGCAGGGACCAAATCCAACGCTCAAAGTTTGGGTCGACGAGCGAATGGGGTTAGCGTCATTTGCACGGCCCGAATCTTGTTTCTTTTCTTGGATACACTAGTCCCAATCTGGCTGGGGATACGGGTACGAGGGCCAGTCAACAACTTTCAATACTTTGACCACGGAGTACTCCATGCTTGCTCACTTATAGGGAAGACCATCTTCCGATTCCATTCTCAATATTCTCTTATTCCACTTCTGCCTTAAATCAACATGGGAGCCTCACACAAGCTAGAAACCGGGGAGCAGGCAGGATCGATGGCACCCCCACCATACTCGCTGGTGGACGACAGAGCGCTCGTTGAGGAATTAGGGAATGTGCAAAGTATGTTGGGCTTCTAAAATCGCAACGTTTCCCTTGTTAATTCAAGAAACTCTTCCAGCAAATGGTCGCATCGACGTCAATCTCGACTCCAACATCGCGAAAACACTCGCCAAAATAATCGACCTACAGCAAGAAGACATTCACAATCCACCACCGGAGTATCTTTTCAACTTGAAGCAGGCTACTGCTTGTGATTTGAAGCTAAACATTGTCATTCAAATTGTTGGAAGTCGTGGAGATGTGCAGCCATTCATTGCGCTTGGGAACGCACTGCAAAAGCATGGCCATCGAGTCCGCATTGCAACACATGATGTGTTTGCCGAATTCGTCCGCAATTCTGGGTTGGAATTCTACCCGATCGGGGGTGACCCTGCCGAATTGATGGCATACATGGTCAAAAACCCTGGCTTGATTCCCCAGATGAAGACACTGCGCGAAGGGGAGGTGCAACGAAAGCAAGCTATGGTTGCGAAAATGCTTGATGGTTGCTGGAGATCTTGTATTGAAGATGATCCTCTAACCAATGAGCCATTTGTTGCTGACGCTATCATTGCCAATCCCCCGAGTTTTGCGCATGTGCATTGTGCACAGGCATTAAGCATTCCTGTCCATCTGATGTTCACAATGCCTTGGAGTAGCACAAAGGCGTTCCCGCATCCTCTTGCCAACATGACCACTTCGTCTATGGATCCTCGGACTGCGAATTGGGTAACTTATGGGGTTGTCGAGTGGTTAACGTGGCAAGGGTAAGTTCATCCGTGATGAAATGGAGAGATCAATCACTGAGACAATTTGCCGTTCGCATTCAGATTAGGGGACGTTATCAATAAATGGCGGATCTCGATTGATCTGGAGCCTATACCCGCGACGGTGGGCCCTAGCCTCCCGGAGGCTTTGAAAGTGCCCCACACCTATTGTTGGTCTCCTGCCCTTGTGCCAAAACCAAAGGACTGGCCAGCGCATATCGGTATGTTCATTTTTCGATTGTTTGGTTCGAATCGAGATCTCAGCAGCCTAACTATTTCAGACGTGTGTGGGTTTTTCTTCCGGGATCCACCATCATATAGCCCGCCCTCGGAATTAACAGAGTTTTTGCAAGCTGGTCCGCCACCCGTGTACATCGGCTTCGGGAGTATCGTCGTTGAAGACCCCCAGAAGCTGATAGACACTGTTGTCATTGCTGTCGTGCGCTCAGGCGTTCGTGCCATCATCTCAAAGGGCTGGAGTGGACTGGTTGGAGCCCCAAACCCCAATATTCACTACATTGAAGATTGTCCGCATGAGTGGCTCTTTCAACATGTTGCCGCGGTGGTTCATCATGGAGGCGCTGGAACTACCGCATGTGGTCTCAAGAATGGCAAGCCGACTGCGATTGTACCTTTCTTTGGCGAGTATGTTCCCCGTTCACAAGGAAGTGACAGTAAAGTCAATACTGACAGTATTTTCCTTGTTTCAGTCAACCGTTCTGGGGCAACATGATCTCCAGAGCCGGCGCAGGACCTAGCCCCATACCATATGCATCCCTCAACTTTCAGAGGTTGACCGCCGCCATCCAATTTTGCCTCACACCGCAGGCGAGAGAAGTCGCATATGAAATTTCACTCAAAATGCATAACGAGGCAGGAGTCGAGGCAGCCGTGGACTCGTTCCATCGCAATCTTCCTATGGACAAAATGCGTTGCGCCTTGGTTCCTAACCAAGTCGCAAGCTGGAGATACAAAAAGCACAACATGTCTTTGAGCTTATCAAGACCAGCTGCTCAGATCTTGATCGAACATCAGAGAATTAATGAATCACATCTTGCAGTGTAAGTACCAGAATCCTTTCAAATGATGTATCTCTCTGATTTTTCTGTTCACACAGTCATCACGTCAACCCGATCGTGATTGAAAACCGTCGTTGGGATCCTATCAGCGGCATGCTGTCTGCTGCAACGACTACTGGATCAAGTATGCTGCACTCGACTGCCGATATGATCTACAATCCCTACAAAGAATACAAAAGTGGTCGCTCTCCAAGACCATCCACCGGAGCTTTAGATGCTGTGTCATTCAATGCAGATGCGCTTTCAAGCGAGTCCTCCTCAACTTCAATACCCATCACCGAGGGAGCTTTCCTTGGGCCTTGTTCCTCCGATCCTTCCGATCCTTCAAGCTCAAAAGGGAAGAGCGGACTATCGGTCGCAGGTAGTATGCTAGGGGCCACGATGAAAGGCTTTGGCAAGTTCACCGGGTCGTGCTTCAAAGGGGTGGTAGTCGACATTCCACATGCCGCAGCAGAGGGATTCCGTCAGGTCCCTCGAATATACGGAGAGAAGCCCAAAGAGTACGGTCCAATCCAGGACTGGAAGTCCGGTGCCATATTTGGTGGTAGGAATTTTGTTGACGGCATGACTGATGGGTTTACTGGTATGTTTACTCAACCAGTGAACGGAGCAAAAGAGGAGGGTGCTTTGGGTGCTGTCAAAGGGTTCGCAAAGGGTACCATTGGGCTTGCCACTAAGGTTCCATTAGGTATGTTTTTCAAAGTAATGAAATACTTGCCATAAGCTGACGTGAATGGGGGACTGAAGCGGGAATTGGACTGGTTGCTTATCCATTTCAAGGAATAACTAAAAGCATTGAGGTGACTTTCCGCTCAAGGACTCGTAAGGCTATTGTCAACGCTCGGTTAAGATCCGGGTGCCATGAGTCTGGGAATTTGCATCTGAGTGCCGAAAGACAAGGTGAAATTCTACGATCCTTCGATACATTATTGGCCTCTTCAGCTATATAGAGCTCGGCGTTGCAAAAAGAAAATATATATTAGAATGAATCTTGGAGATGAAAGGGGAGCAAAATCAATACCTCTAGCTCTACACCATGATGAGCCTCTCATCCATAGATGCTTCTCTTTACAGGCTATTTGCACTCGGGCCGTGGGTTTCACTAGGCCTGGAAGGCAAATATGGCAAGGTCTCCAGCATGGATGTTCCGAAGAATTGCCGTGGCCAATTGATCGGTGACTACGGAGTACACACTATGTACTCGTACGAGTACATCTGTTCCAAAAAAAAGGTGGAGCTCCTTCTAAAGTTTCCACGTTTAAATCCCGGATAGGCAGCAAGTACGAATACGGGTGGATCCCTGCTGCCTGTTTATTTGATTGGTTGAAACTCACATACCAGTGCTATTTCGGTCCACACCGATCTACAGTGCCACACTCATAGTGAACACATGCATGCACCGCTAAAAGAATTTTATCTGCTCGCACTCCGTACCAAGCGTGGTAGACACAAGGGTCAGATAAGACCCCACTTCTGATCAATCTTGCCAGGACCTTAAATTGAGAGCATGCCCACCCCGGGGCAGTGGAAACATCCAAACTCACCTCATATTGTACAACAATGGATACCAGGAGTATAGCTGGCTCTTCTCTATCCGAGTACCAGGTATGCTCTTCAAATTCAGATCTTCGGTGATATCGATTCTGTTCTGACGCATGATATAGCCAGCCCCGCCCGACTCCACCGGCAAAGGAAGCCCTAATGATACAATGGGAAACAAACTGCGCGAGTTTTTTCGGTGGATGTGCACCCCGCTAGGAGCCTGCATCACAGTATATGGGCTAAACATCGTCGCCTGGGGCGGGATGCTCTTCCTCCTGATGTGCAATGCAGCACCCGCGATGTGTCATCCAACTTGCGATAGTCTCGAATCCCCACGCCGTATCTGGATTGAGATCGATTCTCAAATACTGAATGCTTTGTTCTGCGTCACCGGATTTGGCCTGGCTCCATGGCGTATTCGTGATCTCTACCGGTGGTGTTGTTGGCGTTTGGCTCGATCAGACGCGAGTCGACGAAATGCACTCAATCGATTAGCTGAGATTCACCAGAACTGGTTTTTGAAATCACAAGATCCAGATTTGCTTCCTCGGACTAGCAAGCAGTCCGACCAAGAAATACAATGGGTCACGCCGACTCCATTGTGGAAGATGGATGTTGTGGTATGGGGCAATATGCTTAACTCAGTCTTTCAGTTATGTTTGGCGGTTTTCATGTGGGCGTTCAATCGATTCAATCGTCCAAGCTGGACAACTGGGCTTTTTGTGGGTCTTGCATGCGCTGTTGCTGGCGTCGCTGGTATTTTGATGTGGTTGGAAAAGAAGCGAGTTCAAAAGGGAAGTGAGCATCCGGGTGCTCTCTTGTTAATCCCACGAGCAACAGATCCCATCATTTTGGGCGGTGAAAGCGCAAATTATAGTCCCGTGGATCGTAAGCCATGAGTGTGTACATGCATAAATGACTTTGAAGGTGAATCAATTCCGGGAATAAAATCTGATGTTTTCAAATCTGGTATCTTTTCGGCGATCGGATTGGTGGCAGACGTCGCGGAGCTGGCACTGAGTTCTGGTTGCATATATAACACCCCCAGTCTAACCCTTGCATCTGTGTCGAAACGCCCGATGTTGAGTGGGGTAGAGGTTACTCTCTCAGTAATGGGGTAGCTGGGATGGTCTGTCGCTACTCACCACCCCAGAATCGCGACATATAATAGAAAAAAATTTTCCAAAGTTTCAAAAAGAATAAATAGTGTTTACGGCTTTCAATATAACTTGGAAATTTCTCAAAACCCAAGTTGAATCTAGCCCGCTCCACTTTTTGCCCACCATAGTTAACAGGAAAAACAAGTAGGGTTTTGCAACCCCCACGGGATAAGAACGACTATAGGAGGAAGGGGCGAGGTGTGTAGAAGGTCTGGGAGGTACCAGGTGGGGAGTGGTTTTGTCGATCCTTGCTATCAACATAATGGTGGTCCTGTGTAAACAACTACGAGTACGAGTAGTGACATACTACGAGTAGGCCATGGCCCATAGTTATCTCTATCTTCAACTGTACCCACATTGCAGGGTACATACTTACATACATATATACATACTCGCGCCTCCAAACTGCCCCACCATTTGGCATTAGCATTGTACATAATTGCGGAGCGTAGCGGAGCAATTATGTTACAGTTCCCCCTGGTCACGTGATCTGGATATGTGTTGGGTCCCAAATCACAGGAAAAACAGCTTTTGAGATTTAGCCGGTAGAAAATGGCAGAATAATGTTGCGGCCCACTAGTCCCGACTCGGCCACAGTTCACATTCTGGCCAATCATATACCCCAAAACACTTGAGGAAAGAAAAGGAAGGTGCACTAATCGCTACGCTCCGCAAAGGCCAAATGCCCTCTTCAGCGGGGAAAGGGTTATAGAACACTGCTTGGAACGATAGTTGAATTGGGTTGAGAGGAGAGAGAAGATCTAAGCTAGCTAGGCTGGTTATCTACAGTGGGCACCTGAGGCAGACATCGCAAACATGCCCCCCCCCCCTCCCTAGGGCCCTGCTGTCTGGGGACCAAAAGGTCTCCAAGTCCCTAGTACATAGGTCACGGCTGGAGGTTAATTGTTTGTCTCCTAGTTTTAACATTTGCGGCTGCTGGTTCGGACCTTGATTCCTCTTTTTGACCATTTTCACCCGAAGCATGTACTTTTCCACTTCTTGTCAACAATATGCCTCTCATTTTCATTAAAGGTGGACCAGCATCATCCTTTACAACTGGATGAGCCACCTTTCGTCTCCAATTGGATGATTCTTGGTCCGCCGTCATGAGAGCCGTATTCGTGTCCAAGTCGCCTTGGGTGGTGATCCATAGCAATAGAGTCCATCCAAGGTGGACAAGTATCCCTGAAGACATCAATCGAGCATCAAGGACAGCCACACACACGGGAACAGGTGCCCATGTAGGTGTATGCTTAGTCACAATTAGAGCCAAAGGTATATTCAAGTAACAATATTGGGGTTGATTGCAAAGAACTAAATACGTGTGCGATGGTTGGCTCTGGGTGACACATCAGTAAGTAGGCGACGGCCCCTAGTGACGTGGTCCGTAGCATACAGCCCAGGATTTACCTGAAACCATTTTCATTCCATATTATATCCTTGAATCCGTTAGGGCAGTCGCGATGCTCGGGCGCATACTTTTGTGCATCGAAGGCCTCGTAGGCGTGGCACGTTATGGGTTTTTGCGTATATGCGAATTCGGTGCTCCAGCCGTTGTTGACCACGGCATCTTTTAAGGCCTCAAGTTCTAGCTCGGTTTGGAAAACGGCGAAATCGCTATTGCTCTCGGTGTTTCTGATCCATCCAATGTGCTTACAGCCAAAGGAATCGGAGCCCCCGTAGCTGTTTATGAGATCCGCGGGCCGCCTGTTGTACTGGTACACCCAGATGTAACGGCGATTATCATGTAATTGGCTAGTCTTGGCTCTAAAGAGAACCCAATGGTTGATCCAGTTGACTGTAGACGGCTCTAGCGAGATTTGGAAGGGCGATTTTTTCGGAGTGTAGGATCCGAAAGACGGTACACCCGGAGAATGGTCAACCGAAGGCATGGTGGTGATATTTGATTATCCAAAGAAGATAAGGAAAGAGAGAAGTAAGGTTGAGGCGGGGTTGTGATAAACACGGGTAAACCAAATGGGGGGATTCTTCTGTTCTTATATAGCCGGCTAAGAGGCACTGGGTCAGTCGTAACGTGGCTACAACGTAGATCTTTTGAGTTGCATCCTGTTCTTCCGATTACCATAATCCACAGTTCGTGATAATTGAGAGTTTCAACTGGATGACATTAATTGTCAGCACTCCATCAATACCCTGGACGACGGATATATGACGTGTTGAGCGATGCATGATGTAATGAGCGATACTATTGAGCTGAACTCACCGCTACTGATCAGCATCCTTAGCTGAATGTGGAGCAATCCACCAGCTCGGGCTCCCCAGGGCTAGACTCCATTTGTTAGCTGCTAATGGCTTGCACTCACATATATGTAGACCCTTTAGAGACATATTTAAAAGCCATACTCCATTCGGAGTAGCGCACTAAATATGATGCACCGCTAAGGGCAGCCTTTCATCTACAAGTAAGCGCCCTTGTTTACATTGTAAGAGGATTCCTTGACATATAAAACACCTCTTTCATAAGCGGGATGGCCAATGCGAACCTGACTTTCCGGTTTAGACGAGATGATATGTTACAGTATCAAGATGTGTCAGAATATAACACAAGGACTTCAAAGTGGGTTCATCAAAGTATTGATTCGTAATTAAGGTAATGTACATTTCGATATTGCATGGTTAGTTATAGTGATGAGCTATCCCTCGGTGCGTCGAAATTTGTTTTGATCCACAAATACCACCAATTGACCATGGATAAGGGTCAATTCGTTGGTTGTTTGTCGGAAAAGGACGATGTTATCTACTTCTAAAGTTGCATTACTGGTTGGCTTATTCCCCTAGTATGCCACAAAACGAGTATTATCCCATCAAAGCAACCGATGTATACTTAAGTACCACGACAACAAGGGCTGGAAATGGTAGAAAAGACTGTTGTCTAGTAGCGCTTCAATGGAATAGAATCCCTATCCTGACAATTTGTTTTTGATTCCGTGTGCCCCTCCTAACAAGCTTACTGTCTTGTGACGTCGTTTCCTCATTTTTCCTCATAAGAGTGAAGATACCGAAGTTTTTACATAATCATTTGATCTCACCTGGGCAGATGTTACTAAAACCACTTTCCAGAGAAGGTGATCAGATAAGTAGAGGCAGAGAGAGAGGCAGAGAGAGAGGTAGAGAGAGAGGTAGAGAGAGAGGTAGAGAGAGAGGTAGAAAGTAACCTGCTAAGGAAGGATATAGATCACCGCGCCCATGCAACAAAATATTCTAGTATTTCAGTGATCAAGGGATCCTCTTAGGTCTTCGCTAGAGGTGACAATTTCAGGCCGCCCACACCCCTCCGATTTCTCTTCCCAGAGAGTATACCTATAGTTTTCAGTCTCATCTCTCCTTTCGATAGCAACTCGTTTGTCTGTCCTTTCGGCATACTCATCGAAGAAGTCGTCGACAGAATGTACACCTTGACGCAATCCCGGCCCTTCGAATCGATCTGCCACTAGTCCACTGATCCCAAGTCTGGCTTTTAGATCAGGAACCTCATTCCTCGCTGCCCAAACTGCTGAAATTGTAAGTCCTATCCCAGCCACAGTGAACAACGCGCAAAGAACGACAAGCGCCACCAAAGGCGCGATTGGGACCCTCGCGACAAGTGAAGTAGTCCGCTCCTGGATCCCCACCACTTCCCGGGCTTCAACCCCCTGTGCACCCATCGCCAGATTCGTTTGACTTAGTGCCAACGCAACGGAGTCGGCAAACTGTTGACCCGTCCCTGTGCTCTGGAAGGCTGATCCGACTGCCTGCTTCATGGCCCATTTCCACTCAATGACGTATGCCATACTGGTCTGCCAAACGTTGGAGACTGATGTATTACTGGGCTGGGTCTGGAATCGCGTCACACTCCCGTTCACGCGGTCATACTCTATGTCATATATGGTCATATTGCATCCCAGGATAAATGCTAGGCCACCGTGTAGATTCTGCACGAATGCTGTCTCTGCGAGTCCACCCGGCCGCTCGCCCATTGTGGTTTGTATCGTTGTAAGCGCGAGATAATATGGATTCCCGGCCTCTGTTGGAGAGTAATACGGCGTAGTGAAATCGCATTTGGTGCGCATCGTTTTATCTGTAAAGAATCCTGTGACCAAGTCTCTGTCTGTGAGACTGCCGTTAAACACACGCGAGCAATTATATCCAATAATGGCAGCAGCAGCGTGGAGATTGCATTGCTGTGAGATGAGTGAACACTCTGCATTCGCACCATACGTGCGTGCGGTAAAGTCATGGTTTGTCTGGGAGCTTTGTGGTGGAATCCCTAAGTAGGTGTAAGGCTTTCCATCAAAATCGACATGTGTGTAAACGGTGGACTCGGACGAGATATTGCTTAAGGCTTGTAGCGAGAGGGTGGAGTTTGAGAGGAAGATACTGTTTCCCATGGCGATACTGCAAGCACTACCGTCGGAATTCAGTCCTGCTGGAATTGAGTTGTTGCTCTCAAGGCATCTTGGGACAAGACCGAAGCTGTATTTGCTTTTATCGATCACAGGAGATACGCGGGTGAAAGGGACGGTAGTGGTGGTCAAGTGAAGCCAAGTGTCTGCCATAGACAGAAGGACACTAGTTTTGGTTCGATGAGTTTGGAGAAATTGGTCTTAGTTCAAAAGTGGTCTTACCCAAGTATCAAGGCAGCACTGGCGGTGCTCGAGGCCGCAATGAGAGCGGAAGACTGAGGCTGACGGGTTTTTCTCCATGAAAAAAGATACACAATCCAGCCCCAGATAGCGCCA